CGAGTAGTTTAAAGCGAGTACGAAAGTAGCGGCGTATAAAGTTATACTAGAGCGATAATAGGCGTTTAAATAGTATTATTTTTAGTAAAGGAGAGGTTTAAGTGAAGCGAGAAGTAAAGTGAGGTCTATCTAATAACAAGGATTAAGGGTTAATCGAGCACCTGCCTAGGTCATGTAGGTTGAGATATTATTAGGTGCGGCCTGCCGTCCTAGCTCCTGCCGAGAGACAAATAAACTTCCACGCTAAGACAAAGCTTCCCGTTGTCGGAGGTGAAGTCGTGAAGAAACGTGCGATGCGACTTGGCATCCTACAGGCTCTCCCATCACATCCACCTCCCGATCAATGGCTTCCAGGACGCTGAGGATCGGTTCGTATAGCCTGTCTCTTATCAACTCCGCCTCTGCTAATGCAAATTGTCCCCTCCAGGCCTCATTCCGGGCGATGGCATCGGACGTGAAGTCATTCCCGCAGGCCGACGCATCCTCGAAGCTCTGCCTGCGTCGTTAGGATTGAAATTCTCCTTCGTCGATCTGGATGCTGGGTTTGATACCTTCAAGCGGACGGGAGCTGCGTTGCCCGAGCAGACTGTCGAGACCCTGAAGAAGGAGTGTGATGGTGCTCTGTTTGGTGCTGTGAGGTAATATCTGGTACACTTTCACCTCTCCTCGCGAGTGGGACGACGGAGGAAGATACTAATGACCGATCGTACAGCTCGCCTATCACTGCCACCAAAGGCTACAGCAGCCCCATCGTAGCTCTCCGCAAGAAGCTCGACCTCTACGCCAACGTCCGTCCGGTCAAATCTGTCGCGCCTACACCATGCTTCCCCGACCCAATCGACCTCGTCATTGTTCGCGAGAATACCGAGGACCTCTATGTCAAGGAAGAGAAGACGTATGACGGTCCCAATGGCAAAGTTGCAGAGGCCATCAAGCGCATCAGCGAGAGTGCATCGACGAGGATAGCCACCATCGCGGGAGAGATTGCTCTCCGAAGACAGCGGGTGCGTGAAACAACTGGCGAGACTTCGAGGAAGTCCATGGTCACTGTCACACACAAGAGCAATGTCATGTCGCAATCAGATGGATTGTTCCGCACAACAGCGCGCAAGGCATTGGAGCAGGCGAAGTTCAAGGACGCGGGTGTTGTCATTGACGATCAGATTGTCGATTCAATGGCATACAAGCTGTTCCGCGAGCCAAGCTTTTACGATGTGATTGTCGCACCCAATCTCTACGGAGATATTCTCTCAGACGCCGCTGCGGCGTTGGTTGGATCATTGGGTCTTGTCCCATCGGCGAATGTAGGCGATGGATTTGCCATTGGTGAGCCCTGCCACGGATCTGCGCCAGACATTGAAGGCAAGGGCATTGCCAACCCCATTGCCACGCTGCGAAGTGTTGCGCTCATGTTGGAGTTCATGAACCAGGAGGAGGCAGCTGCGAGTATTTACAAAGCAGTCGATGCCAACTTGGTTGAGGGCAAGTTGCTGACGCCTGACATGGGCGGCAAGGCCAAGACTGAAGAGGTTGTCAACGACATTATCAAGCGGTTGTAAATTAGCTAGAAGTGTAGAATATCAAAAGTTGAAGATACACCAAGCATCCCTGTCGCGTGCTGCTGATCTGTTCCTTCCACACGCGGACGCATTCCGGGGATCACCATGACGTCTGTCCAATTTTCACATGAAATTCGTCCCGCCTTCAACAACAACACAACCCTCGGTTGGATACTCACAGCACAACCCCTTCCTCCACAACACTATCACCATGGCCGACGAATATATCCTCTCCGTCACCGCGGGCCCCAACTACGAAGACCAAAATCCCATCGGCATCAACACCGAAGAGCCCACGCGCATCACCTCCTCACATCTAACCGCGTCCCTCCGCGTGCGAATTCAAAACTACCGCGGCCTCCCCAAAGACTCGCCCAAGACATCGCCATACTTCTCCCACCCGAAACACGAAAAAGACCTCTACAGCTTGAGCTTCACCGTGACCCCGAAAGAAGATCTCAACGGACATGATCTGGTCTTCGGCAATGACTTCGACCATCCCATTCGTGATAAACTCCCACCGGGGTTTAACCAGGCTTTCAAGATCGCGACGTGGTTTATAGATCCGGGACTCTATGGAGATGTCTATGCGGATGAACCGTATCTTTATGGTCCTCTGCTCTCGTCTATAAATGTCTTGCGGATCGGACCGAAAGACGACAGGGAGCAAGAGAAGGTCGAAGAGGTAAGGGCGAATGAAGAGCTTTTGGTGTTTGAAGAGGGTGCGGATGGAGATGGCGAGCAAGTGAGGGAAGAGCTGGGGATGCCGCATGAAAGTGCTGCGAGGCAGAAACACTTCTTGCAGGAGGGCAAGTTGAAGGACTTCACGTTTGAAAAGGGGAGGGAGTATAGTATGGACTTTTATAATCCTTATTTGGATTTCAATGGTAAGATCAACGTGCTCTATCAACGGGTTGAGAGACTTGGGCTAATGGGATACGACAGACTTCTCCCTCAAACTCCCCGCCTACGGTTTCCTCCCAGGCATCAACATCCCAGTCCTAGGCTCCTGGGCGAGCTCAGGACAACAACCCCTTCGGTAAGCCCAGAAACATCTCTCTCCCCTTCAAAAGCACCTCCAAATTCACATTCTCCACACCCTGTCTATCTTTTCTTGCGAAGCGTCAACCCCAATACTGACATACCTGGGCTAATGCCAAGATCTCACGCGCTCAGATACGTGCTCAAGAACCGCAAGACGGATGAACCGCTGTTTGTGGTGGTATTTACGCTTTTGCCGAAGGAGGAGGTAGCCGAGGGGGAGAAGCCAGCGGAAGTTGGCGGCGAGAAGGAAGAGGCTGCGATATCTGCTGCTGGTGGAGGTGATGATGAGTTGGATTAGATGAAGACTTATCTAGATGATTGAACTGGATGGCGAATGGATATGGTCGTTAGGGCTTGTGAAGGCCGAGTGAAGCCACTGCAGGGAGGAGAAGCACAGGATTACCAGGCCAGCCCCATGTATTGATCGAACGCCGAAATCAGGAGAGTAAATGCGGAAGACACACATACGAAGGTAAGTCTACACAACTTCCTCCTCTCGTTGAATCATCAGCTAACTGACCGTTCTCAGCACAATGACCACTCAACCTAACATACCCACACCCACGCACAAGATACCCCCCATAGAGACCAAAGACTTTTCAAACCCAAGTGGGAGAAGGGTTGATATCTCTTTCGTTGCTTCAACTATCTCAATCCTATCGGCGGGTATCAGAAGATAGATGCCCACCTGCCCTCTATCATTATGCACCGGACTTTCATCTATTTTCATTTTGGTGTTCCGCCCAAGATGCTTCCCTTCTTCGCCGACCGCTTTTGGGATGTCCCGACTCGACTCCATGCTCTACATTTACATGATGACTTCGTTTTGTACGTCCTGGAAAGTAAGAACGTCAGCAAATAACCCCATCCCATGGATTTATAGGTTTCACGACTTACCCGCTTCAACTCCTTGTAAGGCAAGCACACGCAATTCTGTACCCTCACCTCATCACCCACCGCACACTCCTTGCCCAAGATGGTAATGCTCTGCACCTTGACACCATTCTTCACCACGCTCGTGCTGTGCTCACGAACCGGAGTAGGAGTACCCTCAACGCGAGCCCACGCGCCAATCCGGCTGCTCCACCCGATGATAGCGTACAGCACACAGGCGTCGTGTCGAACTTCCGCATCTTCCAGCACAATCGCCTCCTTGATTCTGACACCTGCGCCGATGACTGCACGGGGACCGATGGAGACGTTGGGGCCGAGCTTTGCGGTCGGGTCGACTTGTGCGGTTGGGTGGATGAAGACGGGTGGGAGGATGTTGGCGGAGGGTTTGGCGAGCTCTTCGGACTGAGTCTGAAATGCCTTCATTAGGTAGAGGGCGTTGGCTGGCACGGCGGAGCCCGCGGTCTTGATCTGTCGCCAGAAGTCCTTGGTCTCGAGGACGTAGAACTGGCGGCTGTCGGCGAGGTCGGAGAGGATATCCTGCTCGATGCGGATGACTTCGTTCTTCTCGCCGTCCTCGTCGTCACCTCCTGGCAGGTACTGCGAGTCGAGGGCGTCTGAGGAGGGGTATGAGACGAGACGTGGGCGGTCTGTCCGGCGCCTGATGGCGCTCTTGATGCTGGGGAAGATGGCCTCGGTGGAGAAGAGGTACACGCCGCAGTTGATCAGATTGGAGATGTGCGACTCCGGCTTCTCGACGTAATGCAGCACGCGCTTGCTATGCCCATCACTGACGATGCACCCAAAGTTCGACGCCGCATCGTTCGGCACCCGTGTCCCCAAAATCACCGCCTCGGCATCCTTCTCTTCAAACAAGCGCAGCATCTGATCAAGCGGAAAGGAGCAGCAGACATCGGCGTTGAGGACGAAGAAGCGATCGGGACGGCCCTTGAGGATGGCATCGCGGAAGTGGTAGAGCCCACCGGCGGTGCCGAGGGCCTGGTACTCGCGCAGGTAGCGGACGGAGATCTGCGGGTGGGAGCGCGAGCAGTCCTTGATGAAGTCGCGGAAGACGGACTCGTCGTAGTAGCCGACGATGAAGACCTCGCGGATCTCGGGGACGCGCGTGATGGCGGCGAAGCAGTGCGAGATGATGGGGTGGCCGGCGACTTCGAAGAGGGGCTGGAAGTGTTATATCAATATGTGGACTTCTCTTGAGAGGTATGGGCTGGGTGGTCGTACTTTGGGGAGATCGAGGGAGAGAGGCCTGAAGCGGGTTCCTCTTGATGGACCGCCGACCTATGGAATGATTAGCTTGTGCATGTCCTTCTCCTTCTGGCTATGCCATACCAATATCACAGCTTTGGTGGTTGGAGCTCCTCCTGCTTTCCCACGCACGGGAACTTGCAACGTGGCCATGGATGGTCGCTGGACGGGGGAGCTGACAGGTGGAGTGGTGGGAGAGTGAAGGTGTAGGTAATAGAAGGTGGGCAGTTCTTTCGAATTGAAGAGGCTGCTAGGAGATTGTTACAGCCGAGGCGAAGGACAGGAAGTTGTCGGTGGTATAATTTTTGGGCGGCGGTCAAAGTGGAAGGAGAGACGATCCCCAGGGGTCATTCAATCTCCCCACCTTCACGAGCGCCGGGGAAAGCTTAACTGGTGACGTCGAATTTGGAGGAGAAGGGCTGTCTTTTCCGTTCTCTCTCACCAACATCGACATCATCAACATCAATGTCTTTATCATTTTCGAGGAGACGGTTATCGAAGAAAGTCAGCCTTGTGTCAAAGCACGATATGAACTGCTGTCAATCAGAGGCACCTTGCGCAACCCGAAGCCCGTATCTTTGACGGATCTGGAAAAGATGCCTTCAATACCATCAAATCGATCAAGCCATTATTCAGGCTGCAAAACGAAGACACAATCGCCTCGTATCACCGACAGCAACGCCCATTTCCTTCAAGCTGTGGACCACGACTTGGCAATTCTATGCGGGTATAGTGAAGAATGAAGAGACGGATGGGTCGACTTCCATCTTTCGTTGTAGCAATTCTCACTTCGCTCACAGCAACATACAGCATCGCCGGCCTTTGACTCTGGTAAGATCTGCTCCGTTTGACGAGTTTCGTCTCATCAAAATGCCAATGCCTCCGGCGCCATCTCAAAATGCCACAATCTGGGCACTCTTCCCCAATGGCTCGCTACCGCGGCAGCTGAAACACGCCTGATGAGCAGGTGCAAATCCAGGGGTCACAACAGACCTCAACCTCCAAAACGCGAACATTCGCTCGCTCCAGAACATCCCTTCCCTTCGATCTCTTAGCTGTGTTGGGAGTGTGAAGGATACACACTCAAGTCGTTCATTTTCGTTCCGTTGAGCGCTGGCCGCCGAATTTTTGTGTTCTTGACTTCACCGATACCCCATACAGTCTTTCTTCAACATGTCTTTTCTTACGTCGTCTGCGAAATCATCTGGAGATTTGGAGAGTGGCAAGAAGTCCGCCGGGGTGACGATCACTACCGATGTTGAGTCGGAGAAGACCTCGCGTCCGGTCCTTGGACGACGCAAAACGTCTGAGAGAGCCACTGGAACATCCACCAGCACCGAAAAGCTGGTCTACGATGGCGAAGAAGACGCCCTTACCAAGATTGGCAACTTTCTCTACAAAGTCCATTCCGCCTCTATTCTCACCAGATATGCCCTCTACATCTTGCCGGTGGCTGCGCTTTTGGCTATCCCAGTGGTATGTTTATCCAACACATACAAGACCAGATCTGATATCTTCATCGCAGGCCCTCACAGCCACTGTCTACGGCGAGCGGAAAGCTGGTAACATTCGCCTCCTTGGACTCTTCATTTGGATCGAAATCATCTGGTTCGCCCTCTGGATGTGCAAACTCATCGCTCATGGTCTACCTTTCATCTTCGAAGCTGTTGCGGGCTTGATCAGTGGTGGCATTCGCAAGTACTCGCTCGTCCTCATATCGCTCGAGATCCCAGTCTCGCTATTTCTATGGTCCATCGTATCCTATGCTACCACTCATGTCATCTGTGTTTTCAACAGCAAGGATGTCTGCAGCAACGAGTCCTGGTTCCAAACTCTACAGACTGTCTTTAAAGCCGGCATCGTCGTTGCCGCCATATTCCTGGCTGAAAAGACAATCATCCAACTAGTCTCAATCAATTACCATCGCAAAACATATCATGAGAAGATTAAGGAGAGCAAGAAGCTGATCAAACTGCTTGACCTACTCTACGATGCTTCAAGGACCTTATTTCCCGAGTATTGCCACGAATTCGAGGAGGAAGACGCCGAGATCCAGGGAAACACGCTGGCAGATGTAAGGACGCAGTTGGCCAAAGCTGGTGTACAGACCAAGGTCTTTGACAATATGGGTAGGGTGAGGGATAAGATGACAGCGTGAGTCAGACTTTTACATCAATGATACTCAAGTACAACCTGCTGACCTGAGAGATGAAGTGCATTCGGTGCCATGGCTTCAGACATTGCTGGAAAGCAGGTCTTCAGTACCACTTCAGCACACAACATCGTCATCGAAGCCCTCGAAACACCACGCGCATCGAAAGCGCTTGCGCGTCGATTGTGGCTGTCCTTTGTCGGAGAAGGCAGGGACGTTCTCCTCAAGCAAGACCTCATCGAAGTCCTTGGGGAGTCTCGGCTTGTTGAAGCTGAGGAGATCTTTGCTCTACTGGACCGGGATGCCAATGGAGATGTCAGCCTCGACGAAATGACTCTTCTGATTGTCAATGCTGGACAAGACAGGAAGAATCGAGCGTCCAGCATGCATGATATCAGTCAAGCGATTGCTGTGCTTGATCGTCTGCTAAGTCTGGTGGTACTCGTCGCCATCGCCTTCGTCTACGCCACCTTCTTCAGTAAGACATTCGCCAGCAAGACGACCCAACTCTGGACAACCTTTACGGGTTTGGCATTCGCTATTGGCGGCACAGTGACTGAGTTTCTCGGCTGCTGCATCTTCCTTTTTGTAAAGCATCCGTAAGTACCCTGGCTTCACCCTCCCGCACATATGCTCACCACTTCCAGCTACGATGTCGGAGACCGTGTCACCATTACAGACACAGAGCTCATCGTCGAACGCATCTCGCTCATGTACTCCGTCTTCCGACGCATCGACACGAATAGCACCCTGCAAATCCCCCATAACATCGCCAACACGCTCTGGATCGAGAACATCTCCCGCTCCAAAGCCATGAAGGAGCGCCTCACCCTCGCCGTCGCCGCCACAACCTCCCACGACGACATTCTCACCCTCCACGGCGAACTCACCAAGTTCGTCACATCCGACGAAAACCGCCGCGACTTCCAGCCCGACTTCGAGGTCGAACTGCGCAGCGTCGGCGATCTCAAACAACTGGATCTTCGGGTCGAGATCCGGCACAAGTCCAACTTCTCCAATGAGACGGTGCGCAACATGCGTCGTAACAAGTTCATGTGCGAACTCCTCTCCGCTGCGAGGAGGATTCCGCTCGAACCTCCTGGTGGCAGCGCCGCGCCGTTGGGAGATCCTAGCAATCCCGCGTACTCGGTTGCTGTGAGTGATTTGGAGGGCGTAGCGGCGAGGGAGAGGAAGAGGGTGGAGGTGGAGGGCGCGAGGTTGGTTCCTGCTGGGGGGAGGTATGAGGATTTGGTGATGCAGCAGGAGGGTGGTGTGAGTTCGGGACTGAAGGCTTTTGGTGGTGCCGCTGGAAGTTTGCTAGGGAGGAGGGGGAGTGTGAGGAGTGGGGAGATTGGGAGGAGGTCGGGGGATGCGTCGATGTTGGGGAGGTAGTCAGATACTCGTCGATGGGATGAGGTACTGCCGTCTCTGGACGCTCAAGGCTCATCTAGGTCATACTCCAATCTCCTCAATATATTTTCGGTAAATGGGACGGGATATAGGTCGTCTGCAGACAATATCCATCGACAAAGGGAGAAGACCGACTTCTCGCTACAGACACCGGCTTCTCGGCCTCTTTAAAAGGGCGGCGAAGGTGAATAGCTACTGCATAGACTGTAGCATATGCAGTTTACGATTTGTGCAAGCTGAAATGCTCAGCGGGTACTAGCATCGGTAGTTGATTACGAGTGAATGTATCGATTTAAGAGGATGGTTGGAGGAGGTGAAGTCGAGAGGCCGCCAGTTCCGCGATTCTCCCGGCTAACAACATCTCCCAAGCATTGACTACAGCGGGACTTCGCACCTAACCATGAGCGAAAGTCTTCTTCTAAGCCTGTTTCATATTCCATCCATTCCACGATTCCTACGAGGGCCACATGATATACTCGATCGGCAGTTGAAAGGCGAGGGAGATGCGCCGCCATCGACGGCTCCGTGCGGGACCGACTGCGAGACCCGGAGCTCTGCTCCTGCAGCTGAGGAGAGCTTGGCTGGGCGACGAACTACTCGGGGCAATGATGATGTCCAGCACTCAGTCGACCGTCATTATATACCGTAGAGACCTGAGCAGCATAGAAAAGAGCAGAGGAAATACTCGGAAATGGCTGAATGAACGAGCTGGCCAAGGTACCGTGAACGCTTACGCTTCTTTCTTATACTCTGCTCTTTCGTCTTTCTTCACCGCAAGTTATCCTCTCTTTCTTTCTTCAAACTACTCGCCGAGTTTGACAATATGCAATTCCACGTCAACGGCTTCCAGGGCTCCCAAGATCCCCTCGTCACTCAATACCAAGGCACCGAGCCTGATTTTCAAACAAGTCTTCCACAAGAAGTGGATGTTCTGATCGTGGGAGCTGGTCCCGCAGGACAATTGCTTGGAGCACAACTGGCGAGATTTCCGAACATTACCACACGTATTATCGAGTCGAAACATGGCAGGCTGGAGCAGGGGCAGGCGGATGGCCTGCAGTGCCGGACAATTGAGATCTTCGAGGCATTTGGCTTCAGCGAGAGGGTGTTGAAAGAGGCGTATTGGGTCAATGAGGTATGAACAAGTCACAAGACCGTGAGAGATAGAGGGCAAGAGCTGACTGCTGTAGACGACGTTTTGGTCGCCTACTGAGGATGGCAAAGGACTACGGCGAAGTGGACGGATACGAGACACAGAGGAAGGATTGAGCGAGTTCCCTCATGTCATTCTCAACCAGGCACGGCTACATGATCTCTGGCTAGACTGCATGAAATGGTCTCCTACCCGACTGGAGCCGTCATACAGCAGGAAGATGGTGGAGATGACGCTACCTAAAGGCGATGAGCCGGTCCACGTTACCATTGAGCGAACAGACGCCGCGAACCAAGGCCGCAGAGAACAGGTCAAGGCGAAGTATGTCGTAGGATGTGATGGAGCAAGAAGTGGAGTGCGGAAGACCATTGGCATCGAGATGAAGGGCGACTTCGCCAACCAAGCTTGGGGTGTACTGGATGCACTCATCGTCACCGACTTCCCCGACATCAGACTGAAGACTGCCATTCATTCGGCGGAACATGGCAGCATCCTTATCATTCCTCGCGAAGGAGGGTTCCTGGCGAGGTTTTACATCGAAATGGACAAACTTAAACAGGACGAGCGAGTGGCTTCGAAGAACGTCACAGCAGAGGTTGTTATCGATCGAGCGAAGAAGATCTTTGCTCCATACACTTTCGACGTGCGAGAAATCGCATACTGGTCTGTCTACGAAGTCGGCCAGAGACTGACGGACCATTTCGACGATGTGCCCAAGACTGAACGCGATCAACGAAATCCCCGCGTATTCATCACCGGCGATGCTTGTCACACCCACAGCGCCAAAGCCGGCCAGGGTATGAACGTATCGATGAACGATTCTTTCAATTTGGGTTGGAAACTCGCCTCGGTTCTGCATGGCCGCTCGCTGCCAAGTCTCCTACACACCTACTCCGAAGAGCGACAAGACATTGCTCGTGTACTCATCGAATTCGACAGAGAGATGTCTCGCATGTTCGCCGCAAAGCCTAAGGAAAACGCTTCTGCCGACGACGCAGACTCTGTAGATCCAGCGGTCTTCCAAGACTTCTTCACACGCCAGGGCCGCTTCATGGCAGGCTTGCAGACAAGATACAAACCAGGTTCGCTCACCTCGTCAGACACCACCTACCAGCACCTCGCCCGTGGCTACGAAATCGGCACCCGTTTCCAGTCCGACGTCGTCCTCCGCGTCGCAGACGCCAAACCCATCCACCTAGGCCACACAATGGACGCCGACGGCCGCTGGCGCCTCATCCTCTTCAACTCCTCCATCGCCTCGCCTTCATCCCCCTCAACCGCCCTCTCCACTCTCTGCGCCTTCGTCGAGAAACACCTCATCCCGAAATACACCCCTTCCACCTCCGACATCGACTCCCTCATCGACGTCCGCGCCATCTTCACACACTCCCGCCAGACCTTCGAAATCACCGATCTCCCCTCTCTACTCCTCCCGCATAAAGGCAAGCTGGGCGTGCAGGACTACGAGAAGGCTTTCACGGATGAGGTCAGCTATGGGTTTGGCGGCGGGGAGTTGTATCAGACGAGGGGGCTGAGCAAGGAGGAAGGATGTGTGGTTCTTGTTAGGCCGGATCAGTATGTTAGTGCTGTTTTGCCTTTGAGCAAGGAGGCGGAGGGCATGTTGGAGGGTTTCTTTGATGGGGTTTTTGTGGAGGTTGGGAAGGGGAGTGGGGCGGTGAATGGACTTTGATCGAGTATGGCGAGTGTTGGTGATTTTTATGTGAGTTGCTGGGGAACTTTTTGAATTGAGGTTTGGCTAGATGTGAGAGACTTGAATAGAGCTGATGCTGTCATAGTCGTGTTTTACTCTAAAGGTCGACGATAGTCAACTCTCTACTTGTTCTTTTCAACTTGCTGAGTGACGGGGAGACCTCTCGCAACGTCTTCTCACCGAAGCCATACCCGATAGAACGACTCGGAAGTTCGCGATTCATCCTTGTCGGCGTTCGCTGAACGTGAAATCACGAAAAGATGCATGCTGACATCTTGCAGACCGCTCATTGTCGAAATTTTGCACTCCTCCAAACCCCAGATTTGCGGAGAAAAGTGCGACCACACCACGTTATAACCACGATGTGCACGTAACGGTCGACGTGAATGCCATGTGACAAGGCGAACAGGGGTCTCCCGATGGGGTCCACCCGGTCTTGTGAGCGCTATACAGGTGTATCACTCAGGTCCTCCACTAGGTACTCGGTCTGCACGACATCGCCTCGGTTGACTCTGGGCGGGTCATTTGTTCATCACACTGTGCGTTGGCGAGATCGCCGCTGGTCGAAGTGGACAAGTCTCCGACACTTTTGCGGTTATGGGATGCGGTAGGGGTGTGATGCGGTCAGCAAGAAGTAAGGTGTTGGACCACCACCATGCGGAGAGACTGGTCCTGTGAGCAGAAGAAGCAGTGTCGACGTTCCCAGCCCCTCCGGCAAAGACACTCGCCTGCACTGTAGCCTCTGTTATGATCAAAGCATCTGTCAACGTGACAGGGCTATCGGTCATTCGTCAAAGCGATGCAATCAACTACTCTTCTCACTGGCTGTATGCCTTGCCTATTCCGACCCTGGCAGGAATACATCCCACCGCGGAGCGGAACGCCCTGGCGAACAAGGCAAGCAAGAACCATGGATACCGGCGCTTTGCTTCAATCGAGCTGGTCGCCGGAGGATTGCCGTAGAGAAGGACCTGGAATGACTGCAAATGTATTCTCCGTCTCGCGGATACCACTGCACCGCGACCTACTAGTCGCAAACCTCAAGGACCAGTCAGAAGTCTTGAGGTGAGGTCGAAGTATTCGCTTTGGGTAATAACGCCTAGACACGACAGATCTGCAGGACCTGAACTACTTGCGGGATGTGGAGGATCGAGTGAGACCTTCTCCGCAGCGGCAGCAGCTGGAGGAGGAGGAGCAGCAAGAGGAGCAGGAAGAAGCAGGAACAAGTCCAAGCGTTAAGCTTATGCATTGCATGAACTGGGCGATCATGGTGTGGCTTGGCTGCGTTGGTTCTTCTTTCTCAAAAGCAGCTGCCCGAACGACTCACAAGATGCGAGGCATGAAGAGCTTCCATTGGTTAGGCTTTGAGATCGTCGTCGGTCAGCCAGCCCTGTGTTGCGATCATCTACTCACAGACCCCGTTCAAGAATGTGTCAGTTGATGCGAGTCTGGAGAAAGCCTGTCAAGTATCCTGGCAACGATAACAGCACTTGGATTCATCATACCTTCACCCATCCCTGCCATACGGGTGTTTCCTCAGTCTTGCGGAGAATTCGCACCAAAGCCAGGATTTTGGAACATGCAATAAACTCCAGTAGATCGCCTGACGTTCTGCAGAATCTGAGATCCTGGCGCTTCGACTTGCCTGCCGTGCTGCTATCAGCGCCCACTATTCAATTGATCGACCTGCCTCTTTCGGGATTCCCAAGGAGTGTTGTTGGAGAAAATCGTCGGTCAGTGGCTGATTAAACTACCCACCACCCACCGCCACCGACGGCACACAAGCACTCCCCTCCGAGCTTCTATAGCTTGCATTTCGACCTAGGTAGCTTGTTGCATCCGCGGCGGCTTGGCCCCCTCGACTGTCGTCGAAACTCACATCAACTGACCTCGGAAGGTTCGCACACCGTTGCTAGTATGTGGAGACCCCACAAACCCCGATGGAGGGCTGGCAACGTTTTCACCGTTTGCTCCACCAGCACTGCCCGCAAGCAGTCGATTGCTTCTGTTTTGCTCCGCCACATGACCATGCCGAGTTGGAGACGTGCTCTAGTCAAGCAGCAAATATTGATTGAGGCGCTGTTAGCTGCACAGACCAGACCCCGTGTGACATTTTTATCCCAATCCAAGAGGATGGCACGGATTATTACCAGGAGTCACATGCAGACGGGATCTAGCCGCCGTCCCCGGCACCCAAAGTCAGGCAACCCTACACCAGCAAAAATTACGCTGATCGTATCCCACAGAGGAAAGAGATGAGAATCGTCAGGAGACGGCTGGATCCCGTGGGTCTTTCCACCCTCTTCACGGCAAACTGGCAACGCTGTCCTCTCTTGTAGACAACGCACTGTCCTCGGCAACTATGGGCGTGCCCAAAGAAGTCCGTATTGGCTTGGCTGGGGCCGATGCTATAAAGACGTGCTGGGGCACCAGACTGAGCATGTGTTTGACAAGCCTGTTCGCCCGCCTCTTGCCTGCGATCTTCACGCCAAGCAACACCAAGCCATGTTCTCGCAGTCGTCAAGCCTTCTGGGCACTTCAGGCCTCATCGCCGCCCTAGCCTCTGTCACTTCTGCTGGGGTTTGTGATCTCTACGCCCAGGGCAACACTCCATGCGTTGCTGCTCACAGTACTACACGGTGTTTGTACGACTCCTGCAAAGGGCCACTCTACCAAGTGAAGCGAGGATCCGACAACTCGACAGTTGATGTCAGCCCTCTGTCACAAGGAGGCATTGCCAATGCCGCGACACAAGACAACTTCTGCCAGAAGACGACCTGCTTGATTTCGATTATTTACGATCAGTCTGGACGCAACAACCACCTTACGCAAGCACCCCCAGGCGGTGCTGCCTCAGGGCCAGCTGATGGCGGCAAAGACGACCTTGTCCTTGCCACTGGAGCGCCCGTGACGGTGAACGGAACCAAGGCTTACGGAGTTTTCATCCAGCCTGATTCTGGATACCGAATTGACGTCAGCAATGGTGTCGCGAAGAACGACGATCCAGAGGGCATGTACGCAGTCTTTGACGGCACTCACTTCAACAACCACTGCTGCTTCGACTACGGAAATGCTGAACCCAGCAACAACGACACTGGAAATGGACACATGGAGGCGTGAGTTCTACCGAACAGCAGGATCACCCCTGCTTCACATCCGAGTCATGGTAGCTGACGTCTACTTTTAGCATATATTTCGGTACCGGTGACAGCAGCGGACGTGGCACTGGCGCAGGGAACGGACCGTGGATCATGGCGGACTTGGAGAATGGCCTCTTCTCTGGAGCCGATCCTGTCAACAACCAGAATGACCCCTCCATCAACTACCGCTTCGTGACTGCCATCATCAAGGGCCGACAAAACCAGTGGGCTATCAAGGGTGGCGATGCCACCAACGGCGGCCTCTCCACCTACTACAATGGCTCCCGTCCAAACGCCAACGGCTACAACCCAATGCACAAGGAAGGCTCCATCGTTCTAGGCGTGGGAGGCGATAACAGCAACAACGCTCAGGGCACGTTCTACGAGGGTGTGATGACCACGGGATACCCATCAGACTCCACCGAGAGCAAAGTGCAGGCCAACATCGTGGCGGCCAAGTACGCAACCACGTCGCTGACTTCCGGACCCGCAGTCAACGTCGGCTCCGCCATCTCCTTCCGCGTGACGACGCCCGGCTACACGACGCGCTACCTCCAGCAAAGCGGCAACGTCGTCAACACCGCCGTCGTGTCCTCCTCCTCCAGCAGCGACGCCAAGAAGCAGGCCAGCTGGAACGTCCGCACGGGTCTCGGCAACAGCCAGTGCGTGTCGTTCGAATCCAGGTACCAGCCGGGTAGCTACATCCGCCATTCCAGCAGCCGACTCATGGTCTCGTCGGACGATGGCTCCAAGCTTATGCACGAGGACGCTACATTCTGCCCTCTCGCTGGTCTGAACGGCCAGGGCAACTCGATCCGCTCGTGGAGTTATCCTACCCGATGGTTCCGTCACTACAATGCCATGGGCTATATCGCGGCCAATGGTGGGCCGAATGCGTTCGATACCACGGCCAACTACAATGATGATGTTAGCTTTGTCGTTGGGAATAGCTTTGCTTAGGTTGAGCGGTTATGAGGCATGGGATGGAACGGAATGGACGAAGATATGATGATTCCTCTTCCTGTTTATATTTGCAAAAACGTTCACAAATTCCTCCGTGTGCTTGTGCCTACCGTGTGGTCACTGTTTTGAGACGACTCGATCCGATCAAAGTTGCACAGAGCAAAGAAGGTCATGGTTGGTAGGTCGTTGAACGTCTCGCCGGTTCTCCGTAGCTGTGTGCGCCATGAGGTAAGCTCTACAATCAGTTCCTGCCCTTGAAGTAAGTACATCGAAAGAAGAGCAAGAGCAGACATGGTCCTGGACAGAGGCTCGGCAATCACATGTCAAGTACTACAGCCTTTGGTTCCCATCTCTAGTGTAGCGTAGAGTGTCAGGCTCTATCGCTCGCCCTAGCAAATCAGACCTGCCAAAAAGTTCAGTCCTTCCCTATTGAAATACTGCGTCGCCGATCGAACGCATGAAACCTCGTGAGACTTGCAATTGATACACTAGCTAAACCATTAGCTACTCGTTTCTTCATATTTGCCTTCTGATGTAGTGCAGCGTAGAGACCTCTATTAGATACGAAAGAGCTCACGGATCTGAAGAGCTTGCGTAATGCCTTACGCAACCGACCCCGAACAAACAACCGCTTCCCACAAGTTACCTTACAAGTCTATCGTCTACAGGGAGTTACATATTATTAATGGCTTATTGTCCATTGGACCGATGCTAATCTGATTGATCTCCATTCTACTTGCAGGCTTGTTTAGGAAGAAGTAGCGACACTCGTCTCCTGGCTGGAAACCCAGCGGAATCGGTGTTGTCGTGCTTCAAACTGCCTTACACCTCATTGAACGATCTCAAAACTTTGGTTCCAATCTCGTCGTGCTTGCAAAGGTATTCGGAAACGCATGGCGTCAGGCAAGGAGCTTCTTTCCACACGCCTAAGAAATCTTCTGAGTCTATGGCGACCCGACGCTGGAGACATTGACAGCCCTGTCCTGCCTTATCGCCACCCTCGCAAGCCACGTCGACGGCATGAGACACGAAGATGTCGGCGCTCGGACGCACTCAGTGTATTGAAGAGGACAGCGCGAACTCTCCCGATGGTCATTCTGTCGACATTGTGAGTGGCGAATCTTCGTCGTCCATCCCAGCTATGTACATGTACTGACTGGCATCCTCACAGCGGAGCCTTGCACATCCTCCAAGTCCTCATCGGCCGCTCACGCCTCTTCTGGGATGCCGATCGAGTCGAGTTCAACAGGTTCTTGCCGGATCTGGACAGGCTCCATCGCTTCGATAACGGACTTTTTCGCTCGACTGCGGACGCGTCTCAGGATGTAATCCCAATTCCCTGCCACTCGCACAACGACTACTGGAGGCGGGAGCCGCTCTTCGACGCCATCAGCTGGGGGTGTACGGGCGTAGAGGCGGATGTCTGGCTTTTCGATAGGGAGTTGTATGTCGGCCATACCATGTCGTCTTTGAAGCGAGGGGGAACGTTTCGGGAGATTTATGTTGATAAGCTTGTCGGGCTGCTTGATCGTATGAACGCAGGGAGCGAGGTCGGTGGCGGGACGGGGCAATTGAGTGGAGTGTTTCATCGAAAGCCTGGTCAGGCTTTGACTCTGCTGGTTGATCTCAAGAACAGTGGACGTCAGGCTTTTGAGATTCTGCAGAAACAGCTCAGCCCGTTGCGGGAGAGGGATTATGTCACGTACTGGAACGGACGGGAAGTCGTCCCTCGAGCGGTTACGGTGGTAGCGACGGGAGATACGCCTTTTGACTTGGTTATTGCGAATGCCACCTACCGCGATATCTTCTTCGATGCGCCGTTGGAAGAACTGTGGGAAAGGCCTCGCAGCCCTATAGATGCTGAAGATCCCATCCACGAGCTCGATAGCGAGATAGACTACGGGTCAGCCATGTCTCTACCCAACGAAGGCCAAACCTCGAGGCATGAATCAAGCAGCGACATCCACAACCAAGGCCCAGAACAGTACAACACCAACACCTCCTACTACGCCAGCACCTCCTTCGCCAAGACGGTCGGATTCGTCTGGCGCGGCCACCTCTCCCCCAGACAAATGGAGATCATCCGCGGCCAAATCCGCGGCGCCAAACGTCGTGGCCTCAAGACGAGATATTGGAATACCCCGCCGTGGCCGATTGCGTTGAGGAACCACGTGTGGCATGTGCTCGTGAAGGAGGGCGCCGATGTGCTGAATGTTGATGATCTCGCGGCGGCGGCGAGGCAGACGTGGAATGCGAGGGTGCATCAGTTGTGGTGAGGATGTTTGGAGGGGCTGGAGGCAGCGATCATACCATCGTGGAGTGGACGTCGACCAAGACATCCCCACGGCAATCAAAGCGACCAAGCCTTTGATCAGCCTCTCCAGGGACCAGTACCACTGACAAAAACGGAGATAGCTGGCTCCATCCTGAATGTCGAAGGTGGCCTGTACAAAACATGGTCTGTCGTGATTCTCCACATATATCTACAATCCGCTATCCCTCGCTATGCACACAGTATCCCCGAATTCCCATCGCCTTCCACGCCACTAGTCCACCTCATGTCCTGTTTGATGCACCAACAATCACGAAGAAACAACGCCATCGCTCAAAATGCATGTCATCAAAAGCCTGCTGTCCAAAGAAACTACCGTCTCCCATCGGGGCTCGCATCTCCGTCAATACTCTCCACGACTGCTTCATCGTCGTCGTCTTCGTTGCTGTCGTCCCAGTCGTCGCTCTCGAGATTCGCGCCCCTTATGCCGAAGCTCATGAGGAAGCCGAGAAAGCTCACTCCGCCGAAGATGCCAAATGCCATAGCCTCACCTTTGGGGTGAACGCGCGTGGCCGCGCTGAACAGGCTGCCGGAGATGAAAGGCCCCACAGCGCGCCCAGCAGCGCTCAGGGTTTGCGCGAGGCCATTCAACGTGCCCAGGACCGCGTGCGAGGGCGCGCTGTTGGTGATGAGGAGAAGCGCGCTTGTGAGCCCGCCCACGGAGGCGACGGTTTTCACAATCAAAATAGCGCCCAATTCCACCCAAAGCGACACTTTCCCCATGTTAGTAGCCTCACCTGAGCCGTCCGCGTTGTCTTTGTAGCCCACCCAGGGCATGAGGAGAAAAGCGATCACAAAGCCCGCCATGCCAGCGCGATAGGTGGTTTTATTACCTATCTTCTCGCGCAGCTTCCCGAAAACTCCAACTTGGAATAAGATCGTGATGAGGCCCGCAAAGGCAAGGCTGGTGCCGATTTCTTCGGGAACGAGAGCGCGGCCGGTTGGTGGCTTGGCTTCGGAGAAGATCGGATACAGCGAGTTGTATGAGATGTTGCTCAGTTGAAAGATCAGATACGACGACAGCAGCAATACGGTGTCACGATTGAACACGTCTTTGCTTTCAAGATGGTCGTGGTGATCGGCATCGGAAGCGGCGTCGTCTGAAACCGAATCTTCCTCATCGTCCTCTTCGATCGCGTCGTTTGTGGACAGGGGCCTATACGGCTGCTGGTTGTCGTGGGCACCCTTACTCGCACGCCGCACATAGGTTGGGGTGTGCGAACTGGTAAACTGCCAGATCCACGAGAACAGGCTCTCTATTCTCCTCTTCAACGGTGGCAGCTCGGACGCGGTATCGAGGGATTCCTTCAAGAAGATCGCGGTCAAAACGAAGTCAATCACCAACACCGCCGCTGAGAACAGGTTCGGCAGCAGATATGGGTATGGGTTGGCATGTCCTTTCTTGAACGGGTTGTCCCTGAGCACCAACAGTCCACCAACAAGAGGTCCTGTTATCCCTCCAATGCCGTATATCACCGGCAGATACGTGAATGCCCTGCTCTGGTTCGACCTGTCCGTAATCTCGCCCAAGCATGTACTAATGACGCCCTGATTGCCATTGACCAGTCCCATCAATGCTTGCACCACTATCGCCTGCCATAGGGTCCTGCAGAACCCGAATGCCACGAAACAGGCTGCTGTCAACAGCGTGCCTGTAAGTACGACGGGCTTCCTGCCTATCCTGTCGCTCAGCCATCCCCAGAGGAAGTTTGTCGCAAACTGTGCTGCTGCGAATGCCGATGCAATCAGGCCGACATACATGCCAATCTCCCCCTCTTCGACCTCTGGAAACGTACTCGCCATATCAGGCAGATAGGGAGAGATACTGTTCAGAGCCGTCTGCTCTGCCAATGCAATCACAGCCAGTATAGCGAGTTGGCCTGTGGGTAGGGGTGTTTCGTGGTGGTGATTTTGGGACGAGTACGATTCCGATCGACTCAAATGCGGCGAGGGCGGGTGGTTGCCATTGGGGTGGGAGGAGTTGTCTATGCTCTTCATGCTCTTTGGCGGCGGACGGCCGGCGTTCCTGGGAGGCGCGGTGGGAAAGGTCTGGTAGTGGTAGGACCCCGAGGCTCGATGATGGAGCGACTGCAGTGCGCCGGGGCGATTATTAGTCGAAGATTGCGACGGCATCCCCGCGAGTTTCCCAGCGACTACGCTGTCGATAAGAGCTACGGCAGCTCAGTGCGCTCGATTGGGATTGGGATGTGTCTGTTCAGTCGGTTCGGGGATATCTCGTCGGCGGCGTCGCATCGGCGGTCGATGTAGTGGCTCGTCTATCCTTTATCGACTCGTTCCAGTACTCCTGTACAATTCCTTCACTGGCTCCTCGTACGAACGGAGCTGCCCATCCCGCGTGATGTTGGAAAAGCTCGCATCGCCGCCACACGCGCGCCAGCCAATGGAGTGACGACATCGAGATAAGGTTTGATCAAGGCTAGATCCGACGCTACGAGCCGGCTAGCCAAAGAGATGAAGTGAATAGGTCAGACTACCTTTTCTTCGCTGCCAGCCTCACTCCAACCCTCACTCCAACATATATTGCAGCCTAGTGTCGCATCGCTTCTCATCATTACAGCATTAAGCTTCCACTGGACTCTCCTCAGTGTCTTGCTCGGCTCGGATTTAACTTCGTGCGATTGAGCACACGGCAACTCTTGCGAGGCACAAGTGTGACTTCTGGGCGTTCTTCTAGATATGAGATGTCTAAACCTGGGAAGTATCTATTGTATGATTGCATGTTCCTGCCTTGTCCGATGCTCCAACCCGTCCTCAAGTTGCATTGGGGCCTATTCCTCCGCAGCATTTCCACCCACAGCTTTTAACATTCTCATAAAGACTTCTTGTCACTTAACTGCAAGATGCGATTCAATCTTCGCCATTTCTTCTCTACGATCCAACCAAAGAGCAGACAGGATGTGTGCAGGATCAGGAACGTCTCTTCGGTGACCCGTACCCAACACCTCTCTCACACTAGTAGGTGCGCAAAAGGAGATCTCCTTGTCTTCCAATTATGCCCATGATCATGTTGAAAGCTGCCGCAAACTCGGTAATGTCAAGTGCAAAGGGGATAGCTGACACTGGAAGACCAAAGAGAGTAGTCATTGGAAGACATCCCCGTCATTGAGGATGCGACTGTGCTCGTCGGTTCTTGGGTTCTGCTGGCTGAAAGGCCGCCTAGAGGGCCAGAAAGCTCTGATGGATGTCGACTTGTAGGTCCATTCATATTAGCATTATACAAGCCTGCGCGAGTATACTTGAGAGTACTGCTGTCATCGACTGACGTTTGTTTGCTGGAAAGGAACCGACGTATTCCAAAACTGTACTTGGCCAAGAGGCTGACATATGTAGCTTTCGAGTGCCACTGTGATATTCTGTTAGTAGCAACGCAACAACGATGATGTTTCGCCAAAGAGAACACACCGTTCTTCCAACTACAAACCCAACAAGCCAGGCATCTACCGCTAGACCCAACCTCCAGCCAATGCCCTCTTCCGCTCCGTTACGCTCGTCCTTGACCACATATCTATCTAGCACATGGCAGTGGCTCGTAGGCGCTCGATGGGTCTATATCGTCTCTGTGCACGACTTCTCCAGCTCTTCAGCACACGGTCATCGGCTGTTTCGGCACACAGGCGGACGCTGAAGCTGCCAGGGACGGGGCAATTGAAGGGAGACAGTCGACTGGCAGGAGAATTTGGAGGAGGTTCGAGGAGATTGAGGAGGGGGCTCATGGCATTCTTGTGGAGGATAGAGATGTGCGGAGCTGTGATGTTATGGGCTTGGTGGAGAGGATGAGGGTTGGGTAGTGTTTCGAGCGTTTGTTAATAGCCCAACGTCTAACATGTGCACAAGCGGTTACTTTTTCTTCTTGACAGCACCTTCGATCATTCCATCAATCCCCCGCAATCTTTGCAATTTCTTCAGCTCGTGCTCACTGGGGTCTGACGTTTCTGGCGTGATGATTTTGACCTCCTCGAGCCCTTCATGGCGCTCAATCTCTGTAACGATCTGCTTCGTGAAGATAGCCCAGGATGAAGGTTGAATGAATCTGATACTCTGCACCCTCTCGATCCAGAGAGACCGGAGATTCGGCAAAAGGTGCAACTGTGATATATCGCCGTATGCATTAGCTGCCTGCACGGCCGCGATGGTCAAACTCGTGATGGCTTCTCGGCGTACGGGACCTAGCGATGCTAGAAAGTTCCGCAGATCGTGGCAGTGTAGCCTGTTGATTTGGTACAAGATTTTCTCGGCTTCGAAGTGAATTTGGCGGCATGTCAGGAGAACTACGAGCACGGATGGCTTGTTGGTCGGTGTTCGTCGGCGGAGATGGAGGCCTAGGTCGGTGGACCTTGGGCTTTGCAGGAGAAATTCGTAGATGTGAAGTCTTATCTCTGCAGGAAGGGCGAGGAGTCGAGACTCAGACTGTGCGGCGATGGGTCTGGCGCTGTTCGACTCGGTGCTTTCTGAGGCGTCTGTGACTGGCGGAGCGTTTGAAGATGATTCCATGCTTTCTCCTGCGCGGAGGGAGACTTGGAAGCTGATGTATGCTGTCCGTCTGCTTGATGCCGCTGCATTGTGACTGGAAGGTATTTCGTTGCCGTCGACGATCTGCCAATCTGTATCTATGATGTCGTCGATGGGCATTTTGGAGGCTGTCTTCCACCACGTTGGAATATCTAACGACGAGATTTAGATGTGCCCATGCTGCGTCTTCGACATGAAATTCCATATTGTTGCCTGTTCTGTGATGCAGGATGACATAGCTGAGCTCGCTCAGCTGTGCTTCCAGTACGGCTTGGCCTCGCTGGTCTACTTGCCAGCTATCTCCGGTACAGCCACGCCTTCCAACACCTCAGGAGCGTAGTTACGGGCATGGTGGCATCCGTCTTCTGGGGGATGCCTCGCACGGATAGAATCTTTCCTCAAGTTCGAGAACATGTCTACTTCTATCTGGAATCTTTCTATTATCTATTCCATCGGCGAGAATTCCAGCTTCACCAGGAGTATCCACACTTTCGACCAGCTACGTTTGGACCTACGCCTTGCCTAGCCTTTTTTCCAATAGCCTTCTCAGCCTCTTCCAGCGACTTCGTATGGTCATATCTCAAACATGATCTTATCTTTGCCGTACATTCCCCTTCCACGCAGCAAAATCTGTACCTCTCGGACCACGGCCCGCCATGAACAATCCCGCAGCCTTGCTCGAATCGATAATCCCTTGGGTTCGAGGCAAGCGGATCTCATTGTATACTTCCAGTGCTATTGCGGCTTCAGAGTGAGAGCTGGACCGCGAGAAGAGCCGGGACAAGACCAGTGCATATTCAAGGGACATGCAACCACCGGAGCCTTGCCTAGACGATCGACATTAGCAGCCAACTTCATAGATCGCAATGTGCTTACCCTCACCAAGGCGTTGTAGAGTGCGCGGCGTCCCCCATAACAGCCACCCTGCCCTTTACATACGTCCGGGCATGTGCATGGTCCCGCATATAGGATGCATTTGGGGGAGGGTCTGCGCTCACAAGAAACTTAGACCACGCCTTTCGAAATTTCGGCGGCCACTGCTCAAATTTCTTCTTCTCGACTTCAAGATCCGGAGTCCTCATCCAGGTGTCTCCCTGAATGGTGTCCGGACCCCAGACGCACGTCACAAACAGCACCTGCCTGACGCCATCGGAGATGTTATGCATGATCCAAGTCCCCTCACCGAGCCAAGCATATTCTCGAGGCTGATCCACATCGATCAAGTCGGCGAATACAGCAGAGGGATAGAACCATTCAGCAGAAGGATGGAGGGTATTCAGCAGAAGTATTTAGAGATTCGTCGGGAGGATGTCGTCTGGAGCGCTAAGATAATCAATAAATGCAGCTATGCTTCGCACGGCCAGGAGTACGCCTTACCTGTCTCACCACCACAAACACGGACATTTCGTTTGGATAGCCAGTAAGATGTAACGAGACGCTTGGAGAGACCATGGGGACCCGTAATGTGTCTAATACATGCCGTGAAACTCTACATATGCTTAATGCAACCTCATGCCATGCATTCTCTACGATAACGGACATAGGACACCTTCCGCATTCTCTTTCCACTCGGCGCTGCCGACGCATGTCACGCAGTAAAAGACGCCAGCGGGGTCGCGGAAGTTCTTGATGGCAAGGAGAGGCCCGTAATGAAGGCCGTAGAAGTTCCATGGGTAGTCTGGGTCGAGCCGGTTGGCTTCGTTCATGTAAACGCCAGTGTCCCAGGCTTGCTTGTTCATGGCGGCGTCTTTGACGTAAGTGATGTCGTTTTGCGTCGCGTCAATCACAGACTGGTTGCTACCAGGTGCCCAGCCTCGCGCCACGATGTTGTTGAAGTAGCTGATGCGCCAAGCCGGGTTGACGCCGGAGAGCGGGTCAGAACCACCAGAAAAGACGGCACCACCACCGACGATTTCGAGGCTGTTGCTCGTAAACTCCTCTGGAGTACCTGCAATGACCCCGATCATTTCGCGCAGGCCAGCAGGATCTTCCTGGACGGAACGACGCGAGAAGAGCCGGGAGCCAAGAGCCGAAGCAGTGCCAACAGGTCCGTTCACAGCGGCAGCCTTGTAGTAAAAGTCCCAGTAGTCGGGGAAAGACGTATAATCGACTGTAATAGAAAGCGAGGTACCGTTGTATGGCTTCAGCTTTTCGAGAGTAGGTGCGAATAACTTCTTAGCCGTGTCGGTACTCTGGTTAAAAAGGTAAATACCGTGGACGTATCCAGCGGTCGAGTTGCCAACAAGTGGCGTGGGTTGAGCAATGGACCAAGTACCATAACCAGCGAACCCACCATCGTTAAGGTCTGGAATGGCCTCATAGATGATTGCGACGGCATCCAGCAGAGACGACGTGTTCGAAATGTCCAAAGGTGCGATGCTCAGACTTTGCATTTGCACATCAAAGTTCGGGTGCGCCTTGATGCTGACCTCTGCGACGACACCATAGGTACCGCCGCCGCCACCACGGATGGCGAAGAAGACGTCCTGGTTCTCGCAAGCGTTTGCAGTAATGACGCAGCCGTCAGCGAGGACGACTTGAGCGGAGAGCACTTGATCAGCACCTAAACCGTACTGACGGGTGGCAGGGCCGTGCCCGCCCCCTTGTAGCCAGCCTCCAAGAACAGAAACGGTGGGGGTGCCGCCGCCGACAACGACCACATTGTTTTGTTGAGCAATTGGGTAAACGTTCTCCCAAGTATAGCCTCCACCGACGGAGAATGAAGGCCCATGGTAGTTGGTAGCTGGACAACTCGACTCATATGATTCGCTGAAGGTCAGGCCAGTGCGCAGGTGACGGATCCAGACCTCGAGACTGCCATAACCTGTTGATCGCCCGAGGATGTCGTGGCCGGTATCCTTGATGACCAGTCGCACGTTGTGCTGCTTTGCAAACTTTACGGCGGCGGAGATGTCATCAACGACGGTGGCGTTCACCGCATAACGAGGACTGTCGCCGATTGTACAAGGGCCACTTGCCGGTAGCTGGGTGGTGCTGCCGTTGACGGGTGGGCAAGTCAAGTCACGAGGATAGTCGTAGCCAACAGGCGAATTTGCTTGGAAGGTGGCGTTTGTCCACTGGTCGTCGACCTTGGCGCAGTGCGCGGCGTTGAAGGATGGGCCAGCATCTAAGGCTCGTTAGTAAGGCTGACGGGTAAGTTGGCAGCATGGCGTGGCGACGCGACACGTACAGCATGAGACGGCTAGAGGCTCGGTTTCGATGAGCTTGCCACTGACCGTGTTGTTGAGACTGGCCCAGGCGGCCTGACTCGGCCAGCAGCTGTCCGAAGGGCCCTATTGTGTTGGAATAAGCATGGCTGGATGGAGAAGGGGAGCAGAGTTGGGCAGACGCACGCATTTGCACGAACGTCCAGAATGGAATGCGGCACTGGCCGACGAGAAGAGAGCGGCGAGCAGAAGGAAGGCGCGCTGCATGATTGCTGTTTCACACAGACAGCTACCGGGTAGGCGAGGGAGAAAGAACAGGGGCGACTGCCGGCAAATGTGGCACAAGAGAGAATGAAGAAGCGAACAGTCTCGAGCAGAACATTATTGTTTGATGCGCGAAGTAAATGTTGAAGAGGATGCAGCACCAATCTGCACGACCACGAGGCACCGCGCGCAGAATGCAACACTAGTTCTATCAACATGGGTGGCGTCTCCACGGTGGGCAGAAGATCGACGGCGGCACAGGACCCGAAGGATTCTGGAAAGGTGATAGACGCCCCAGTGCCCGAATACAGAACGCTGAACGGCAACCGAACCAGCACAAAGTCCAGCGTCCTCTTTCCTTGAATCTGACACTAACTTCGACACAAACGGCGTCATGTCGCTTGCAGGGCCCTGCTTTCACGCGTGAAGTTCAACTTATTGCGAGCCAGGGTCAAAACGAACTCCCAGTCGACAGACATACAATAGGTACTTTCGGAAGCCGCCACGCGCCTGTCGACCGTGGGCACGCCGGCACTGGTGCCACAACGCTCTTTAATCCCACCCCTTCCCGTCTCTTACATATCCGATTGTCTCTTTGCTCAATCTCACCATGGCCGGCGGAGAACTTGTACTGCCTTCGACCGCCCGCAATCTTGGGCCCGCTGGCCTCATCACCGTCGCCTGGGTTGGCTTCGCCCTCGCAGCCAGCCTGGTTGCTGTCCGATGCTATGCCCGTCTCACTGAGGTCCACCGCTTCCACATGGACGACTACTGGCTGCTCACGGCACTGTTGTTCCTCTTGATCAACGCCATACTGCAGACTTTGCAGACCCCATCCACATTCTACCTTGCATGGCTCCAAGCCGGCAAACAGGAGCCCCCGGAACAAACACTCGCGGTTGGCAACTTATACGTGCGATATGAGTTCGTATGCCATCTCCGTCCCTTCTTCGCTACTGGCCGGGCTTGCTAAGATCCTTAGGTCATCATTGCTTTCTTCTGGACTGTCTGCTGGTGCGTGAAAGCCAGCTTCCTTGCCATGTACAAACGGTTGTTCGATGGTCTACCACACTATCTAAGACTTTGGTGGGTGGTCGTGCTGTTCACCGCGGGAGCATACATCGGATGCTGGTTCGCCTCGGCTTGGACGTGTCATCCACCCAGCACATACTTTCATTTCGGCACGTATCATCTGCCAGACAGATGTTCGAAGACCTCCGGCTAACATGACTTCCACAGGCGAGTGCACGAAGCCAATTGATGTGCGCGGCGGCGTCATATCCATCTCCTACAGCACCGCCGTTGATATCTTGTCCGACTTGATGATCATGGCATTACCCATCCGCATCATCCCCTCTCTGCAGGTTAGCCGCGCCCACAAGCGAGGTCTGGTCCTGATTTTCTGCGTCGGCTTCTTCGTCATAGCTGCCGCGGTGGTTCGCTTGACCCAGATCGTCACGAGCGAGCGTACCGATCCTGCTGGTCTGTCAGTTTGGGGTCTCGTGGAGAGCAGCATTTCCGTCTGTGTGGGCAGTCTTCCAGCCCTGAAAGCCCTCATCAGCCGCAAAGTCCACACCACCTTTCGATCTGGCAGATCATCTAGCAAGTCCAGGTCCCGAAGCCGGCGACTGAACTTCAGCACAGATGAGGAGCAGCACGAACTGTCCAAGACGAGCAATGCGAACGCGATCGCGTCGAGTGATCGTTTGACTTCTGATCCTCACTACATTGATCAAGTAGCTCATGGTCAAATTGTAGTCGAACGAGAATACATTGTACACTGAGCCTGCTACCAGCGGCTTCGACGAATGAGCGCGTGTATGATACGAGTTTCCGCGGGTTGTAGCGAGGCGTTTGGAGAACGAAATGATTATATAAGTGATTTGGACAAAAGCGGAAAGCACTCGAGTACACTCCTGCTCGTCACAATGCCGACTCTCTACTGCAGATTCGCCTTAGCAGGGACCAAAACGTGTGGACATAATGTCGAGTTGCTCCCTGGCTCCGCCCCACAGCCTGATCGGGCAAGCATCTTCCAGAGTTGGGCACGTCGCACCAAAAGTCGAAAAGAGATTATATTGCCAAAAGATGTTTTCCTTCGGAAAGGTCTCTCAAGACACTTAGGATACTGTCGCAACGCCACAAAAAAGTGCAGGAATGAATGGCACCCTGTGGAAGAAGGAGCCTCCTCGGCACACTGAGTCAGTCACAGACTGCATATGGAAGACAGATGTAGCCTCGACCACATTCGATGACATATGCCAGAATCTGCATGTCCCCTTGCAAAAGCCCTATTTTGATATCAATTGCTGTCCCAGAGATGCTGGGAATTGATGCGAGGCATATCCAAGCCTGTCAGGGCACAGTCGGATTTAGGCGGTGTTTCGATGACCGCACCTGCCATTTGGCACTCAAATTCCCTTCATACCTGGAAACATGCCTTCTACTCGGACAAGCCCCTTTACAGACCACTTCGGCTTCCTTGTGCATGAGACTATCAAGAAATGGAAAGTCCCCGGCCTAGCGTTCAGCGTCATACACGAAGATCAAGAATTTTCAAAAGCATACGGTCTGGCGAATATCGAAAAGAATGAATCAATCGATGTAGATAAGACGGTCTTTAATGTCGGCAGCACGACCAAAGCTCAGCTCTGCGCTGCTTGGGCGATTTACATCAATTCTGAAAGCAACACCATGAAACTTAAGAAGGACCAGGTCGGCTGGAAGACACCGCTAGCCCAGATCATCCCGGCAGACTTCATCCTTCCAGACCCGATCCACGCCCAACAAGTCACCTTGGAAGACGTTCTGTGCCATAAAAGCGGCATGGTGAGTCATGATTTAGCTTATGGCTGGGGACAGACACGTACACCCCGGGATGTGACGAGAAATCTTAGGAATCTGGCATTGAAGAGTCTTGTCAGAAGCGAGTGGTCGTATTGCAATATCGGATATGGTGTCGCGACGCATGCGTTAGAGGTACTAACTGGAAAGGCCTTGACAGAGTACTTGAGAGAGGAGCTGTGGGTGCCATTGGGAATGAAGAGCACATTCGGTGGGATACAGGACTTGGACGACAAGAACGAGGCTGAGAGGTTGGCGAAGGGGTATACGTGGTCGAGACTGCCGGTTGATGAGGACTGTAAGTCTAATCTTTGTCGTTCTTATCTTGCTAGTTCAAATTCCCAGCACTCACCGAGGAGACAACGAATGTGTTCTGATTCGAGCACTCAGGGGAGCAAGGCGGTTTCGAATTGTCTCAACCTCAAGACATCTCGCCCGTCTCAGGCGCTGGGTACATCAACTCAACGGTCAGCGACTACACGAAGTGGCTCCGTTGTCTGCTTACCGGCAGCGCTCCTTTGACTAAAGATATTGTTGAAGACCTCTTCATACCTCGTAGTCCAGTCCCAATGGTCACCACCCTTCACAACACCCTTCGAGGGCGGCCACGTCCAATACGCCCTCGGTTGGTTCGTTGGTGTATTACACGGCTTTAAGGTCCTCTACCACACCGGAGGAAGTATCGGATACGGAGCCATGGTGATGCTTGTCCCGGAGTGTCGCTGGGCTGCTGTTATGCTAGGTAACGAATTCAATACTGGGCTTCGTGTAGCCAGTCTTGTTTTCGAGCTTTTTGAGGTGTCCCTGGGAATCCCGGAACATGAGCACAAGGCGTTTATGAAAACGGACGAGGCTGTTGCGGCGAGGGAGAGACTTGGCTTTTCATCGCGAGAGACAAGGCTTGAGGCTCTCTTCCCGGATGCCCCTTCTCGCACATCGATCCCACCAGCTTTGCCTCTCGCCTCATATGCTGGTGCGTACTTTAACCCCGGATATGGTCCTCTCACACTCACTGTGTCCGAGGGTGAAGACATCATCCGCTGTGAAATCACAGACAGGACCTGGCCCGTAAGCATCAAAATCCAACACGTCAACGCTGAGCACTGGTTCTTCGAGCAGACCAATGGCAACCGTGAGATATGGAAGGCGGAGTCCAAGATCGGCGTTAATGGAGAGGTGGAACGGTTTGGAGTCGCCATAGATGGGACGTCGGCTGATCACCTGGTATGGTTCGACAGGCTGAGATAAGAATGCTTCCCTTCAGATCGCAAGTCAAGAATCTAGCAAGTCTTCACTTCACCAACCTCACATTAACCCCACCTCTAATCTTCAAAATAATAACCCCATCCTCAAGCATCATGCCCTTAGGATCCAGGCTCTTGATCTCCCGAAACCGCAAGGCAAAAGCCACAACAACATACGCCATCTCACCCAATGCCAGCGCTTTCGCCGGGCAAATCCGTCGTCCACCTCCGAACGGAATCCACTCGAAGCCAACACTTTGCGGTTTGGAAAGTTCAAGCCAGCGTTCTGGTCGGAAGAATTCTGCATCGGAACCCCAGACGTCTTTGTCGCTCTACATGGAGCGGATCTGTGTGTACAAGACTGAACCTTTGGGGATCAGGATAGGCTGATCGCCGTGGGCGCCGCCTCCTCGAGGGAGAACGATGTCTGAGAGGATATCGCGGACTGTCTGCCCATTTGGTGGTCCGCCGAGCCGGAGTGCCTCGTTGACGACTGCATTGACGTATGGTAACGTTTTGAGGGAGTCGTAGGAGATTTCCCTGTCGTCCCGGAAACCAGCTGCGAGGACTTCTGCTCGAACCTTTTCGTAGACCGTGGGATTCTGGGAGAGGTAGAGCATGACGTGTGTAATCTCAATTGCGACTGAATCTCGCCCGGGCATGAAGACATTGAGAATTTGGTCTCGCAAGTACGTCTTGTCTTTACTGCCCGCCTCGCGGATGAGCTCGTCGATAAACGCATCTGAACGCTTGATGGGCCCGCCCTCTTTCGTCTCGAAATCTTGGACGGCCGAGTCGACGTATCGTCCGATAAAGCCTTGCGTGGCGTCCAAGGGCTGATTCCAGGTCTTCGTCCATCCTTTCCACCATCGGACTATCCAAGGCTGTGCTGAGCGGACGACTTGTAGTTGGGATTCATCGCAGGCTGTGAGGAATGAGGCAACGTCGATTTTGGAAGCTTCTTTGTTGATGGTGTTGACGTCTTCGCCGATGAGGAGGTCCATGGTGAAGTCGAGGAACTGAAACATAAATCAGCAGCTACATCTTCGTCACAGTTTTCTGGTCCCAGGCTCAATTAATTCACCTACCATTCGAATAAAATGACTCTGCAAATCGACCTCAAGCCCCTCTCGCTCAAGCTCATCAAAGAGCCGTGCCAGATGTCTCTCGAGACGGCTCATATCCGAGATCGCCGTCCTCTTAAAGACTGGCTTCAGCATCTCCCTCGATCGCCTCCAAAACTCTCCATCCATCGTAAACGCACCGCGCCCCAACCAAGAAAGCAGCCCAGCCCTCGACGGGCCCGCTCCAACATCCGTCGCAGGCGCCGTGAGCTCCGCCTGGACATTCGCCGGGTCGCATGTCTGGAATATCCGCTTGCCCCAGATGCGAGTCTCGAACGTCTTGCCGTAGGTAGCGAATTGTTCCCGGTACCATTGTTGGCGAGTTCCGGCGATGGAAGCTACTACTAATGAATCCCGCCAGTCGGAGCCGAAGAGGAAATCTTTGTGCTGGTAATGGGGACATCGATGATAGCCTTTTCTTTTGAGGTGGACTGCGAGACGGGTGCGGTTTATGGCGTAGAGGTAGGCGATGTAGATGAGCGCGGAGATTGAGGCGGTGGCGAGCACGATGCTGGCCAGTCCTGGGTTGAGCATCGCCAAGGTCAGTATCGTTAGGCCAAGAAGAAGAGTTGAGAGTGAGACCCGTGAATTGTCCTAATCACTGATGACGCAAGCTGTACGGTGACAATCCTTTGGAGCATATTGCGAGCCAATGCCTGCTGCACCGCATATACTTCCTCTTTGGGAAGCCGGATCGTTGTCTGTTGTCCAACGAGTATCGAGGGATATCTGCATCTATTCTGTCGTCGGTCTACGGTGCTGTATATGGAAGAAGCTGTTTTGCATCGATTTTGCTTTTTGAGATCTCCCTCTCAATGTCCCCTAGAAGTGGAAGGCTGTATCAATTCGACTGCTGTGCGGGGCCCCCGGGGAGGGCGGCGGGGGCGGGACTGAGGTCCCGTCTTTTGCTCGTCCATCCAATGCACGGTAACTTCTGGCTAGACACATTTTTCGAAATGAGAGGCGATTGACCGTGCCAGCTGTAGTGTTGATGTTGGAGTTCCAGTGACAGTGGCCTCAAATTCTGCCCTTCGGAAGCGGCGAGATCCACCGATTGACAAGGAGCAACCTCCGAAACTTCGTCACCATCTTGATATCCATCATTCCTACGTCTCTCCACGGCTTATCCATTTAAGAATACATTCAATCTACCAAAAGATGTCGACACAGTCAGCATCTCCTCCCTCACGCAAGCGGCGGGCCACCAGGGGCCCAAGTGCCAGTCTGGCGTGCGAAGCATGCCGCGTGACGTACGTTCTGGACTTTGTGTGATTGGCATTAGACAAATGGCTGACGGCTTTGGATAGCAAATCGAAATGCGATGAAGAGCGTCCTCAATGCAAGGGCAATTAACAGGCTTTGAGATCCCAAAGCTAATACAGAACACAGGTGGCAATTGCCTTCGCCGTGGTGCCCCGTGCGAATATCGCGAAGCCTTCTCTGAGAAGTGCGTGAGCAATTCATACAAGGAGGATGGAAGACCGCTGACTTGGCTAGACTTGAGAGATCCACCACAAGCATAACCGATTCCCTACGCCGTATCGAGAACAAGCTCGACACATGGAACATGAGCAATCAATGGCGATTTAACAACGAGGTTGGTCACCCGTCGCCTACCTCGCGCGATTGGGAGAGGACAGGTGCCACTTCATCTTCGCAAAGCCTCGGCAACGGGGGCTCTCAAACTCTGCATTCCGGAAACGTCGAGAACGAGATCTCGCCAACTCGGCTCTGGTCACCAGCACCTGAGGATACAGTTCTCACCGTACCACATCAGATTCTGCTGTGGCCAGTATTCTACCAAGTTTTGACCCAGGCAAATCCAGAAGCGGCTACTGGTCTTTCTCGCATCCGCCAGCAAGGCTCGTTTTGGTTCATCAGCCATGAAATCAGCACCCGCAAGAGCGTGCAACCCCCTGGAAGTCATATCGAATCAGATCCAGTCTGTCCAGTATGGCCGACACTGGAAAGAATTCAAGTGACTGATTTGACGTTGGACTGGATTATGAGTCGCTCAGAGGCTTACTTTAACACCTTCAACATCCTCTTTCCAATCCTCAACCGTAGTCATTTCACTAACCACGTCTGTCACAGCGTGCTTCGAGATGGCTTTATAGAGGGCGAATCGAACACTGTCATTGCGTTGCACGTCTTCGCCCTGGGCGAGGTTGCCATATTGACGTCGATGAATGACAACTGGACCCCGGCCGCGCAGCGAAACGAGGGAGAACGGCAAAAAGGGCCGAAAATTCGTGCCCCTGGACTGACACTGTTCAATGAAGCCCGACGCCAACAAAGCATGATGCATTCGCACAATCTATTAGAGAAGGTTCAAGCATTACTCTTGCAGGGAATGTATTACGATTCAGCATCTTGTTACTTGGACCTATGGCAATCACTCACAGCAGCGTCGATAGCATGCCAAACCCTAGTCAAGTCTCATGAGGGAGACTGGTCGGGCTCCCGGGGCGACTACGTCAAACGAGCTTATTGGACTTGTGTCCTAACCGAAGACATGTTCCACGTTGATCTAGACCTTCCACCTACCGGTATAACCGCTATGCAAGATGAAGTACCCTTTCCTCATTTTCAAGAGCTACGAGACGCTGAGACCACGTACAACCCTCGACAAAAAGACAGATCAGAGGCTGCTTGTCTGCAATTCCTGGCTATGCTTACGCTACGGCGGATCATTACCCGCATCCACCGCACATTGCATAGTACCACCGATCGTATGTTGAAGACAGAAACAGCGGAGCAATCTATCGGGTGAAAGGCTAATGGTTGTCTCAGAATCTGCAACCGCAATTGACGATACGAAAGCCAACGTCCTCGCTGAGCTGGTCAGTCAACTTGATTCATGGCAGTCAGCCTTACCGGCTCGGTTACAGTGGTTAGAAAGACCAGACGGCCCTTCACCAGCACCTTCGTACACACAGAGAGAGTCTACCAGAGCACAGATCCACACCGACGAGACCACAGACTACCAGAAAGCACCAGACACCAGAACACCGCAGTACGCCACAACCCGCCAAGACTATATCAACGCCCCGATCGCTTACGAACACATCGATGTCGTTGTCATTCGAATTCGTTACTACTACGCCCGCTTGATCGCCGAACTGCCCCTCCTCTACAAATGCCTCCACACCGCCGAAGACATTCCTCACAACGACAAAATCCGCTGCGGACAGGCAATCCGCTACGCTTGCGACTGGCCGCTCGTCATGTCACCTTTGCTGCGAGATCACAAACGCCTCGTCCCGCAGAACTTCGCTTGCACGCACAACTTTATCTGGATCACCGTCTTGCTGCATCTTGTGACTCGCAACAAGCGTTTGCGTGATATTTGTCAGGCGGATCAGATGCTGGATCGTGTTGCGAAGAGTCAGCAGCAGACGTTGTTTTGGCTGCATGATCTCTCTGGGACGGACTGTGTTGCGCATTGGGCTTGGCATACGCTTCAGTTGGGGGAGCTAGCGTCAAGCCCGTGATTCTGGTTTGCTCCATTCCAGCATATGCTCTGAGAAGAGTCAACATGGTGAAAGTCTGGAGAGTCTTACCGCTGGGAGATTTGTGCTTGCCTTTGGCCCAAAACATTATTTTTCGTCATGTGGTTCGGCGTGCTCGTGGGGTCAGAGTGTCTCAATGTGCTTCTGCCGTTGTGAAAGTACAAATGGAAATGAGACTCGGGTTTGGTGGTGACCTACCTCCATGGCTCATTGGTAGAGATGGGCACAAGCTGACGGACGTGTGCAGAACATGGACTGCGGTGTCGAATGCTCAGCCTTGCTATTGCCCTTCCGATCTGTGCCGTCGGACGGGAAGGCCAAGAGTCTCCACCTTGTGTCGATTAGACGTCTATCAGGCTTGAAGATCGTCGCGATAGCAGGGATGATTGCCACAAGGGCTATCGTGGAGATCGGGATCCCGACAATGGCTGCGGCTTCTACAAGCATGTTTGACCCCAACTTCTGCGACTCCAGTGCCCAGCAACATATTTGTACATGAGGCCCTTGCTTGGAGAGATCTGTGACACGCGAAAATTGTTTAGCGAACAGAATAGTTCGACAGCCAGTATAGCGAAGACGTGAGGTCAGCTATCGTCCGATCGGCTCCACGGCCCGATCTCCGCACGCGCGAGCGATGTTCAGGGGCAATGCTTGTTTCACGCCTCGATCCAGGGTTCACTTCGTCACTCCAGCAAACGGCTCTCCTGAGAGCTCAAGGAGCATCTGCGGTCGGAGAATGGCGGTCGTGTGCTGGCAAGACAAGTCACGACGTCGCACCTTCCACCTGACGTAGCACACAACAAACAGGAAGAGCAATCCCGACAAACCTCCCCACATAACTAACAACAGCCTCGCCCACCGTGTCTTCCTCAACCAACCCCGCCTACCCGCGTTCCTCCACCGGCGCACGAGGAGCCAGCGGAGGAAAAGGACGAAACCGCAGCTCCAGCACCGTCCTCGAGTCCGCCTCATGGTACAAGCCCGAACCCGCCGCCATGCCGCTCAAACCGCCCGAGAGCTACGAGCTCGACCAGCCCTTCCTCGAGCGCAAATCCCTAGACGAAGACGATGACGGCGACCTTTCCGATGTTGATGAGTTTGATCCTTTGAAGAATAGCAAGAGGCCGTATACCGATGATGCGGAGCAGCCGCTGAAGAGTGTGTTTGACTCGGATAAGAGTGAGGGAGGATTGGCGTGGTCGGATTCAAGACGGAGGAGGGGTGGATGGCAGCAGTGGCTCGTTCCCAGCAAGTTTTGCTGTGCGCTTATGCTGTTGTTTGTGGCAACATTGGTGCTGTTGCTGAGTGCTGGTGGGATCTGGGTGTACAAGTCCGCGGGTGTACCTGAGGATGGGGAGTCGGATGCATGGTATCCTTCGCCGAAAGGCGGGGTGACAGAGAGGTGGAAGGACAGCTATTCGAAGGCGAAGGAGATGGTGGGAAAGATGACGCTGGTGGAGAAGGTCAACGTTACGTCGGGAACCGGTTGGATGATGGGGCCTTGTGTGGGTAATACAGGACCTGTGGATAGGCTTGGATTTCCAAGCCTCTGTCTTCAGGACGGCCCTCTTGGCTTGAGGTTCGTGGATAATGCGTCTGCGTTCCCTGCTGGTGTGACTGTGGGAGCGACTTGGAACAAGGACCTGATGTATCAGCGAGGCAAGGCGCACGGCTTCGAGGCGAAGTTGAAGGGCATCAATGTCATCCTGGGCCCTTCAATGGGTCCGCTTGGGCGCCTGCCCGCTGGTGGAAGAAACTGGGAAGGCTTCGGCGCCGATCCAGTATTACAAGGCATTGCGTCGGCCGAGACGATTCGCGGCATTCAAGAGTCTGGCGTCATGGCTACAGCGAAGCATTTAGTTGGCAACGAGCAAGAGCACTTCCGACAGTCTTGGGAGTGGGGTCTGCCAAACGCCATCTCATCCAACATCGACGACCGATCATTGCATGAACTATACGTCTGGCCATTCGCAGATTCGGTGCGAGCTGGTGTGGCGTCGGTGATGTGCTCTTACAACCAAGTCAACAACTCGTATGCTTGCCAGAACAGCAAGCTCATGAACGGCATTCTGAAGGACGAGATGGGCTTTCAGGGCTTTATTCAAAGCGATTGGCTTGCGCAGAGATCAGGTGTCGCAAGTGCTCTTGCAGGTCTCGACATGACCATGCCGGGCGATGGACTCAAATGGCAAGATGGCAAGACTCTGTGGGGCGGTGAACTTACCAAGGCCGTCCTGAATGGCTCGGTTCCTGTTGATCGCTTGAATGATGCCGTCTTGCGGATTGTGGCAGCTTGGTATCAGCTTGGACAAGACGACACCGAGGTCTGGCCCAAGCGCATCGAGAGCAGCTCGGCGACATTCAGCAGCTGGACTGACGAGGAAGAAGGCAAGCTACATCCCGGTTCCCCTGGTGACGAAGAGACCGCCGTGGTCAATCAGTTTGTCCCGGTTCGTCAGACTGATGAGGGTGGCGACCACGATGAGCTGGGCCGAAAGATTGCCACTGAGGGCATCGTTCTAGTCAAGAACGATGACAATGTGCTACCGATCAAGCCAGATGGCTCCAACATCCACAGCACGAGATACGGCAAGTCGTTCGGCGAGTCCATCAAGATCGGTATCTTCGGCGAAGACGCCTTCTCCAATCCGAGAGGACCCAACGCATGCGAAGATCGAGCTTGCAACGAGTATACGCTTGGTGTGGGCTGGGGCTCGGGTGCTTCTCAGTTCCCGTACCTCATATCGCCTTTCGACGCTCTCAATGCGACTTTCAATCATTCATCAGTCAAGGTCACCACCCATGACCGACAAGCTCCGAAACATGCTGGTGGTATTGCTGAGAACCAGGACCTCTGCATTGTATTTGCCACCTCTGACGCAGGCGAGGGATATAAGAGCTGGGGCCCCGTCAAAGGCGATCGACCGAATCTACTGACGCAGAAGCATGGCGATACTCTCATTACTGAGGTTGCGAAGAAGTGCGGCAATGCGTACCAGAGTACCACGGCTGCGGCGAACACGATCGTTGTGCTGCATACTGTTGGACCTGTCGTCCTGGAGCAGTGGATCGACTTGCCTGGAGTGAAAGCCGTACTTATTGCGCACTTGCCAGGACAGGAGTCTGGCAATGCTCTGGCAGATGTCATGTTCGGCAAAGTCAGTCCCTCGGGTCATTTGCCATACACGATCGCGAAAGATGAGGACGACTACGGCCCAGACAGCAAGATCTTGACCATGCCCAAGAACCTCGTACCTCAGCAGAACTTCACCGAAGGCTTGTATATCGACTACCGCTATTTCGACAAGCACAACATCACTCCACGGTACGAGTTCGGTTACGGCCTCTCATACACCGAATTCCACCTTTCGTCTGTCGTGGTCGAAACGCACCCAGCGAGAGGTGACATCCCAGCTACTCGGCCTTCACTACTTTCGCCACCATCTCTTGACGACTCGATACCAGCTGCCTCGAGCGCTGTCTGGCCTGATGGCTTCAAGCCTCTGAAGAAATTCATCTATCCCTACATCGACTCTGCTTCGGAAGGCAGCCCCAACGGCAAGCCTGAATTACCCTACGATCCCGAGAAGCCGCATTCACTCTCCCCAGCCGGCGGCGGCGAAGGCGGAAACCCAGATCTCTACACTTCCGTAGCAACAGTCCGTGCAACACTCACCAACCTCGGCAAGGTCGCCGGCTCAAGCGTTGTGCAGCTGTACATCTCATACCCTCCGAAAGTCAAGGACTCCACCGGCGCTATCGTGGACACGCCCGTCAAAGTGCTGCGCGGGTTCGAGAAAGTCGCCGTCGGCATCGAGAACGAGAGCAAGCGACAGCCGGTGCAGTTCAATCTGACGAGGAGGGACTTGAGCTATTGGGATGTGAAGCGACAGAACTGGGTGATGCCTCGGGGTGACTTCACTGTCCATCTGGGTTTCAGCAGTCGGGACTTGCCGGAGAAGGTTACTCTGAATCCTTTTGGGATTTGAGAGGGAGGCGCAGGGAGGGTTAGGTTGGGGAGTTCGGCAGTTTATGGGTGGATTGTACAGTACTCCTATGCATAGGGAAGGGATAAACCAGGGAGATCGGACAGGTCTGTAGTGTTTTATGGATAGATGTGTATACCTATGAGTAAGGGTCCTGCATGTTTTTGTTTCAGGCAAGCACGCAGTCTTGACAAGAAGCTGCTCCACACGCCAATACAATCATGTTCTCTGCTATTGACCTGACACGCCCATTCTGCCAGCAAAGCCGCACCCACACAAGATGTCCAACAGGCCTCACCCTCGTCAATCAAACACCCTAACACCAATCTACCCATGCAACTCAAGCTTCTCCCGCAACTCCCCAATCAAAGCAGGAATGACCTCCCTCTTCTTAACATAGATCTTCGACGTCGCCTCAAGCTGCTTCTCTCTCCGATACAACTTGATCCGCAACGCGTCGTGCCTATTCAACTCTCGAAACTCTCCCGCGAGATCGATGGCGATGTCAAGCTCCGTCTTCACCTCCTCGATCTGCTCCTGCGTCAAAGTCGGCAGGGGATAGCGGTCGTCTGGTGCTGGGTCGTTGCCCCGATGAGCCTGACAGCTGGCAGCATTCTGGACTTTCTCCACAGCATCCCCGGCTCTCTGCCTCGCGACGTACTCTTCGGCGCCGTTGTCCCCCTTCCTACGCCAGGGATGTCCGTTGTCGGCGTCGGCTGGGCTTGCTCATAGACTCGAAGAGAGCATGGTCTTCTTTGGCTGGGCGCTGGCATAGAAGTTCTGTTGAGGGGTTGGGTTCTTCGTTTGAGGCTCGTCGAGCACCATTCCTTCCATGGATGATTGATGAGGATCGGCCTGCGAAGGAGCACTCTTGAAGGGGAGACAAAGACCGCGGGGTGTAGAGCCTGGCGTAGCTGGCTTGTTCTTGTTCTCGTCTTTTCTGCCAGGCTCTTGGGCTCTGTTTGGTGCTCTCTTTGGGTGAGGGGCGAAAATCGATGATGGCTGCGTCTTCTGCGCTTTGACGCTCGTCGAGTTTTGGGGATTATCCGTTGACACGTTTGGGGCTGCGATGGAGAGATCTTCAAACACTGCCGAGACTTTTGGCTCCGGAACAGGTCTCTTCGCGTTGAGTATCTGCGCACTGAGCCCCTCGATCCTCGCGATCGAATCCTTGATGCCGTCGAATTCGAGGGAATTATCGGCATTGCTGACATCCCAGCTCTTGATCTTCTGGCGGAGCTCTTTGCACTTCGCCTCGTACTGCTTGGAAGCCATTCGGTATCCACGAACGCGCTCGTCGAAGATCCTGTCGGCTCGCCAGCGATCGTCTTTGATGCCGTACTCCACGATCTGTTCCAGACGGCATGCGATGATTTGTAATTGGAATGCCGCGAAGTGAGGGCCGAGAAAGACGCCCTGCTTCGTGAACAGAACCTGAATCTGATGCAGCGACTTCGCGAGCCAGGTCGCGATGAGGGCTCCAGCTTCCTGGGAGTCGCGACAGTAGTTGAGTGGGTAGTTGACCAGGCTTGGAAGCATCTCCACGGTATCAAGAGGCGTCTCCTCCATGAAGCCGGTTGACACCAGTTTGCGCCCATCCCCCAGCAAACAACACTGAACGAGCGTCGTACCGTGACCATCGAAGCCGCAGTCGTTGACCTCGCGATCGAGAGGCTTGAGCTGGACATCTTGAGGTGCGTCAGAGTGATCAAGCGCGGTGGAGTGCTCGAACTCGTCAGGCGTAGTATCCATCAACTCCGATTCTTCAGGATTCTGGGCATCATCCTCGTCATTTTCGAGCTCATGCTTGCGCTGACTCTTGCACTGAGAGCTGCAATCGCGACACAGCTTGATTATCACGCTCTGCGTTGCAGGCTGGCCGCATGCGTGACAAGCGACTTTGACAGTCGTGCCGTTGCTGAGCTTGATGGTGCCGGCAGGTGCGGACATCATGAATTCGCGTTGAGGGAGCTTCGCGTCGCTGGTTAGTCAGGTTTGGTGGTGAGTTAAGAGATGATGCGAGCTGCGACGCGAGCAGTGATATTGGCAGTGACGTGAGAAATGAGGCAACAGCTAGGGACAGGTGAGGTCAGTAGTGCGTATTGTGATGGGGATGAAGGACGAATGAATCAGAAATTCGGAGTCGGAGAGTGTTGTTCGCCGGCGTCACGCGTCGACAGGTGACGTGTCTTGGCCTTCACATGCCAGTTGCAACGCAAGTGAATATCGGGAAGCCGCCCACGTCGCGAAATGCTACATATCGCGATGGTATGTGCTTTCAAACTATAATTTAGGGCTAACATTGCGAGGGATACCCCACGTAGCGCGTCGTCGCAGCAAGTAGGGGTGTGCTTTTGCAGTTACTGTCAAAACAAAGAAGCCACGCCCGTTTTTGTTCTTTGTTGACCACATGTTATGTGGAAGACGCAGGCATATGCACAAGCATTGTAAGAAAGTATGTGAGAGATATCGTAACCATTGTAACCATTCTATGCGTTGTAGACGATGCTATACAATTACGAGATTTACCTGTCTTTCAGACCGCCGCCATGATACTGCATAGTTCATTACTGTCTCCTCATTCCCCTCAAAGTCGAGCATCATTCCCCCTTGCCTGTGGGCTGTCCAAGAAGTTGCGAGTACGACTTACAGCTTAGCCGCTCAAGACATCAGCGTAGATCATAGAGCTGCCCTCCGAGGGAGAACGGAAGTAGCCGTCACATGCCTAATAACTGGTTTCTGGTAGCCTTCAAATAGTTGCTACTCAGAAAGACACTAGGGGGTTGTGGGGAAACGCGGCGTGGAGTTCCAGGCCCTAGCCTCGTACTGCTTCAGAGACTGGCAGAAATGGCCGAAAACATGGCAACTTTCACCGAGGCCGAGCGGCCACTGAAGGCTTCCCATAGATGTTGTTTAAGTATTTGTCCATCTCATTGCTGTGAGAAAAAGTTGCTTCTTTCACGTCCTGAGTTTGTTGCTACTTGCGAATCGCTATTTTGGTTATATCATCTTGTTGCTGCTCATTTCTGGATCATGGCCCGAAAGCTTAAGGTCGCGGTCAGTGGATTGGGGCGTATGGGTGCTCGCCATGCAATCAACTACCTTGAAAAGACACCACGAGCTGAACTGGTGGCTGCATGCGATCCAGGTGCAGAAGCTTTATCATGGGCGAGATCTCGTCTGGCACCTGCCGGCGTTACCATCTACGAGACATTCGACGAGATGATGCAACATCCAGACATCGAAGCTGTGATTGTCGCGGGCATCACGACCGAGCACGCACCGCAATCGATCAAGGCCATTCGTGCTGGCAAGCACGTTCTTTGCGAGAAGCCTCTTTCCACAGACCTTGCCATCAGTCAAGAAGTGTTTGACGTCGCCAAGTCGAGGCCCGACCTCAAAGTTATGACCGGATTCTCACGCAGATTTGATCAAAGTTATCGCAATGCTCGGAAAAAGGTGGACTCTGGAGCCATTGGTCGTCCGGTCGTGTTTCGCTCGCAGACCTGCGACAAGTACCGCGACGATGATTACTTCATTGGATACTCGAAGACTTCAGGGTCGATCTTTGTCGACGCTTCCGTCCACGACATCGATCTTGCGTTGTGGATGTTTGGGCAAGACAGCATCGTCAAGAGCGTCTCAGCTGTTGGAACTTGTGCTCGTTATCAGGGATTGAAGCAATACGGGGATGTCGACAACGGCGTAGGCATTGTCGAGTTTTGGGGCGGAAAGATCGCCTACTTCTATGCCTGTCGAATGATGGCAGTTGGGCAGCACGACATGACAGAGGTCATCGGCAATCATGGGAAAGTAACGATTAACGCCAATCCAGCCCACGATCTTGTCGAGCATCATGAACCCACGGGCATTCGCAGAGAGATTGGACAGACGTACTGGGACCGGTTTGAACCAGCCTTTATTCGTGAGAGCAACGAGTTCACGGAAGCGGTCCTGGATGACAAGCCTTTGCCATTCCACTTGTCAGGGGCGATCAAGTCGATGCAGATCGGGAGTGCGTTACAGGAGGCCTTGCGCACTGGCGAGAAATTGTTCTTCAACGAGATTGGAGAGAGCGTGATAGGACCAGGACTAGCAGCCAGACTGTGAGACTTGCTTAGCAGTCTTTGGATGGGTTGACTAGATATAAACACTCTCTGAAGCACAAATCGATGTGTCAATGCACATGCTCTTACCTGTTCTTCGCATGGTCGGAAGTGCGCGTATGCAATGGCAGGCCCTTTCATAGGTAAATGGTGTGGAGATTGCACTGATGAGGACGGCTATCAATGGCGCGTGTTGTACACAGATAACCGTAGATCTTATCTCACCGCATACGTTCGGAGTCAAAGATCTCCAAAAGACAGTATCTTCGACCAAGACGTCAGGGTAGTGCGTAGTTTGTCGTAGCTTCAATGTCGTGCGTAAAAGAAGAAATGGGCTGGCATAGAGATCCATTCGTTGCAATGCACCATTTGCACGACTCCTTTTACCCTGAATACTGAAGTAGAATGCATCGAGGGCTCATTTCCGAGACCCTGGCTGCCCACATCTATAGTATGTACCTCAACGGTTTCATACCTTAGACTGCCTCTTCTGAGGGCCACGAGCCTTTTCACCGCGCTTGTACTCCCTTCGCCACTCGTTGGCATGCTTGACGCCAAAGCCATGCTCAAACACATTGCGGACCTCCTCGAGTGTCATCTGCGAGCACTCCGGGAAGCAGAAGAAAACGAAAATCCAGCCGAGGAAACACAGTACGGCGTAAAATCCAAAGGTACCCGAAGGTGTGATTTGTTTCATCATGGTCAGAAATGTCGCCGAGACAATGATGTTAGGACCCCAGTTGAAGACATTGATCATCATCGTACCCATTGCACGGACCTCCATGGGCAGGAACTCGTTCGCTTGCCAGGGTACGCAACCCAGGCCAGCAACGTAAAAGGCAACAAAGAGGATCATCGCGACCAGCACAAGATATGCCGGCCAGCCGATGTGGTCGCTCGTGAGCTCCAGCGTGCGGTGATCGATTGGTACCCAGATGAAGGCGACGGCAGCAACCACCAGGCAGATGGGCATCGCCCACATCGTACAGAGTAGGAGCTTGCGCCGACCAACTCGATCAATGATAAAAATGCTGAGAACCGTGAAGATCCAGTTCACCACAGCAACAACACTGCCGACGGCGATGGGGTTCGAGAAGCCAACGATGTCGAACAGCGTGGACGAGTAGTCTTGGGGGGAAGTCAGCACGACCGTGAAACCATAATGTGCGGACAGTAAACTTACACATAAGCGTATTGAACCCGCAGAACTGCTGGAAGAACATGAGGCCACATGCAGCGATACCAGCGCGAAGGTTTGCAGGAACCCAAAACAGTAGTCGCATGGACTTTGTGATCGATATCTCTTCATTCAGTGACTTGGCCGCGTTGACGCCTTGCTCGATGGAAAGCATCTTCTCTTGAACCTGGAGTTCTGAAGCATTTCCATAGATACGCCTGATGACGCTCTCGCATTGCTCTCTTCGACCGTGGAACATCAATTGACGAGGAGATCTGCGAATGTCAGACATGCCCGGCAATTTTGATAGGAGGCAGAAACACATACTCTGGGCACCAGAACAACAAGATACCCAAGACAATAGAGGGTATTGCTCCGATTCCGATCATGTAGCGCCAGCCATGATTGACCTTGTAGAAAGCAGCATCGAATGCATAGGCCAAGACAGAGCCAGTGCCTAGGAATATCATATCGACCGAGATCATTCTACCGCGGAACCGAGCCGGAGCGATTTCAGCAATGTAGAGCGGAACGATCATGGAGGCAGACCCAATGCCGAGGCCGATGAGGAATCGACCGGCACACATCTGTGCGATGCTATATGAGGTAGCCTGCACAATCGCTCCGATCGTGAACAGAATGCTCGAAAACCAGATTGCTGGTCGTCGACCATACTTGTCGGACGTCACGCCGGCAATGATAGCACCCACGAGCGCACCGGCAGCACACAGTGCTGTGATTGCCTCCTTCTCCGAGCTTGTGACTTCGCGGCCTCCAAGGTCGTCTCCAAGTACCACGAGTACACCCGAGATGACACCAGTGTCGTAACCGAAAAGCATGCCTCCGATGGCGGTTGCTGCTGTACAGAGCTATGCGAAAGCGGATGGCTTGGTATCTTCGATTGTGTCCAATACCTCGCCATGTGCGGCGGCGATTTCGACGGTAGTCATATCTCCCTTTTCCATGGCGACGTCGGTCTCCATACGGTCGTTCGAGGTGGATGACATGCTGTGAAGGTGCAATAATGAACGCACTTAATCGCGTACCCAAAGCAATGCGTGAAGGGGGGTTGGATGGTCGATAAGTTGGCTTGGATGAACGACGGATTGTACAACCTTGCAAGGCTCTGTCTGGATTTGAGTAATGAGACAACGGCTTTTGAGTGAAGTGAGATTGGCCTAGAAACATGACATGAGGACACACATGGAAGTGGATCTGGGGTCCCCGCGTGGTCGTTCGTGGGTGCAGAGGAGTATGCACTAGAGTGGCTGAATCGAAAGCGGCTAAAATTGCCGAAAGTCTGGCAGGTCTGACCGAGAGTCGAGAAATTTCAAGCGAGAATGCTAGAGGTAGGTGGTCGGCATCTGTTTCGGCCACAACTCCCATGACCTTCTCATCCGCGTAGAGTGTGATATCAATTCTCGCTGTTCGTGAGCTGGCTAAGCAATCTAGAGTAGGATGTAGAGCTTGATCGTCTAGTAAGTGGAGGAATTTCGGCGCAATTTCATTCGTGCCATGACATTCAACCCTGAGTGAAGTTATGAGACTAAAGGTTTTTGCACATGCGGTGCTAGGTAAACTGTCATTTTCATCTTGTCGATTGCTGTCTCAGAATGCTCATGCAAGACTGCAATTCTCGAAAACAGCCTGGGCAATAGCGCAGCCTGGTTGGTGGAATTGCCTGACAGACGGAAGAAACTGCATATAGTATCTCGGATAACGACTCAAGAGTAACAAAGCCCGGACGTAGATTGCCAGTTCGGGATGTGTATTGTTCTAGCCACAATCATCCTCTTTTCACTGACAAGGCTGGATGACTACACAGAATAGAAAGATCAGTCGGCTATTGCGCGGTTCGGCCCGGAACGAAGCTCTTCTGCCGTGGCAACTTCCAACATTGATGCATCTGTGTAAATTTGCGTGCCCGGCTTTCGTCAAAGTCCATTCCGTACACTATTTAACCAAGGGCAGCCTGATATGTTGCGACAATGGGCAGCAACGAGGCAGTCGACGATGGCGGTGGCGATGGCACAAAAACACTCCAGGTGTGTGTAGGATGCCGATTCCGCAAAGTGAGATGCGATACCAATGAAGGAGGATGTCGCAACTGTAGGAGCTACGGCATGGAGTGCGAGAGGACTCCAGTCATTCGATTCAAGAACGCCGACCCGAAGTTGATGGAGTATCCTCCCGACCAAGTCTGGCCTGCGAGGAGGGCGACCCTTCGCTTTTATGATGAGACACCGGAACTCAAGGACATCTATCACGTAGAGGGCCCAATCTCCAACATCGCCCAACGGAATCAGTCGACACGATGTGTGGGCGACCTAAGAGACACATCTGCAACTCTTGCAGCGGATTCAGCTCCGAGAAACACTCTCATACGACGAGAGGGCGGCAACGAGGTTGTCATTTCTAGAGCTTTGGACATCGTCAATGAAATTCAAGCATGGGAACATACGGATACGAGGCCACACAATGGCAGCGGCGTATCGCCTGCATTCACTTCACAAATGGAGGACTCTCCGTACACGAACTTGTCATCACAGGTCAACGAGTTAAGCCATGTACGAGAGCAGTCCACTCTCAATCTGTCTCGATCGGAAGCTGTGCTGATGCGGAATTTCATAGAGAACGTGGCGCTTTGGGCAGATGGTCCAGATCCCAATCGCTCCTTCGAGTTAGAGGCCTCTCGCATAGCTATGAGAGAGCCGGTTTTGAAGCATGCCATCTGTGCGTTCTCATCGAGACATCTGAATCGGCATGATGTGAACAATGTTGCAGAAGCGCTGGAGCATCAATCAAGGTGCCTTGAGCTACTAATTCCAGCTGTGTCCGGACAGCGACCCGTCAGCGATGGCGTCCTCGCAGCTGTCGCCATTCTACGACAAAATGAAGAGATGGACGGTAAGCAGTCCCACCTGTCGTCTCGCAGTAACTAACAGCAAAAAGAGTATGACAACCGCTTTCATCTCGAGGGTGTGACGCAAATCCTAAACGATGCATCCACGTTCACATTCGCTGGAGGCTTAGGCGAAGCTACAGCGTGGCTCTGCCTGCGAGAGGACATTTATGTCTCACTCACCACCCAAAGCGCCATTCGTACCAACTTGGTACCATTTGAGTGCGCTACATGGATGAAAGGAGAAGGCGATTCATGCTGGGCGAACCGAATGATACTTCTCTTGGCAAAACTGCTGTCCGTTGCATTTCTCGAGAACGCCAGTCCAACAGCTTTGGCAGATATTTCTGCTCGTATCTCCAAATGGGATCTCATGAGGCCGGATACCTATCGACCTCTGTACTTCGTCCCCAGAGATCGTGGGTCTGGCCGCCATCTACCGGAGGTCTGGATGCTGGCTTCTTCCCAAGCGATCGGCTTACAATATTACCACATCGCTCAGCTAGTGCTTGCTGTTTCAAGCCGCTTGGACTCTACTCGATCGTTCAACCACATCTATGAGCACCGTGCTGTTGAGAAGAGGGTTCGCCACCATCTTCTCTATGTGGTAGGAATAGCAAGATCGAATGAGCGAGCCCAGAACACATGGTTTACGGCGCACCACTGTCTTTCTGTTTGGGGCATCTATCTGAGAAATAAAGGCGACCACCAGGCATGCCTAGACTTTCTGAAGGAGATGGAATGCCAAATCGGATGGCGAACAAGCACGCTAATGGAGAGACTATCAATGGAATGGGGCGATGATAGTGAATGAAAGTCGGGTATCGCAACTCATATACCTGAAGTCTGCGATTGATCGACCAGGCTGGCATTACAGGATGCTGCACCATGGCACTCGGATTCTATCAAGAGAGCACATACAGAACATTGAGGCCCAGCTATTCCAGACGAAGCTCTGCACATGGCATCCCAACGCATGGGCTAGGTCTTTGGCCAACGTGCAACGACTTCCGGTGTGTGTTCGGCCAAGTCCGGCTAAAGACATTCACTCGAGTGGGAACGAGCTTTGACCACCTACTGGTCTCCGCGCAGCCCTATGTCCCAAACAGCCAGGATCGATACCACGTCGGCCACGTGGCGCAATGTAGATGTACTTACACACATGCTACTTCGCTTACACCGGGCATGCTGCAAGCTGTGTCATCGCCTAGATAAGCGAGTCGAAGAGCAAACAGAGGCACGATCTGCAGTCGCGGCTGTGAAACCATTCAGCTGCAATCCTACGGTGCCAAGGACTTTTAACTATAGCCAGCGATTCATACGCAAGTCTCTTTTTTTGATTCTGCTTATGAATTCCAGCCTGGAGGTCAACCCGGTAATAGCCCCAGCACAAAATCCTTCGAAGGATTCAGGATCATTAGAGCTAAGCTTCACGTGGAGATCCAAAGACGCTAGTCAATGACCCTACAACCGGCCACTTGGGATTGCGCGTTCAGTAGTATGAAGACTATTACACCGGTTCATTGAGGCTGAATTGACGTGTCGGTCTTGATGGTCCTGAAATCGACAGAACGGAGCTACTGCCATGACCATTTCCCCAACGTCAAGGGCTCGTCTTGGCATTCACTTTAGCTTCCTCCCAGTGCCAATGTTCTAGGGCAGAGCTAGACTGGGGGCAGCGGTAGGATGCCGGCACATGTCCATGTATCAAGAGGCATTTGGTAGAAGAAATTCAAGATCGCGTCACTGGGTGCGTTCCAAGTCACACTCTTTCTCGAGATATCCAATCGCCCACGGCAAACTTTCGGTTCTCCACCGTGTGCTCCTTGCCAAGAGCCCACATCAACATAATGTCTCCTCCACGGCTCAGATCAACACTCCAACGACGGCAGCGATCATCTGGGTGCGAAGGAAAAACGATCTCCTCTTCGAATGGGAACGAAGAAGCGGCCATCACAAGGCCGACTATCCGAAGACACAAGCGACTGAAGGCGGAGGTGTTGTTGAAAGAAGAAAAGAATGAAGTTGCGGTTGATAAAGAACTCGGAACGACTTTGCATGTTTCAGAGAGAGCCACAGCCAGACTGCCGCAGAAGCACCACGATCAAACAGTCCCCACTCCTCAATTTATCTCGTTCGACAGCACCGCAGAGCTGATGATTCACCTCAGCACCCGAATCATTGACCTCATGAACGACCGCAATTACACATCTCCGTTCTTGAGCTGTTTGGCTCCGGACATCGAATCACCTGGCAGCTGCGGCAGGTCAAATGTAATTCAAGGCTTTAAAAAGATTGCCGAGGCGTTACCGAACCACCGCAACAAGGTTCAAAATGTGACATGCACTGTGGATGAAGACACTGGCACAGCCAAAGTCGTCATGACAATGAGGGTCTCGGGGTTTGTGTACGAGACAATAAGACAGAGCTCAAGCCTGTTCACGTGGGTGCGGGAGACAGATGGAGCTGTGCAAAGTACTGTGTTGTGAGAGGCATCGAAGAGTTCGATTGAGCTAGTCGATGAGCAAGGAAACTAGGTCCCGATACAGACAGTCCAGACGATCATTTAACAGCGGCTTTCAAAGCATAAAGAGCAGTGTCTGAACTGCTGTTCGTATCCTCAGCAAAGCGAGGTAAGAGTCCCTGAGTTTCGATATCCTCGCATGTTTCGAATTCCGAGACATGCGAATAGTATACGAACGCAACTCAGCTTCATGGACCGGAGCTCATATGTTATCACTGTTCTGAAAATAAGCACCCCCCAGGGATGTCCCAAGACTGTCATTCATTTGATTCGACCGACGTGTGAAAGACCAGCTCGTGGTTATTATCTGTGAGATGAAGTTGATAGGCCCCTGTTGTATCAGGGCCCATCAGATGTGCCCTGCAGTGTGTCACATACTGATCATTCGGTCAGGTCACCAAACCTGACCAGAGAGACCCTTCTTGCTCTTCGAATACTTCTCGCCAGAGCGGGAAGAGATCTTGCCATTGGTGTTGGCCATGTTGCTGTCTGGACCTGGACTGGCGTTGGGTTGCTTGATGGATTGTGGGTGGTGTGGGAAAGCTTGTGAAATGCTGGCGTACTCTGTGTCACTTCATCACATGTGAAGCATAGTCCAGACTCTCATGTATCCTGACCTGCTGTAATATCTTCCACAACTACTGTCGCTTCGCAACCTGAACTCACTTCTTCAACACCCCGTTGCTCTACAAGCAGAATGCAGCTCGCCGGGTTCTTCAAGATGGCCATCATACTGGGCTCTCATCTCGTACTCCAAGTGGCTGCCGAAGCATGCGGAGACTATACCAGCGTGGGCAACGTACCTCAACAACAATTGGAACAGAACCCGTTCTCTGACTGTAGCCCACAGGGATGCAGCACCCCTGGAGACGTTTGCATATCGGGAGGCAGCCTTGGAATACCCATCTGCAACGCTGGGCCATGCAATCAATACATTGCACAGGGCTATAACTGTCAAGCTTAAGGCTGTGCGGAAGATGCGAAAGTCTTGAGTTGAAATGGATATCCAGTCGCTATCTCAGAAAACGGGCACCTTGACAGCATCCAAGTCGTAGAACCAGCTATCAAGACTGGCCTGATCGAAAACACACTCCATCGTTCCGTTCTCTTTCCATAGCGGCCGCAAAGGCCAAGCACAGATCTGCTGGTTCTGGCCTTTGTTCTCTCCTAGCAGCACTGTTGCATTCAACGTGTTAGGGTTGACCCCCTTCTCGACCCAATCTATCATGACTTTGAAGTTGGTCTGCGGGAACGGCGCGTTAGGCTGGTAAGGATTGTCCGAACAGTGTGCCGCGCCTGGGATGGAGTAATACTTGTACCACTCGCTCAAAGCTGCCTCGCTGGCATTGTATGAAAGGTGCCCATACATGATCTTTCTCACTGACTCGCGATAGCGCACTGACGCGGCTGTGGGGATCGAGTTGTCGCTTTCGCCATGGTAGTGTAGGATCTTGTTGCCGGCTTGTTGCCAAGAAGATAGGTCGGGCCAAGTTGTCTGCAGTGAATCTGAGTACATGTGCAGACCGAGTATCATCCACTCCTTGAGTGAATCGTAGGTTACATTCTTCAGCGTCGGGAGGGTTGAGGAGTTCTGAAGCCAGAGATATCGCTCCACCCATTCTGATCCGTAAGACTGTGTCCCAAGGCCATTTTCAGGAATCTGCCATTTGCCAGTAGCATTGTTATACTCAGTCGCGGCGTCTGCGAAGGTTGCGCCGTACTGGTACGGGACGTACACTTGTCGACCTTTGCTGTCTTGCAGTCCTTTCAAGATCTCCGCTGCCACAGCAATGCCCTTCTCCGAGACGGTTCCATTCTGTGCGGGCGCTGCGAGGGTTGTTCTACTGCTTGGCGTCGCTGGATATGAATATGGAGCTCCTATGATCGACTCCAGGTCGAAATGGCGGGCGCACAGGTCTGTTCGAGACACGACTCCATCCCCATTACCGTCCAGGAGGTCGCAGGCTTTGATCGTTTCATTGACAATTCTGTCGAGCTCGCAACTCGGGGGATAGTAGTCCAAAGTCTGCTCGACGATGCCAGAATGAAGATGATTGACCTGTTGAAACGAGTACCGCAAGGCCGGAGCGCCGATGATCGCACCGTCGTAAGTGTCTGCAAATCGTTGAACCTGGCTGAAACCCTCACGGCCGCCTTCAGAGCAACCCTGATCCGAGTCAGCGATGTATTTCGTTCACTAGTACCTATAATCACTCAGCAGCAGAAGTAGATTGGCATACCTGGTAGTAGGTGTATAGAGTGCGGTTTGAAGCGAAGAAGTTCTGGGTGAAAGCCTTGCCAATCACCGTCATCTCATGGATAGCTTGATAACCTACACAAGAAGGTTAGCCTAATGTCCTTGAATGCATTCGAACAAGCCTCACCCATCATGTACACTGACTGCCAGTTCACAGTGTTATTGGCAAGAAGAAACACAGCATCCCACTGCACGTCGAATCCCCCAAACCCTCCATCTGTCAAGCCAGTCGCAGCACCGTACGGAATTGCACCAGCAACAGCCGTGTTGCCTGAGTTGATAGCTAATCCACCACCTCCAGTAGCCAGAAATCGGGTTTCAAACTTGTTGGGTGCAGGAAGCCAGTACGTTACTAGTACTCTGTCGTTGACTCGGCCTTCGTGCGAGTATGCAAATGTGACGTTGCAATAATCAATCACTGCGTCCGGGTACATAACATCCGAGATGCTGATGTTGTAGAAGGCGTTTGCAGAGACTGAAGAGTCGTCGATGATGATGCCTTGGTAAGCATTTTGAGGGAGAGATGATCGGGCGTGGGCAGTGGTGCAGACATCGGCAAGGCTGGAAGCGCTGGTGAAGCCACCGGCATGTAATGGAATTAGCATATATGAGAGCATCTTGATGATTTTGATGAGCCCATGGGACTCAGTTGTCCACTTTCTCGGGGTCTTCACCCTTCTTAAGCACGCGGCATCATTTCCCCTCATTGACGTGCCGTGGGGACATCAACTAGCGCTGGGGTATCATCTCCGATGGTTGTGGTTTAGACACTCTCTACCGACGGCCGTGTGGAAAGAACTCACAAGTTTAGGAGGGATTTGATCATTTTGCGAAGATGAAGTCCGCTCAACTCGGCCGAAGACGAGATCGACATGGTCACAGGAAAGGTGGACCACATGCCCCGGCTAAGTCTTCTTCCCCACGATTTGTTGCCCCTGAGGGGTATAAAGACAGTGACGATGTTCTTTTGGCTACTCTGACCTCCTACACAACATAGCGATACATCGGATGCTGATCGCCCAGATCAAAGATATCGGACGGCACCTCCTTTGGATCCGCCTTGCCGTACTTCTCATCCCTCCACTTGTTCTGCATCCTTAGGCAAATACTAAAGATGACCGTCAAGATAGCACCAGCAAACAGCAAGCCTGCGCAAATAGCCATGCTCTTGACATATTTCGGCGCCTCCGATTTGGGGAATAGATGAGCACCTAAGATCGAGCCGCTTTGGGCGACGACGCCGAAGATAATCAGTCCTGCTCCACGTTTTGAGGCCGACCCTTGGTTGTCTGTGACCCAGGTAAAGGTGAGAGCACTGGCTGGGACTCCACCACACAGGATCAGGAATGTGCAGAAGTATCGTACACCAGGTGTCTCGATGAGGCTGAGGAGGAGATAGCCCACGCCGCCGACGCAGCTCAAGGCGCAGATGAATGGACCTCGGATTCCAAGTCGATCCGATGTAGTGCTCATGATGACACAGACGATGAATGCCATCAGGTTCGGTGGAGCCACCAAGCCTTGTGAAGTGAGCTCGTTTCCAATACCAATGTCCTCAATGATAGTTGGTAGAAACGCTGGAAGCGAGTTAAAACTGCTATTGAAGCAGAAGATGATGACAGCCCCGAGATAGTTCTTGTAATCGTAAAAGGCTGCGAAGACTTGTTTGAAGTTGAGTTTGCCTTCCTCCTCTTGGCCTCTGCCTTTGATTGCTCGGGAGGAGACGATCTCGTTCTCTCTTGCAGTGAGGAAACGGCACTTGTTGGGCGCCTTTGGGAGAACATAGCCAGCGACAAGGGCGAGGATGATGGTCGGAGCTCCTTCGATGATGAAGAGCAATTGCCAGCCTTGGAGAGCGGTGCGAGCGTGTAAGATGCCGTAGGCCATGGCAGAAGCGAAGCAGCTGGACAGAGGCCCCGTCGAGAAGAAGAGCCCATACCGGAGCCCCATCTCTCGCCGGTTGTAGTAAAAGGACTAGGACCACTTGTCAGCTTCGATATGACATGGGGCGATGAAGGTAATATACCAAGAACAGAGGAATGCCAGGGGCAAAGGCAGCCTCAAACACGCCGAGGAAGAATCGGCAGACCATCAGCGTTGCGAAGCTTGTTGCCGTTGCCTGCAGCATGCTGATGGTACCCCAGCCAAGAGCAGCACACATGACGAAAACCGGAGGTGAGACGACTTTCCAGACCAGGATAAGCCAGTGGAAGCAGATGTACGCAATGAAGTACGTTGTAATCAGCCATGCGTAGTCATCAGATGTGATTCCCAGATCCTCGCCTAGGCCAGCAGCGTAGGCGTTTCCTTTACGACGTCAGCATGTTGTACTGTGAGCAGATTGTCCTATTGTACTGACCGACATTGCCACGATCAAGGAACGAGCCTGGAAGCACATTAGTATGATAGCAGCTCAGGTCCTGAACGACGTACAAAGATTGATGACCATAAGCCTGCGAGAGTTAGTCACGCGACAAGATAGCTGCAATGGCTGCTCACATCGTGATGAGGTATGAGTCCAACTTCCCTCTTCTCCTCCTGAGCATCGTACTCCACAGTGGGCGCCCCATCTCCAGCCTTGGGAAGTTCGTCAATGTACTGGGCCTCGCCCATAGTCTTCTCTTCCACAGGAGACGCAGCCATCATGAAGCAAGGGTGAGGGAAACGTGCAAGAGTCTAGGTTGGAAAGAGTTCGAGCTGATCGTTGCAGAGACTTCAGGCCGTCTATGCTCCCCATATACCCTCACCCCAACAGTGCGGGATAGCGTAGGCACGGGGTAGCGCTACCAATGGTTGGGGTCGATAATAGGCTTCGGCCGGGCTGTGCGGCATCATGCCGTGGTATCATCGTTCCACGTGCGAATGCCGAGCGCAATGTATCCGAGGCCTGTCAAGGGTTGATGCCGAGATCGCTTTCACGCGGGGCACTGAGGGCGTACAACAGGATTGGCGTCTGATACTTCATTGCCACATAGACTATAAGCCATCGAGAGCCCGTCTCGAATAGTATTTGAGAAGCCAGCAGCCCAGGCTATACACATAGCATATCATCACTTCAGACTTTGAACCAACTCAACCCAATCGTACAAGAGCATAGACCATGGCGGAAGTCCAAGAGTTCAACATCCTCACCCCAGTGGGCATGCTGGGATACGGTTTTCGCTCCGATGAGTTCTGGTACGGCATCGAGAAATACTCGCCCGCGGCTGTCATCGTCGACAGCGGCTCAACAGATGGCGGGCCATACAAGCTCGGCATGAATAGGATGACTTGCGGCAAGGGCTCATACATACGAGATCTCGAACCACTCCTTGACGCCGCGTTTCACAAGAAGATCAAGGTTCTGATAGGATCCGTCGGTGGTGATGGCAGTGATCTGCACGTCCGTGAGATCTTCGAGATGGTCAAGGGAATTGCGGAGGAACGAGGATACAACTTCAAGATTGCCACGATTGACGCCGGCGTGGATCGACACCTCATAATCAACCGTATCCGCGCGGGAAAGACGAGTCCATGTGGTCCTGCACCGGAACTCACAGAAGAGGACGTCAATTCTGCAGTCGATGTGGTGGCACAGATGGGTTGTGAGCCCTATCTCAAAGCACTGGAGCAAGATCCTGACATCATTCTCGGCGGCCGCTCGTACGACCCAGCCGCTTTTGCTGCGTTTTGTCTGGCAAGAGGCTGCGAGCCTGGAGTCGCCTGGCACATGGGCAAGATCATGGAGTGCGGAGGCATGTGCGCCGTTCCCAAAGGTCGCTCGATGATCGCAACGATGCGGAAAGACAGCTTCGATCTCACCCCATTGTCTCCGGAGGAGCGATGTACACCATTGTCCGTCGCTGCCCACACGTTATACGAGAAGACAAGACCAGACAGATTACCAGGCCCGGGCGGAGTATTGCATTTGGATGGCTCCAAGTACGAGCAGATCACGGAAAAGACCACTCGCATTCGAGGAGCCAAGTTCGTCCCGACTCCTTACCAAGTGAAGCTCGAAGGAGTGACCAAACTTGGCTACCGCACCATCTTCATTGGTGGCATTAGGGATCCCATTCTCATCAGCCAGATTGATGACTTCCTCGAGCGCGCGAGGAAATACACACAAGCTTTGTTCCCTGAACTCGATAAGTCCGAGAATTGCCAGTTGAAGTACCAAATCTACGGCCGAAACGCAACCATGGGGCCACTGGAGCCGGATATGTCAGTTGGACATGAGATTGGTGTCTTTGGTGAAGTCCTCGCGTCGACGCAAGAGCTTTCCCACACCATCGCCAACAATGTTCGTGCAACCGTTCTGCATCTTTCGTACGATGGGCAACTTGCCACGACAGGAAACTTTGCATCACCCCTTTCGCCTCATGAGCAGGAAGCTGGACCTGTGTTCAAGTTCAGCCTCTACCATTTGGTCGATCTCGAGGCTGGTGAAGAAGTGTCCCTGTTCCCCATCACAATGCACGATGTGAAGGCCAGCCAAGAGCCTCGCACCTTGAGCACTCTCAGCAAAGAGCAGTTCCAAGCCATCGAAAGTGGGAAACTGAAGCCTTTAAACCGCAAAGTCATCCCATCTGGCGCAGCACCTTTATCCGAGATTGCTCGGGTTGTCAGATCCAAGAACTCAGGTCCTTTCGAACTAACGCTGGACGTCATGTGCGACACTGAGGATGCTTACCAGCGCGTCAAGAAGGCGAATCTCCTCACGAACGAGACGATCAAGAAGCTGTACAGAGTCCGAGATGAGGACATTATCGTGAACATGTACTTCGAGCCGGCACTGGCTTGGAAGTGCACCATCAAGCGGCCATGGGCACAGGGCAGCGTGGGAGAGCGTGACACACTTGGCACGCAACAGCATGCTCCACTCCTAACAATTGAAGTGCCACCTGCGGGGTCCAAGTCGGTTCCAATCATCGGTGCGTCTGCGTAGCCGGCAACGAGTGGTATAGCTGTGATGGCGAATGGAGTGAACGGTCACAGGTGATCCTGGTTTCTGCCCTGGCGTTCATAGACTTGCATTTCTGCAGCTTCGTATGTAGATTCATAAGTATACCTTTGACATCCGTTGAACTCGCAAATCCCGAATTCGATCAGAAAGTCGTGTCAAAGGTTTGAGTGCCAAAGAAGTTGAAGCTGGGGGCATCATCCATCGACCACGGAAGATAGAAGCCGGCGCTGGTATCCACAAAGCCGAATCCAAAATCATTACTCGCGACGTCGCTCATTTGATCGTACTGTACGGCCCATGCGTTGGTGCTGTCGACCTGTGGCTGAGGTAGAAGCTGCTCATTCGGTCCCTCCGTATTTGGAACCAGCGCAGCATTGGACGGGGCTTGCAACGTTTGGTCACCAAGCGGTAGGGATGATTTGCCTTGGCGGGTAGTCTCTTCTCCAGGGGCAATTGTCGCATCATCGGCAGTCGATGCGTTCGGGGCTCGATTCGGCGTCCAAGACCTCAACTGCCGCTTGATGATGTCAATGCTACGACGAATACCAGGCGTCTGTCGCAACTCGCTCTCCAGGATTTGCAGTAGCATTGCAAGACGCTTCGTCGCGTCCTGACGCCGTCGCATATCAGTAGATCTCATCTCGTGCACCTGGACAGTGGCAGCGGTGTACACACAGTAGCTCACAAGATATGACATCTTCTTCCAGTGAAAAGTTCTTCCATAGACGATGAACATGTCATGCACTGTCTGAGCACTATTAATGCAGACATTAGTGGCATGCGATGCAGTCTCGGGCCTGTCGAGATATGGTCTCCAAAGTATGATGTGCAAAGAGTGGTAGAGCAGGTTTAGCGACAGGATATGCGGCGGCGGACAGACTTCGCAGTCGGTAGCCATTTTCAACCCAGTCGGAAGATCGTCAAGCCAAAGGCGTAGCTTGTTTTCGATTCTCGACTGCCTTTCCTTGAGGGCCACAGCGGATGGTCGACTTGGGAAAGGGAGCATAATAAGCTCGATGATCGTGCCGAGCCGGCAGAAGAATTGGAAACAGGTTGTCTGGTAGGTGTCCGTATTTGGATAGTCCGGATAGTCTGGAGGCAGCCAAAGGTATTGATCATCAGCGTGATCCAGGAACTCTAGCGCTGAAGACGGCAACTTTGAGAGTGCAGGTGGACGTCCAAGTGACAAACTCATCGACTTGTCCCAGATATATGCTGAGCAATAAAGCCTCTTGCGGACTTCGAGCTCGACGGGTGTCAGTTTCTCAAGATGCATGAGTTCCTGAAAGTTCAGATGCAAACCGAGGTCCGTCATCATGCGAATAGCCATACCCAGGTATAACCAGCCTTCAGACGTTTTGCCGACCGCACACTGGCGGCCACTGAGGACCAACAAGCCTTGAATGGTTGGGATTTTGGGCTTGGTAGCCCCAAGCTCATGCATCAAAAGCTCTTTCGCTGATGACAGGAACGATTCTCCTTTCTGAGCGACTTCGTTGTCCGGGGACTCTGTTTCTAGATGCCGGGCTGATAGGGCAAGGATGCAATGGAGCAGGAATTTTGAATAGTAGGGTCCACCAAGAGCCATGTCCATAATGAAGCCTTGAGGTCTATATCAGAAGCGTAGTCTTTGAGTCACAGCCGCGGAAAGACTTACATGGCCTATAAAGGTAGTTGTGCAGAGGATATTGCCAGATCCAAAACCAATTGAGGAGCTTGTGGACCAGTTCAGGCTCTGCACCGAGGTCCTCTGTGGTCTTGCTCTCGACTAGGGGCTCCCATACTTCATTGAGCATGACATAGTTGTTCTCCAGCGCTGCTGCGTGCTCCTTCTGCATGTTTTGGTGCATTTTGGGAGGCGAGGGCTCCATGTGCCATCCTGTCAAGCCGCCGTCAGAAAAGCGAGAAGTCGGTCCATGGTACGTTAGATGGCCATGCTCATCATGCCCGACGTGAGGAGATATGTCATCCTGTTCCGTATTCTCCACGGGGGGGAAGTCAGATCTGGGAATTTGACCTGCTGGAGATCGGGCCGCATTTGCTTGAGCTGAAGGAGAGTCTGGGGATGCAGTCTGTTTTGTTTGAGCAAGTTCAGCCTGCAAAAGTTCAATGCGGGCATTTGCGTGTTCCAGGCGGGATGCTGTAGCTCGCTGTGCATAGTGGCAATGGTCATTGCTCTGGCGGCAGCGCCTGCAGGCCGGCTCTTCGCCATCGCATCGAATCTTCTTGCGGCGACATTGGGCACATGCAAATGCGTATCTAAAGGTCGAGTCAGTCACTATGCAGGTAGGTTAATGGGAATGTCGCTATGGAATCCTTCCCCACTCGCTTCTTTGGATGGCTCCTTGAGATGGCTTGTGGTGAATACGTCCCGCCACTTGCGTAGGAAGGAGAGATACGGAGGACGGCATGCTTACCTGCGCGGGCCTTTCTGCCTTGTGGCTGCTGTATTCATACTGGCCATGCAAAACCTCCGGTTTCGTTGATGTCAAGAGATGCATGTTGAGGACCGCGGTCGATGTACATGTAGAAAGTGTGGTTGGAGGATCGTCTTAGTTTAAGCTAGACAAACTCTTTTTGGTCAAAAGCGGGGTCGAGCCGAGCGGGGACCGTTTGGGTTCAATGTCTGAAATCGTGGACAAGGAATATGTACAGCTGTCTCGAGTAACAGGTTTTCTCTGAGAAGGTCTTATCTTACAGATGTCTAGATGACAACAGAAGTCTCATTGCATCGACAGCCAGACTGCTCGATGAAGCCTCGGTCCACCGGAAGCTGATAAGGCTGCCATACTTGTACATCACACGGCGATGACAACAGAAGAGGACTTCTTGGAAGATGAGCCTGTCGTACCAAGACGCAACTCAAGGCTAAGCAGGGCCAAACCCAGCGCTTCCTTTGCTATTTTTACACGCCAACATCAAGCAGCCCAATGTCTTACTCACAAAATAGCCATAGCATTACAAGGACTCGCAACCCCAGCAACAACATTCAACGGCTGACTAGAGAAGAAAAACGTCCATCTCTGTAGCCGTCCACACTGCCTGCTCAACTCCTCCAAATCCCACGATTCCCCAATCATCATGCCCCATCCGCTTAGGAAGACCTCATGCATACAGGCGCCAGCAGGTCGAATGAATGGCATGGCCTCATACGCCACGGTGTCCGATGCGACTGCTGCGAAGCCGTTTTCCCAGTGCCATTTCAAGAATTCTTTCGATGCTTCTAGGCCGCAAGCGGTTCGGGGATCGCGATATGGGAGTGCTAGTTTCTCGTCGTGTGAGAGTGCACTGTATGCAACCGTCCAGCCTGTGCGGATGATCAAGACGTCGCCCTGGCGAAAGGTGACACCCTGCTCCCTGGCTACCTCCTGCAATTGCCAAAGTGGAATCCGGTGGCTATCGAGAGGTGAGAATTCAATGCCCTTCTTCAGAGCATAGCGGTACCAATCCAGTAAAACTCCTCTAGCCACAATCCCCGTCTGCGCCGCGTTGTGAATCCCCAGCTTATCCCCTGCCTGCGGTCCAGAAATCTGCTCCTGCGTCACACCATTATAATGCCTCACGCTCCCCTTCTCTGGAAAATCCAGATAGGGCACATGTCTTAACCCATCGAAATGACTCGAGCCTTGCGTGTCCATCTGCAGCGAGTCGTCGTTGGCTCTTCCTTTGGCGTTGATGCGGTGGATGCATGGTTCTCGTGCGGGATTCATGGGTCGCGCTAGGAAGTCCAAGGGTAGATTGAGTGGTATTCTGATGCCATGCTGGATTTCGAGTGCCGCGGATTTTACTACTTCTGGGGTGAGGAGGTTGAGGCGGCCGAGCTCGTCATCTTCGCCCCATAGGCCCCAGGCGCTGTAGGGCGGATCATTGGGTCTGAGAGGGAGTTGTTCGAATGTAGGAAGCTCCTCTTTGGGTTCTTCGGTGTGGTCTGAGTCGCATCCATTGCTGGTGTGAGAATCTCGGACTGGAGCTTCAGTTTTAGTATCCTGGCGGGTTATGGCGGCAGACATGATCATGGACGCGAATGTCCCTATGACACTGTCTTCGCACGTTTAGTTGTGCCAGGTCCACTATTTTCCAAAGCTCATCGGTCTTGCGACAACGGCGAATGATTCGTATCGATGGAGTTTGGGACGGATCAAAGCCTGGCGGAATGATGCCGAAGACCGAACGGAATCTTGGGAGCTATATCAGCTGCAAGCTTCCCACATGCCGGTGGCCCAAGAAGGAAGTTATAGCGGTTGGCCGTTGTTCCCAGCTTGGGAAGTGGAAATCGCTTACAGAGCATGGAGCCGGCAGCCAAGCCATAGTCCAGGAGATGGAGAGCAGACATCATGTCTATTCAGAACATACCTTGCGGTATAGTGTACAATGTCAAAGTGACTGTATCACCTCCACTTACTTCAACTCTATCGCCAACAAGCGATGCAGTCACGCCATGATCCCTCTCCATCATCGTTTACATCACTGTCCAAATTTGTTAGTTCTTGAACCTATTGTCGACGGCCATCCAAAGCGACAAATTTACCCACCCCGCATACAAGACACTGAGGACTATAGCTTGATCGGAATCTTCAAGCTCCTACTGTCCTCACTAGGGTTCATTTGCCATGGAAAATGACAACAAGACACTCTCAAAGCCCAGCGTTAAAAATTAGATATTTGCATTCATCCACAGCTGACTTACCTCAGCCTGATCATAGCAGGAATTCGAGCACTTGACTCGTAGGCCATATTCTAGCTGCGGTTTCCGACCCCACAAGGAGATATCCGACCAAAACGGAGACAAAGTCTTATCGCGTCCAGAGAAGGACGAGATCAGGCTGCTTTGCTTTAAGTGCGATCACATCTCGACCTGTTGAGCTGTTACGTTGCAACTCCCATGTCTTCTCTCAGACAATTACCGCAAGCGGTGAGAATAAGGATAATGATGCTGGCCGCCAGACCACGGAGTCTTGACAGCGTCCCATATACCTCGCGGTTTCATACGCTTGGGGCGATAATCCTGCAACATCGTCGATGGTCGTCAATGGACGCCGGATGCAAATTCCCGTGAATACCGAACGTGCCCTGCGAAATCTGCTTGTTCGTGAACTTCGTGAAGCTGACCACATCCACAATCGGACCTTCTGCGTCATCTCAGAGGGGAGGTTCGGTACGGGACCTCCGAGCTTTCGAGAACGGAATCCTGTTTCCTTTTTGGACACTCCTGGCCTATTGTTTTGAGACGAACTGAGCAGTATTGGATTCTGCTTGGCGACGTCTGTGTGGATTGACTGATGGGTGGGATGCATTGGAAAGAGTGCGGCGTGGGTGGATATCCATTGATTGATCCATGCCGGTTCAAGATTCGAGTCCTGCTGGTAGTCGAACATAGATGCGTATCTGGCCAGTGGTGGCGCTAGTGTTCCCTAATCAGGAACGCTCTTCTGTTCTCCATCTACCTGCCTTTTCCACGACATTGGCGACTTTCTGCGTTGTCTTTGCGTTATGTAATCCATTGTCGAATATCAAAGGCGTGGGATGTGGTTTCCAAAGATACGGTTGAAGAGAAGGGAGGTTGAATCAAAAATTGATGGGCGATCATTGAAACCGGGCGAGATCGGGGAGGACACGTGTCAATGTCGACGCTCTAATTGGTTGAGCTGACCTCACTTCTGGCGACCCCTCCGCCGCGTCCATCTCCACGCCTACATCCTCTCTCAATTTCGCTTGGAACAAGAGACGAAAATCTGGCCGATTGTACCTGAGCCGGCACAGATGCAGTCCAGACTAATGCACGACTACGCGAACCATGCTGGGGCTTGAGGAGGCGTGGCGAGCTTGATGGTCGACTTTTCTCTGGGCCGCCTGCTGCAGGGCAGTGGGACACGGCATAAATATGAGCCTCTGCACGGCCAGAAGGGCTTTGGCAGCAAGTTTGTTACTTCAAACTTCACTCAGAAGATCGCTGTTCTGCTCATCACCATGCTTTGTGGTTTAGCTGCTGTTGGCCTTTTGGTCTCGGGGTGAGCGGCTCCAGCAGTTACGGAGATATGTACAGCGTTGACGTCTCCTACAGATCTTCCGCCGGATGGAACCCAGGAAAGCCAGGCCATGGTAGCTCTGGATGCGACAGCGTTCAAAATGGCTATCAGTGCCAGCCTGATATCTCTCACTTTTGGTACATAGAATCCCCTCGGTCAAAGGCATCTTCGCTAACAGCTCGCAGGGGTCAATATAGCCCGTTCTTCAGCGTGGAATCTTCAATCCCCAGCGAAGTCCCTCCGCGCTGCAGTGTTACATTTGCGAATGTCTTATCTCGCCATGGAGCCCGTGATCCGACTGCTTCCAAGACGGCGGCATACAATGCAACCGTGCAGAAGATCCATGCCAATGTTCAAAACTACCCAGGAAAATACGCTTTCCTCAAGAACTACGAGTACACCCTCGGAGCCGATCAGCTTACGCTTTTCGGCCAACAGGAAATGATCAACTCTGGCCTCAAGTTCTACGAGCGATATGAGCAGCTCGCCAACCATCTGACACCTTTCGTGCGATCGGCTTCGGAGGACCGTGTCGTGGAGTCCGCCGAAAACTTCACGCAAGGCTACCATTCTGCCAAGTTGGCCGATAAGCGCAACAGGCGTGGCGATTCGACCTATCCTTACCCTATCACGGTCATCTCTGAGGCAGATGGCTCCAATAACACTCTCAACCATGGTCTCTGCACGAACTTTGAGGACGGCCCAGATGATTCCATCGCCTCCAACGCCCAGAAGACTTGGGCGAATGTCTTCGTCCCGGCAATCCAGAACCGCCTCAACTCTGATCTCCAGGGTGCCAATTTGACCCAGACCGAGGTCACCTACGTAATGGATCTCTGTCCCTTCAATACTGTTGCTTCCAACAATGGAACCATTTCATCATTCTGCAGCCTCTTCACCGAGGAGGAGTGGCATCAATACAACTACTACGAAACTCTGAACAAGTACTATGGCTACAGCTATGGCAACCCCTTGGGCCCTACGCAGGGAGTCGGTTTCGCAAACGAACTCATCGCCCGCCTGACCAACAGCGCTGTTGATGACGAGACTTCAACAAACCACACACTTGACGACAACCCGGCAACTTTCCCGCTGCGCCGCTCGCTCTACGCGGACTTCAGTCACGACAACGATATGACTGCTATTTTCTCGGCGCTGGGACTTTACAACGGCACTGGCCCTCTGTCGAATACCACCGTCACAGAAGCACAAGACGCCAACGGATACAGTGCGGCTTGGACTGTCCCGTTTGCGGCCCGCGCTTACTTTGAGAAGTTGCGCTGTGCCGGTAACCGCGAAGAGTTCGTTCGAGTAGTAATCAATGACCGAGTCCTGCCATTGAGCCAGTGCGGTGGTGATCGCTATGGACGATGCACGTTGAGCAAGTTCGTCAACAGCTTAGGCTTCGCGAAGAGCGACGGTCTCTGGGACCAATGCTTCACATAAGGACGACGATATGCAACGACTCATGAGCCGGCTTACTTCGCAATACCTTAAATTCTCCATACCCCACACATTGAAGGATTCCCTATAACCTCGCATGAGAAATGGGTTACATGACTCCTCACGAAGGAGCCACGCTATGCCGTTAGGATCTGAAACCACTTCCTCTTTCGGCCATGACCCTCCACCCCGGATGTAACCATGTCCTTGACCAGCCACTCGCGCAATGTCCTGCAATGAAATGATCACGGTATTACCACAATTTTCCTCTAAACAGCCCCCGGCCCCTTCACGCACTTCGACTGCCTGTTTTGTCCTGCTAAGGAGTGTTTTCTAGGCTATACGGTGGCTGACGGCTCTGAGCATGCATGTGCAAGAAAAACAACTGAGGTTGTTCTGATCTGAGCTTTGCACCTCATCACGAGCGCAAATTGAAACGTCACGTGCCGCCTCAAAATCACCTGCTCTTCGGCGGCTACGTTCTTCCTTCGTCACAACCACAGCAAGATAGACAACTTCGGGAAACGCAAGCGACTTCAAAACACCTTTGCGACCATGCTCCATTCGAAGCGGCTTCGACCTCTTCGTTCTCTGCTGGCGGCGGTTCTGGTATTTGGACAGTTGACCTCAGGTGCTGCCATCACTAGACGTGCCAACATCTCAGCAACATGCCCAGATTACACGGACTACGCTCAGCAGCCGCACGCGCCATACAGCCAAGGGCCCAATAAGTTGCCATTCCAAAGACCATCCCCCGCCTGTCGAACCTTCAATTCATCGGTAGTCGAGGGTACGATCAACAAGTTCCAGCGCATCATCAGAGATAATGACTTGTTCTGGCTCTTTCGCAACACATTTCCTAACACGCTAGACACGACGATCAAGTGGCGAGGACACAGTGCGAACGACTCGACTGAAGAACTCGCATTCCTGGTGACGGGAGACATTGATGCTATGTGGATTCGTGACTCTTCGAACCAGATTCATGCGTATGAATCTTTACTGGAGCCTTCGAACGACCCGAACAGCCTGGCGAGCCTGTTCCGTGGCACCATCAACTTGCAGTCACGATTCATTTCTCAACAGCCTTGGTGCAACTCGTTCCAGCCACCGCCAGAGTCAGGTATCGGTACGCATTACAATGGTGATCCGTATACTTTCACCCCCGATACAATTGACATGAACTATTGCTTTACTCCAAACTTTGAGCTGGATAGCTACGGTGCTTTCTTCCAAGTCAGCCATGACTACTACTCGCGGACCAGAGATTCGGCGTTCTTCGGCAAGTACAACTGGATCGCAGCGGTGAGGGAGATTCTTCGAGTGAGCAAGTTGCAGATGGCAGGGTTCTACAACGACCAGACTGGAGAGCCATTGGTCCCTGCGTATACCTTCAACAGTCAGACGACGACATCTGGCGGAACTCTGGATTTGAATGGTGTTGGTGCCCCAGTTCGCTACACCGGAATGGTAAAAGCACCTTTTGGGCCTAGCGATAACAGCAACATTTACGAGTTCATGGTCCCATCAAACATCATGTTCGCAGGGTACCTAGTCGTTGGCGCCGAGATCATGGACAAACTCAGAAACCCCTCGGCCAAATCTCTCGCTGCCGAAATGCGCTCCATGTCGCAGACAATTCGTGCGGCGATTCAGAAGTACGGTGTAGTTCCAAACCCGAACGACCCGTCGAAGCAAATCTACGCCTTCTCTGCCGACGGCTACGGAGGTCGCTCGCTCATGGACGACGCCAACACTCCATCTCTCCTGAGCATCCCTCTGCAACAGTACATTCTTTCTCCTCGCTCAGCCGAGGCGACGATTTACCAAAACACTCGCGAATGGCTTCTCTCGCTCGACGACCCATGGTGGTCGCAAGGTCCATACATCAGTGGAGTAGGTAGCCCACACACTGGAACTGGCAAGCCGTGGCCGATGGCTTTGATCACGAGGATTCAAACGAGCAATGATGACGGAGAGATTTTGAGCCAGCTTCAGCAGCTCGTCAATTCAACGGCGGGATTGGGGTTGATGCATGAGAGTGTCAATAGTAGAAATACGACGGATTGGACGAGGCAGTGGTAAGTGGGAGATTCCTTTGTTATGGACTTGCGGCTAACTTGTGTTTCCAGGTTTGCATGGTGCAACTCGCTCTTTGGCGAGATGATTCTTGATTTGAATGAGCGGAAACCATATCTCCTATCGAGAAATCTGTACTAGCTAACGCAATGCGAGAAGCTAGAACGAAGCCTAGTGTGCGAGCATCCTTCTAGCAGAGGTACAAGTGAGATACATTCAAGTTAGCCCCCATTAACCTCCAGAAACTTCTCTTGCCTCATTAGGATGAGTTACAGGCACACATCGATGTGATTGATCGCCGGCAGAAGGGAGCTCTTCCCTAGCGGCATACCAGAGCTGCCAAAGCTCCCTTTTGGAGCGACCTCGATGGCAGTCCACAATGCGGGGTCTTGACAATGGGGCGGGGTGTTATATAAACAATGACCCACGCGACAGAGAGAATGTCTCCTCAAATCCTTCACAGAGACAGGAGAAGGATAAGATCTTTTAGACACTTGCTTCCAGCTCGCTGCCAGCGCCACCATCCACCATGGTCAACCAGAAAGCCCAAGATGCCATCCAAAAGAGCCTCGACTCTGTCACCTCGGACCAAACCAGCGGCATCCCGGGCCTCGTCTTCGTGGCTATCGACAAGTCCGGCTCCGAAATCGCCGCCGTGCCCTCCGGCCTCAAAGGCGCAGCTGCCGGCCGTCCCCCGATGGACCTCGATACGGTGTTCTGGATTGCGTCCTGCACGAAACTCCTCGCGACCATGGCGTGCATGCAGGCCGTTGAGCAGGGGCTTTTGAAGCTGGATGACCATGAGCAGGTGTATAAGCTTTGTCCGGAGTTGGAAGCCGTGAAGGTGTTGCGGGAGGATGGGACGTTGGAGGAGAAGAGGGGGGCTATTACGTTGAGGGGACTGTTGACGCATACGAGTGGGTTTGCTTATGAGTTGTAAGTACAGGTTTAGCGTCTTTGTGTTGGGAGGTGTGATTGTGCTTATGAGTCGTAGCTTCAACCCGAAACTGCGAGATTATGGACGTCCGGTGGGCTTTGACGTCTTCCATGCTGATGTCAAGGATATTCTCCGCATGCCGTTGGTCCATCACCCAGGCGAGAACTGGGAGTACGGCATAGGGATCGACTGGGCCGGCATTGTCCTCGAACGAGCCACGGGAACAGGACTGAACGACTGGATCCAAAAGAACATCATGGAGCCACTCGGCCTCAAGAATATAAATATGTTTCCCACGGCTGAGATGAAGAAGAACCTGGCGTACATGCATCAGCGATGGCCTGGGTCCCAGCAATCTGAGGAGCGAGATCATATCTATCGGGAGCCGCTGCTTGCAGAGACGGATCATGAGAAGAAGCATGTCTTCCACAGCGGCGGAGCTGGTGCCTTTGCGAAGCCGACGGAGTATGTGCAGGTTCTGGCTGCATTGTTGAACGATGGGAAGAGTCCGAAGACAGGCGCACAGATCCTCAAGAAGGAGACTGTGGACGCCATGTTCGAGAATCAGGTACGCCGTACACTTTCCCCTTCGTACGACTCCCCATTCTAAACCCTCCCAGATCCCCAACTTCCCCAACTTCGCCCGCCAAGGCATCCCCGCCGCCAAACCCGAACAAACAAACCCAGCCCCAGAGCTCTACCCGCAAGAAGGCAACCCGCCACAAGGCTGGGGCCTCAGCTTCATGATCACACAAGAACCCGGACCGACCGGCAGGGGCAGGAATACAGCGTGGTGGGCGGGTATCGCGAATTTGTTCTGGTGGTGTGATCGCGAGAAAGGCGTTGCGGGCATGATTGCAAGCCAGGTAATGCCGTTTGGGGATCTGGGGGTTATGGGGCAGTGGGGTGCTTGTGAGGCGGCGGTTTATCAGGCTTTGGAGGCCTAAGGCTGTATGGTGAGGAGTTGCATCTGTAGTTCTTGAAGGAAAGCTTATGTTTGGCGTAGGTATTCGTCTTCGCGTTATCATGAAACTCAACTCTCAGATCCTTGGACGACTTCTCCCCATCCCCCCCTTTTCATCTTCAAGCATCGCGGCTATCCCCCCGATTCTCAGAGCGACTACTCTCAGGATCATCCTCCAGTTTGCTCAGCTAGCTTGCAAGCACCGGGGATATTTCCAATCCCAAACACAACAAGGGAGGAAAGGCAGCCCCTACTTCCCCTCAACAACAACCCCCATCAACTCCATCTCCACAAAAACCTCCACCCTCTTCTCCGCCGCCCTCCCCACCGCCCTCTCCTCCTCAACAACCTCCCCAATCCTCCTCCCCAGCACCTCCGCAACTTCCCAACTCCCCGTACTAACCCCGACCCTCAACCATCTCAACTTGTTATACCTCTGCAACACCCCCCTCACCTCCTCGACAGCCGTCTCAACACTCTCCTTATAATACACATACAACCTCACATCCACCTTCCGAACCTGTTCCAGGAAACTCGTCCGTGCGGTCAGCACGCCATCGATGTGCACTTGGGTGTAGGCGCAGCGCGGGGAGGGCGCGCTGTACAGGCAGGTTATGGAGAAGCGGTGGATGAAGGTGTGGAAGAAGCTGTCGCGGTGGAGGCGCAGGAGGCGTTTGTTGAGGGCGCCGTGCCGGATGTGGGTAACGAAGTCGGAGCGGGAGCGCAGGTTTTGGGGTGTGTTGTGGGAGAGGATTTGGAGCAGGAGTTCGTCGGGGAGGGAGAGGAGGGTTGGCATGGCTTGTGAAGAGAGTGGGTTGGTGATGCGTAGAGTTGGTTTGGTTTCGTCGATCGAGGGTTCAGTCTCGATGTCGAAGAAGGCTGTAGAGAATCGTCGCGTTGTTGCAACGAAGAGTTCAAATATCGAAAACTAGAAAATCAAACGAAGATCCAACGACAAGAACTCAAAAACGCGGTCTGCACAAATGTGTTTTCAACATCTGCGTTGTCCTGGCTGCAGACGTTCCACCGCATATTCGTCTCAAACACGTTCCGCGGCTCCCCTTGCTGCAGTTCGTCCACTCCGCGTCGTCCCTGCATTTGTGTGACGGTGACACAACATGAGATCGGGGACGAGATGGCGAGATCTTGTGACTGGATCGGGGAACGCCTGCATGGTCTCTTGTTGCATTCGAGGATGTATCGCTGCGCTCGGTCTTGTCGTCCAAGACGGCGTAGACCACGATTCCCTTGACGCTTTGCAGAGTGTTGGCGTGGGCCTTCTTGGATACGAACCTGGGCGTTCTGCAATGAGCACCGCGAGCACCCTCTAACTCCCTCATATATATCCACGCTACTCAACCAGCCCCGTCATCCTCGGTATCTGCACCCAACACCGTCCCTCCACAACGCTCACCTTCCCCTCCGTCAAAACCTCCAGCCGTCCCAGCGTCCCCTCCACAGTCCTCTCCTCCGCATCGACATTCCCCACCCTAGCCCCCATCCTATGAACCGAATAATAATGCCAAGGCCTCTTCGCCATCAACCCATCCCAAAGCTCCCCGAACGTCAACCCCTTCCCGTCCACACTCTCCACTTTCCCCTCGTCGAAGAGCTTGCCGGAGAAGCCGTCGTGCTCGAGAGTCCATTCCATGCGTAGGCGGGCGGCGGGGATCGGGGGGAGGGTGAGGTAGGTTCGTCGCCAGGTGTCGGGGGAGGAGAGGAAGTCGTTGATGGAGAAGAGGAGGGCTGTGGTGGGGGCGCAATTTGGGCTTAGGTCGAGGCGGATGTGTGCGCCTTTCGAGGCGGAGAGTAGGGGGCTTAGTTTCCTGTTGCTTGTCTTGACACCGAGGTCGTAGTCGAATGCGCCGTTCGGTTTGGTGGCGTATTGGAGGGTCTCTGTTTGGACCGTCTCGCAGGCTGATAATTTCCGTTGCAGGAGCGAGGACTCGATCGTGCCGAGGAAGCGTTGGCTGACGAGGCAGCACACGGAGAGGTCTGGGAAAGAGAGGAAGTCGAGGATGATTTCTAGGATCTCTGGGGTGTGGAAGACGGTTTCGTGCGCAGCTTGTCTCTCTGCGATTGAAGATTCCATCTTTGCGTACGTGATTGCTTCTTGCTATGTTAGAAGAGACGCAGAAACTTCCAAAAGTGAAAGGGTCCTTGAAGCACGACAGGCAGCGGACATGGGGTAAAAGAAGCGAAGCACCGAAAAGTGATCAGTTCTGTGTGTGCGTTCAAGTAAGTTTGCATCCTCCTAGGAAGTTGACCGGCCCAGATACGGTATGATCCCGAGATACGTCGGCCTTTAGCCAAGGCTGCCTTCCGAGGGACATCGTGTCCGAACTTGTCGAAAGCGCCTGATACTCCATCAGATCGTTCAGTCAGTGTCTTGACTTCTGATTCGGAGATCCTCTGTTTCGGGATGCATCTCTAACCTCACAGGCCGCCTAAGGTATCCAAAATACAATCCACAGGTCGGTCGCTCAGGATATTGAAGGTATGATGGGTGTTGTCAGCTGGTACATCGAAGGGCACTGGCATGGGTATTTCAAATTCAGAAAGAGCCAAACAAAGTCAAACCCAATCTCATCCCTTCCCCTTCCCCTTCCCACCTCGTCCACCCTCCCCCCTCCTCCAATCCACATCCTTCAACACCGGCACCACCCCTCCCCTCTTCTCCACCTCCCTCGCACCAGCACCAGCACCAGCCCCATTAACACCACCCTCCCCACCATCCCACTCCCCGCCACTCAACAAATTCCCCAACGCCCCATTCCTCCCCACCAACTCCCCAAACCCCCCCTCCTCCACAACCCTCCCCTGCTCCAACACCACCACCCTCTCCGCAATCTCCATCATATCGCGATGATGCGTGATGATCACCACCGTCATCTTCCTGCCTACCTCCCCATCACAAATCAGAGATTTGATCGTCTCCCGGATCAGGTTCGCAGACTCGACGTCCAGCGCGGAGGTCGCCTCGTCGAGGACGAGCACGGCGGGTTGGCGCACGAGGGCGCGCGCGATGGCGATGCGTTGCGCCTGGCCGCCGGAGAGACCGAGGCCTCCGTCGCCGATGGGCGTGGCGTAGCCGTGGGGGAGGGAGGTGATGAAGGCGTGGATGCCGGCTTGGAGGGCGGCGTGGGAGATGCTGTCGGGGGCGCGGTGGGGGGAGTCGGCGGGGAGGCCGTAGGCGATGTTTTCGGTGACGGTGGCGGCGAAGAGGGTCGGGGTTTGCGAGACGGGGACGATTAGGGCGCGGAGCGAGGGCGTGTAGATGTGGGTTATGGGGCGGCCGCCGAAGGTGAGGTCGCTGATTCGGGAGCCGGGGAGGGAGGAGGTACTGTAGAGGTCCAGGAGAAGATTCGCGATTGTGGATTTGCCTGATCCAGAACCGCCCACGATAGCCGTCGCCGTGCCGGGACGCAGTCTGAGATTGATATTCTTGAGCACAGTCTGCTCCGGCCGAGACGGATACGCAAAGCGAAAATCTTCAAACAAAATATCCCCCACCGTCACGATCCTCGTATCCCCCAAATGCTCATGGCTATTCGTAGGCATATTCGCCAACGCCAGCAACCTCCCCGCCGTGTCCTTCGCGCTGCCAATCTGCGGGATGAACCCCAGAATCGCACTCACGTTCGTGATGGTGAAGATTAGCATCGAGAAGACGGTGATAATATCGTTGACTTTCGCCCCTCCCACGACCAACTTCGAGCCCACGTAAAATATCATCGCTGTAGCGAACTCCCCGGCAGAGTCCGAGAGGCCGTAGAAGAAACCCGCATAGAACGAGCGCTGGAAACCGACCCGCAGGGCATAGTTCGTCGCCTTGATGTATTTGTTCAGGAAATGTCCTTCCAGCGTGAGAGCTCGTACCGTCTTGATATTCGTAAAAGTCTCCGTGAAGATCGCACTCGCAGCCTCAGCGGCGTCGTTGCTGTGACTCTCCCATTTTTCGCTGATTTTCGCGAATGCCTTGGTCACGGCGAAGATATACGGCGACACGGCGAGAGCGATGAGCGTCATTTTCCACTGCGAGGCGAGGGACCATACAATCGATACGAGGACCATCAGCACGGCGACGTATGCGAGAGAGGCGAAGCGTCCAAGCAAGTTCCTCATCTCCTCAGCGTTCCGATCCAGACTCTCCGTCAGCCTCGAAACACTATTCTCCTCCTTCTCAAAGAAATCCCTCGGCTGATCCAGAATATGTTCGTACGCATCGCCGCGGATGTAATCAACCCACAGCTGGCTGGTATACTCATGGAAGAAGCGAAACGCCCACGTATGCGATGCATCCGCGAAGGCGATTCCCAAGATGGCCATGGAGTACATCAGCGATTTCTGCTTATCCCCGCCGGGGATCGAGTACGTCGCGAGGAGTTTGGACAGGATGAAGGAGAAGACCGGCGAGCCCACGGCATGTACGCTTGCGCCCCAGATTCCGAGGAGGAGGTATAGTTTTCCTAGCCAATCCAGGCTCGGCCAGAGAGTTGAGAAGATCGCCTTGAAGGAGTTCAGCCTGACTTCCTTCTCAGGCTTCTTGGCATTCGCCTCCAGCACCGCCAGACTCTCCTCAGGCCCCGTGAAAGGAATCCCATCCGAGTCCCTCCTCATCACTGCCCTCCGTTTTGGCGTCCTCGATCTAGCCTCCGCAGCGAACTTGCCAGTCTGATCGACAAGATTCTCCAACAACTTCGACCACCGCTTCGAAGACGTCGGACTCTCGCTCTTCGCCGCCGACGAAGGCGTGCTCGCATCCACAGGATGATGCTTTCGCGGCGAGATCGAGCCTCCCTCTGCCGTAGCAGCCATACGCATCCACGGCGAGGCGAAAGCAGATGTAGGCCCTTTATTATAAGCCCTCATACCAATGAGCGGACTCCCCTCCATGAGGACATTGGGGAAATACGACTGCCGCTGCGTCTTCCTCTTCTCCGTCAGCGTCAGCGCTCGCTCCAAAGGATCCAGTTCATACTCCGACGAAGTCGTCGTCGTCGGGGTGTCAGCATCCCCCAAACTCCCATTCCCACTCTTCCTCTTCTCCTCAAAAAGCTCCACCCCAGCCCTCTGCTCCTCACTCAAAAACCCATGAAACGCCGTCCCCTTCATCCGTTCCAAATGCTTCCGATACCCCTCCTGCACCACCCGTCCCCCCTCGAGCAAATACAAAAAGTCCTCGGGCTGGATCTGCGAGATATCGTGCGTGATAATGATCGTCGTCTTGCCTTTCCTCCACCGTCGGATCGCCTCCATCATCAGCGTGCGGGAGATGTGGTCCAGCGCACTCGTGCTCTCGTCTAGGATCAGAATTGGTGTGTCACGAAGGCGAGCTCGGGCTAGTGCCATGCGCTGTCTCTGGCCGCCGGACATGGAGCCGCCTTTGAAGCCCACGATCGTGTCGAGGCCGTTGGGCATGTCGCTGATCATGAGTTGGAGGAGGGCGAATTCCGAGGCGGCCGTGACGTCCTCTCTCGTGACGTTTTCGTAATCTTTCCTTCCAAAGGCAATATTCCGGAAGACGGTGTCGTTGAAGAGCAAGCTCGTCTGCTCCACGAGCGTGATGTTCGAGCGCAGCCACTCCGTATCAAGATCCGCCAGGGGCACGCCGTCGATATTGATAGATCCCTCAGAACAAGCGTAGAACCCCATCAACAACTGCGGAATCGTACTCTTCCCACTTCCACTCTTGCCAATCAGGAACGTCATCTCCCCGCCTTGGATGAAGAGAGTAATATCCCTAACGGCGGAAACATCCGGTCGAGAGGGATACGCAAATGACAGATCCTTGACGTCGATATGCCCTTTACATCCCTCCGGTTTCAACTTCCTCCCACCATCCTCCTCTTTCTTCCCACCCTTGCTTTCCATCTCCGCCATCACAGCCCTCAACGTGGCCCCGGCACTCCTTCCCTTCTCGAAAACAATCATCTGCGGCAGAATTCCCTGAATGGCCTGAAAAGCCCCGATCGCACTGAAGAACGTCGTGATGACATCGCCGCTGTTGATCTTCCCGTCCGCGACCAACACGCCACCATAGTAGAACCCCTGCACGAACATACTTACACTCAACAACACCACCAAGCCCATCTGCAACGCACTAGCATTCGCGACCCAAGCGTAGGACACAGCAGCGGCGTTGATAGTCGTAGTATACTTCTCCACCTCAACATCCTGTCCATTGAAACACTTCACCGTCTCAATTACGCCCAGCGCATTCGTGCTATACTTCTGCGCCTCCTCCAACTTCTCCGTCTGCTTCGCCAGATTCGTCTGCATCGGCTTGCCCACCCACATCACCAGCGCCAGAACCACCGGCACCGTCGCGAGCGTCACCAGCGTCAAGTCCCAGGAATGCACAAACGCCTGCACAAGACTCAGCACCGCTGTGGATAAACTGACAATCAACGTCCCCATCGGCTGCGCCGTCGCGAGCTGCAGCTCCCGTATCTGCGCCTGGAGTCTCGGCAGCAAAGCCCCAATTCCATTCTTCCGCCGATCGTACCACTCCACCTTCTTGCCCAACAACCCATGGAAGAGCCGATCCCGCGCGCTCTTCGCCTGCAGCTCCCCAAACGCCAGCCAGAACATGAAATCGAGGGAATGGAACAACCAACTCGCCGCCGCGAGCGCCGTGAAGAAGACGACGTACTTCGTCTGCTGTTTCATGAACTCGTCGTTGTTGAGTCTGCCTGTGGCGTAGTCTGTGAATCCTTGGAAGATGCGGCCGATCAGGAGGGATTGGGCGGGTTGGGCGGCGCCGGCGACGAGGGAGCAGAAGGTTGCGGCAATGAGGAGGGGGATGTTGCGCCGGGTTTTGAAGGCGAAGAGAGCGCGCCAGGGGGCGGGCTGTGCGTCTTGGGAGGAGGTGGAGGTTGTGGTGTCTTTGGATTTGGCGGTTTGCGTGCTGGTGTCGGAGAAGTGGGATTTGTGGTGGGAGCTTTTCTGGGAGGTGTTGGCTTCTGTCATGGTAGCGAGCGAGCCATCCGTGGGAGTGTTCTGTAGGGACTGTCGCTGAAGTTCTGAACTGTTCCGCATGTAAAGATCGAACAGGTGAGGTCCGATCGCACGGACCAATCTGCGCTCGCAAAGAAGTGAATGATCCAAAGCGGGAGGTGAAGTGGGGATGGGGGATGGGAGGCAAAGAATTTGGTTGCTAGTATTGTTCTTGCTGCCAAGACCAGAATGTGACCTCTTTTTTTGTATCTACCTTCTCCTCGCTCGGTCTCTGTCGTTCCTCATCATTCATCATGGCTCGACTCTTGATTCACCGTTTTGCACTCAACATGTGTCCGCCGTCCGTTAAGGTCTATCAGGACCTTATCAAGATCACTCGTGGGAGCTTCTAGTCGGATTGGCGTTTCCATTCACTTCGTCGTTCGCGGATGGTGAGTGGAACGTTTCGTCCTGCAGCGTCATTGCCTGTGGCTGACAGTGCATCAGAACACTCACGAGCATCACTCATCTATGCGACAAGCCTTCGCTCGCCCGTAGCCAGCCAAATCCACCTTCAACATCTCTCATCATCTTTTACGCCTCACTCTTCCCACCCTGCGCCTTCTCATACACCCAATCATTCAACCCGGCCCGATTCCTCGCAATCTCAATCGCATAAAACTGCATCCTGACCGCAAAAATCGTCTCCTTCTCCCCATACTCCCAGCCGGCATTCTTCCTGACCAACGTCCCAAAGTTATAATCCTCCACCTTCTTCTCATATTCCTGAATGAACGTCCGCCACTTCTCCTTGCCGGCTTTGGATTTCATCTCGTCCTCGTCGATGGTGCCGTGCAGGTCGAAGTCGGGGAATTCGCGGTTGAAGTGCGCGAGGATTTCGTCGTCGTATTTGGTCAGGCGGAGTTGGGAGCCTTTGATTTTCTCTAGGACTGCCCAGTAGACTGACATCTGTTCGACGGCTATAGAAGGGTATGTTAGTGGTGGTGGGAGGCGTGGGGGCAGACTAGATCGGTATACCTTTGACTGCGAACTGCTTTTCGATCTCTTCATTGTTTTCGGTGTCTTCTGGGTTCATTGGGCCCGCTGGGCTGCTGAGCGACATCTTGGCTGTGATTGGTGTTTCTTTCTCTGTTCGATGTTGAGGCAGACGCTCGACCGAGGGAGAGAATATAGTTGTTGTGCGAAGGAAGAAGTTGAGTTGCGTCTAGTCGGTGCTGGAAACATCTGAAAGCCATGACGCATGAGTCTTGGCAACGGCTCACAGTCCAGTCAAAACGCTGTCACATGCTAGCTTTTATCCCATTACACGCAAATTGCCTAAGCAATCTGGAGTACAATTTCAAGGCTCGGTTGCTCCAAGAATCGGAGATATAACGGTATCATGTCGTTGCAACTTTCAGCGGAACGACGAAGGCACAGATAACCAAGGCAGGGAAAGCAAGATTCATGAGAAATCTCCTCGAGGAGCTTGATTCATTTGCACACGCCGTTCATGATTGTAACAGTTAGCCACGCCATCAGCATTGGGCCATTTTCCGTCTTCCAAAACGCCTCAAACCCCAGATGTCCATCCCTCATAATCATCACTGCATACCCCCTCACGAGTCGTTGATGTTGTACAGAGCAATGTCCTGGCTATCACTCGTCTCGTTCTCCACGCCGTTGGGTCTCGAGTCGACGACGAAGCTGTTGCCACGAGAAAGGCGATCGACACGCTCCTTCTTCGGTAACCGACCCTCACCATCAGAGCCGCTGTCTCTCGCCACGACCTCGCCGTGATCGTCGACATCCACCCCATTGGCTGCCATCTTGATCTCTTTCTGACTCGCGGTCCCATGAACCACCGCCTGCACGGCCTTTTCCATGACCTTCATTTTACGAGTTTCGCCACGGACGCGCTCCAAATGCAGGAAGTAGTCCTCATCGACTGGTGTGACATACTTGCCACAGAAAACACCAACCTCGAATTGCTGTGTCGCTGGGTCTCTCGGCGACTCTTGTGCACAAGCAGAGACCAGATCGTCGAGGTCTTGATAAATCACGCCGTCTGCACCAATGTGTCGAGCGATATCGTCCACGGTGCGGCCGTGTGCAACAAGCTCGCTTTTACTAGCCAGATCGATGCCATATATGTGAGAGTGGGTGATGGGTGGAGCACAGCTGCTGAAGTAGACCTTCTTCGCGCCAGCCTCTCTTGCCATCTGCACAATCTCGCGCGAAGTAGTGCCACGGACGATGCTGTCATCAACAAGCAGTACGTTCTTGTCTCTGAACTCAAGCGGGATGGCGTTCAGCTTGGCGCGGACACCACGCTGTCGAGCTCGCTGGGACGGCATGATGAAAGTACGGAAGATGTATCGATTCTTGATGAAGCCTTGAGCGTATGGCTTCTTGAGGTGCTTGCTGACGGCGTATGCTGAGACGAGGGACGTCTCTGGGATGGGGATGACTGCGTCAATATCCTTGAGAACATCAGGGCCGAGCTGTTTCTTGATGGTGTCGGCTAGGCGGTAACCCATGAGCTGGCGACTCCTGTAGACAGAGATGCCATCGATATCGCTCTCTGGTCGAGCAAAGTAGACGTATTCGAAAATGTCGGGAGTGTAGCCGCGCTGCTCGCAGACCTGGGAGAATTGCGGCGCCTTGCCCTTCTCGATGATGACGGCCTCGCCAGGACGGATGTCCCTGATGTTGCTGAAGCCATTCTGACTGAGAGCCACAGACTCCGAAGCCATCATGTAGTCCATGCCGCCTTCGACATCAATGGAAGGTCGCTCACCCAGGACCATGGGTCGAATGCCGTTCGGGTCACGGAAGCCAATCAAGCCGAATCCAGCCAACATAGCAGTGCAAGCCCATCCACCCTGACACCTCTTGTACATCCGTTCCAACGCACGGAAGCAGTCAGAGGCATTGACTCTGGCCTTGCCGGTCTCGTTGAGCTCGTTGGCGAAGACATTGAGCATGAGCTCGCTGTCCGACTCGGTGTTGATGTGTCTGTACGCTTCTCGGTCCAGGTGCTCCTTCAGTTCTGGCGCATTGATCAAGTTGCCGTTATGGGTGAGGCAAATGCCGTAGGGCGAGTTGACGTAGAATGGTTGGGCCTCGGCGTTGGCACTGCTGCCGGCAGTTGGGTACCTCAGATGTGCCACGCCCATATACCCTGGCAGATCCCCAACTCTCTTGCCATCTTGAAAGACCTTGGCCGCTAGACCGTTGCCCTTGCACTGGTATATCTTGCCTCCCTTAGAGCAAGTAGATATACCACATGCATCCTGGCCACGGTGCTGGAGATAGTAGAGGGCTTGGTGGAGTTCGGGGGCAGCGTCGGCGGAGGTGGAGGCGAGGATGGTAGCGATGATGCCGCACATGGTGGTGGATGTGTGTCTCGTCTGCTAGAGCTTATATGTGTTGATCTGCGCAGTGCATGAGATTAGCACGAGAAGAGGCAGGCTCCGTGTGGTAGGGCTGAAGCAGTGGGCGTTGGATCAGAGAGAGGTGTTCTGGTCATGGAAGATCCCAAGTCTAACATCTATTTGGAAATTGCTCTGGCTCATCATGGTGTCTGTCGAAGGAGGGGAGGGGAGGGTGTTCTCACCTCGAATACCGTCCGGTGCGCCCGTCGAACGAACTAGGGCGGGTGACGAGAAGAAGTCGGATCGCGGGCGGAGGTAGGCGAAAGTGTGCGGTCTTTCGACCTTGCGGTTAGATCGTCTGATCCATGGCTGGAGGAGCAGCGTCTGGCGGGGTGAGGCGATGCCATTATTTCAAGCCTTCTAGGAAAAATTTCAGAGGAAGCTCTCCGGACGCGGCGGGCAAGCAGTCGGACTCGGGAGCCGCTGGCACGGCGTCGTTGGATTTAGTGCTGGGATCGAGATGTTGTTGGGGGAGTCTTTGCAGTTTTCCTGCGAGCAGAATGAGGCATCTCGGATGGATTTTTGAATGTAAAAATACTTGATCATCGTTTGTGATCGATTCTATATGCAGTGATACCAGGTCGTGTCGCAGGAACGATCGAAGTCGCCAGCCACCGCATCAGCCGTTGGCCACTACTTCTGACCGCCACTTCTATTTGCACTTCACCTCGTAAACTCCCTCGCTATGCCATTAGTATTCCATCATATTTTGCGTGAAACAACACGAGGACTCGCCCCGGAACGAGCTCATTTGATAGAACAGAGCCGGAGTACTCTACTGTGCTCTTGACAAGCCCTGACGGCCTCCGATGCCATGTGCAAACGCTGCCGTTTGCATCTCCTATCGTCGGCTTCAAACGCTGCCAATAGCTCGAGGAGTATGGGCGAAATGCCCTGCGAGGACATGTGCCTCCCAAGCATGGAAGATGTCTCATGTAAGAACTCTGTGGGCCACAAAGTGAAGTCAACGCTCCCTCCAAATCACTTCCCTTCTGCCCGTGAAGTTTGCAGATTCATCGTTCCTGTCAGCTAAAGCGTCTCAGATTTCATTCCGGCTGCTTAGGCACCGGCAACTACTATGAGAAATCGGTTAACGATGCTCTTTCGTCTGAAGTCCTTGGAGCTGGATGCCCTCCCTCGTTTCGTCGCCTTTCCGGCTCACTCTCGCTACTCGACTGAGCTGAACAACGACATGCTGTGCAGCTTCATCGCTACAGCTCCGAGCGGAATTTGTACTGCAAACGCTGACAGGTGCCATCACTTGTAATAGCTCGTGGTCTCCAGCTTCGCCGCGACGTGCAGCTAGACGGCAACTGCCGCAAGACAGCGTTTGCGTGCATAAAAGCCCCTTCATCTCCTTGTACGACGCCTCTCTCACACTACTCATCCTTCTCACTATTCACTGGCAAACAAGACGAAACTCCCACTTGCTTCCATCATTTACGTCTCTCACACCACATTCACCACCAGTGACTGGCCTTCATGCCGCCGCGACCTTACCTTCAATCTCCGCTTCGGTTGCAGGCGGACACCCAGACAATTCTGCACACACACGCCGTTGGGCCTACCTCGAACCTCGAAGCTATCATCATCACAGCAAACGTCTTCTGCGTCACACTCATCATCATTGCCGGCATTTTCGCCGCCGCCATGGCCTACCGACTAAGTGGCCGCAACGCCGTTCCATATGATATCGTCGACATACTCTCCGACGAGGAGTCAGATGTGGAGTACATTCCAAAGCGCATAGCTAGCTCCAGTCGACGTGTTCCTATTCAAGTCAATGAAGACGAGGACCAAGAGGCTATTGATCTCACCGGGGATGATGACGACGACTTCATCCGTGAGCTTACGCCCAACGAGCTGAAGACTATCGAAGGCAGAGACAAGACTGCTGGAAGCGTACTTCCAGGCTTCAGACTGATTAGCAATGTCACAACCTCGCATGGATTGCACATATCGACCAGCCTAGAGGAGCCAACGGAGGTCGAACTTCCAGACGGTGACTTTCTCCGCGTGCTTTACATTTACCAGCACCTCTTCACCCGGGAAGTCATCCTGAAAGGCATTCTGCTCAGACGTGTGCGCCGTGTGCATCGCTATTACAAAAAGAACAGAAACGAGCTTTGCGCCATTCTCCAACAGAATAGGGACATGGAGGATCTCACTCTGGACAGCTCGTTGGTGACTCGCTCTCTTGGCGAAGTCGTGCAGATTCGCAACATTGTCTTCACCAACGCAGACTTCCCAAGCTTCAGCTTTCGCTCCGACCCTCAGCTCTTCGGGCCGCACGCAACCGCCAACAACAAGAACATTGAGGACACTGCTGTACTTGTTTGTCGTTTCAAGTACATAGAGTGCTGCAATGCTGCCAACGGCAAAGTCATGATGGAGGTTCTGCTAGACCTACGCGAGCATGAGGCAGACAAGGGCAAAGGCGTGTCAGACTTGGCGAAGAAGCAGCGTTGGTTGAGCGGTGGTGAGAAGCAAGAGGTGGTGGTCCTTGACGATGACAGTCCTAAATCAGAGCCTATGGACTCCATCAAGAAAGAGAAGCGCACTTCTCTATCTGATGTGCCTGCACACCAGCCGTTCGATAAGAAGAGAAAGATCGTCGTCGATCTGACGAGCGACGATGAGTCAGAGGAGGTCACTGAGCAGACGCGAAAGACTTTCATCACGGACACGTTCAAGCGAAGCAAGCTGGGCGGTGGTTTAGTACAGCGCCGAGAGCGTACGTCAGTCACCAGTTTTACGAAGATCACCAAGTCTCGCTCTTCGTCAGTATCCAGCATCCGCACGTTTGGCCGTGGCACGGCAGTTCCGGTGAAGCCTTATACTTATGGCGACATCTGTGCAGGTGCGGGCGGCATGGCTCGAGGCGCTGCAGACCACGGCTTTGTCGTGAACTTCCTCCTGGATCACTGGTCGACTGCCTGCGACACGCTTCGTCGAAACTGGCCACGAGCTAAGGTCCTTGAGGCCAGCATCTTCGACTTTTGCACCAAGCTTACTTTCCAGGGCTACATGCGTGTGGATATACTGCATATCAGCTTCCCCTGTCAGACTCATTCTCTCGCGCACACTCGCCCTGGCAAGGATGACGATGCGAATGAGGCTGCTGCATTGTCGGTTGGTGACCTGCTGAGGAAGTGCCGGCCTCGTGTGGTTACATTCGAACAGACTTGGTCCATCTTGATCGACCGACGTCGCCCGCATTTTCAGGCACTTGTCCATCAACTGACCAGTATGGGCTACAACGTGCGCTGGAAGGTTTTGATCTGCTCCGAGTACGGCAACGTCCAGCCACGAAAGCGACTTTTCGTCATCGCCTCCTGGTAAGCTTACTGATTATCTCGAGAGCTGAAGCAATACTGATTCTATACTCATAGCCCCGGCGAGCCACTCCCTCCTTTCCCGAAGCCGACTCATGGCCCAGGTCGCAAGCCCTTCGTGACGATCAGAGACCGACTCGCCCTCATTCCCCAGAGTGTACTCCCTCACATGCAACAGCATACCAAGAAGGACGCCGCACCATACAATCCCAACCGCGTCCTCCGAGCTGCTATCACCTGTGATGGCGGCCAGGGAGACGTTCATCCCAGCGGCAAGCGTTCCTTCAACATGCAGGAGCTTGCTTCACTCGCCGGCTTTCCACCACGCCATCAATTTACGGGCTTCAAGACCGCCATTCGGAAGCAGATCGGCAATGCGGTACCCAGCATGGTTGCGAAATCCATCTTCCAGGACATCGAGAAGAGCATGAGGCAGGCGGATAGGGATGAGGAAGTGAGAGATGCACAGCTGAGGCGTGAGGATATTGAGATTGATTGAAGAGCACGGGAGGACATAGGAAAGCAGAGTGATCAGACTGGTTGAGAAAGAAGGAAGAGACATGGCGTCATTGGCGGAGAAGAGACACATCCATTCTGATTGCGACTTGACACCACGAGAAGAAGGATGCATGCATGATGGATCATCCACACCCCCGGAGCATGAACCCCGACCACAGAGACTGGCATTCACCCACCAGAACACATCACCATCACCCACCAACCATCAGCACAGACCCACGAACACACCAACACCACCAAGCATCATCCCAACAAGCACCCCCAAGCACCACACAACCCTCATCCGATCCCCACCAGCACCAGCACCAAAACCCCAACTGGCTCCACAACACCATCAACGATGCACGCCAAAAGCATCTCAGCTAGCTTCAACAGCACCTCCCCTCCACGCCTGGAAGAACCAGCAACACCATCTTGAGGCCCAAAGCAAACGACAAGGCCAGACGGCAAGGCAGGATAATGCGATCGGGGCAGGAGGAAAGTAAGGCAAGGCAGCATACCAGCAGATAGCATGAATGAACTCGTTGAAACCCCTACTCCCACACTCTCGATGATTTCGCAGTTTTTCAAAAAGCTTTCTTCAAATGTCTTGGTCTCGTCGGTGTTTATAGACACAGCTGCTAAAAGAAGTAATTCAGACCACATTATGGATCACTCATCCGCTCGTTCCTTCGAAGCAGAGAGAAAGTAACGCCCAAGGCCCCAGTTCCATCCCATTTCCCATCCCAATCCCAACCCAACCCAACCCAGCCATGACTCCTCATTCCATTCAATACACATCGGTGTTTACACGATCATCCACCACGCACCACCCACCAACCCAATCAACACCAGCGCCGTCAAAATACCCGCACCCGCTCGATCGCCCGTAGTGATGGTACTCTGCGGCACCTGCGGATTGATATCCCCTCCAGTGCCGGCAGAAGGATTGCCCTGGGACGTGCCGCCCGTCTTGTTACCCACGGGCCCACCGACCTTGTCGATCAGATTGCTCTGGAAGACCTCCAGGGCGTTCATCTGCTGGCCCACACCCGTCGCGCCGTCCCAGTTGCCCGTCGTCCACTTGGTGCCGCACATGTTGCCGGTGCTGCCGCCGGTGCAGGAAGTGGCGGCTGCTTGGGCGGATTTCTGGATCAAGGGCATGATGGTGTCGTGGGTCCAGGGCGCGACTTTGGTGGTGGCCGCCATCCAGCGCGAGAGGTAGGCTTTGAACGACTGCTGGTCTACGTTACAGTTTCCAGAGGGTTCGCAGGCTACCTCGTACATGATTTCGTTTTGGAAGAAGATGCGCGTGGTAGAGTTGAGCAGGGCGTTGGTGCGTTGCTCCCATTTGCCTTTGGTAGCGGCGTCGTCTTGGGTCTGCGGAGGTGTTAGCTAGGGGAGATTTTGAGGGGAGGGGACATCTTACGTTGTTCCACATGATTGCGGCGCCGTACAAAAAGATACCGGCGTTGTAGCTCCACTGGATGTGATTGAACTCGCTGCAGTTTAGAGTATCGTCCGATCCGTCGAAGATCTGGTATGTGTCGCTCATCAGACCGACCGTGTATACCCAATCCCACATCTTGTCGGCCCAGTCAAAGTACGTTTGGTTGTTCGTGTACGCGCCCAATCGTGCGCCTAGCTGGAAGAAGGCACCGTTCGAGATGGAGTTCTTGTAGTTGTAGCCGTTGTTGAAGGTGAAGATCTGCCACTTGAGGCCACCGCCGCAGGAGGTATCGTCCCAGCGCAGTGCCTGCGAGTTGAAGACGGCCTGTGCGAGGGCCAACCACTGCGGCGAGTCCTCTGGAGGGTCGGGAAACTTGGCCTCAGCTGCAGACATCGACGCCAGGCCCCAGAAGGCCTGGTCATCGTTTCCGAGCGACTTGGACTGGTTGGGAGGCATGTAGTTGTTGTCTGGGCCGACCTGGAAGAGCAGCGCCTGGCTCGTGATGTCGTTGTATGTGGAATCTCCCGTGTAATACCAGTAATCAATCAAAGCACCAAACATGGCGCCCGCCTCCCACCAGTAGTATGGGTCTCCCAGCAGACCTGGGATCCCGCCCGTCTCGTTTCCATGATAGAAGCTCAACATGCCATCGGCGGCTGTGCGTGCTGCGGACTTGATCGAGTCGTCGGAGTTGAGGTCGAGGGTGATGGCGCTGGCGGTGCCTGCCAGCAGAGCGCCGCGTAACAGCGCGGAAGGGCGCATAGTGAAGGTATTCCTGGCAGATATGTATGCCTATGAAGTGGATGTGGCCGGTGGGGCCTCGAGTGTCGTAGTCGTAGCAGTCGGTATCGCTGTCGTCGGTGTGTCGGCGGACGCGCGGCGGGGACCGAGGTGGCGGAGGGTATGTCGCTGTCGCGTGACGGTTCAGTAGCGACGAAGGACAAAGGCAGTGGCGGTGGTGATGTCGGCGGTGGTGTAGCGAGCGGAGGGTGGATTGGCGATGATGAGGGCGATGAAGAACGAGCGACGTGAAGTGAAGCGGCAGAAACAGGGCGACTTGGAGGTTGCACGAAGGGAGCAGGCTGGCGCTGGGATGTGCCAGACTGTCACCACCGCCAAGCCCCGTCGTCGTCCACTCGACGTCGCTTCAGATCCAGGGATATCGTTGCCCTTGGAGCTCGATTGGCACTAGCGCACGCGGAGAGCCGGTGACTGAAATCCACCTCCAGCTTTCACTCCGCCTTTTCTCCTCCAACAGCACTCGATCCACGACAGGCATTATTTATACTGATTTACGCAGAATGCACGGAATTCAACAGCATGTCTATATATCAAGCGTATATCACGGCTTTCCCCTTTTGCAACGAGCTCCAATGGCAAGATATCTTCCACATCTCACTTGGCAATGTTTTTCTCCTATTCTACCTATAGCCTTTCTATGCTCCTTTCCGATGCCTTGATACGTACTCTCAGAAGCGGGTTCGCACTCCGCCTGCTTTCCCTAGACAGCTGTCGACAGTTCCGCAACGATAATCACGTCGAACAAAGAATACTCCTCTAGACCCGTGCTATGGTCGCGGCCAGTATCAAGAACAAAGACTTGTCTACTGAGAATACGTGCAATCTCAATCTCAACAATCAACCATTCTTGAACTGCTCGACTCTTGTCATGGTTATGGCACCGTTCTTCTTTTCTCATACACAATTCATCACACACATTGGAGCTGTAGCTGGCTACAGCTGATCTTCAGCACATTCTAAAAGCTATGGACTACCGCCTCCTCGCCACCGCACAGGCGGATGAGATCAAAGAAAAAGCAGAATGGGAAATCGAACTCGACCGTGTGCCTCTGCACCGGAGGATCCTACAGCTTGGAGAATTCTGTGTGTCATTCGTGCTTCTGGTATGAATGTTCGACATGTACAGCTAATCTGTGCTGACTTGTTGTAGATGGGTGCCTTTCGAGCACTCTTCATGTTTGCATACATAATGTCTCCCGCCTTGCATCTCGCATGGGACATTGAAAGCATTCGATATCCATTCATGGCAGCCGCTCTTGCGTATATGCTGGCGATCATGCTTCAACTCGATGCGATGAGCACTCTAAGATGGGCAATGTCAGAGTTCGACTTTGCTCTTGCTGAGACGCTCACGAGACTTCCAATGTGGTACGAGGATGTGAACACTCACCAGCTCAGAGCCATGCTTGCCGACTTTTTGAACCCGGTGCAGAATGCTGCAGTCCCTCCTACCCCCCAACATGCCGGTTTCGAGATTCCTCAGCCTGCAAATAATGGTGTGCCCGCGAATGGCGCACCTCCTGAGTCACCACACGTAAATGAGAACGTCCCAATCCATCGCGAAGCTTCCGGTGGACCTCAGGCCGCAGCAAGCAGCGGAATGCAAGGCTTGCACGCTGTGCCGCCGAAAAGGAGGCCGAAGAACATCAAAATCGTAGGCCAGAGTATTCAGCGCAGCAAATCTGGGAAAAGCTCAACACAGCCCTATGCTATGCACTCACCACCACGGATCAGCCCTTACGGATACAACACGCTCACTCACGGACGGGTCTCTTCTGTTCCCAAACGTAATGCACCAGTAGCATCAAACAACGGACCATTACACACATCTGGGTCTGGAGCAGCCGCACAGACAAAGGTCGCTTCTGCTAGGCCGGTCACGTTGAAAGTACCCGCAACGATCAAATCTCCTGGCGCCATTTGGGGTGAATTGGAACCTCGCCTCTTTGAATATCAGGCTTTAGTCAGAGAGATTCAAGACATTAAGAAGCACTGGTGCTCGTTCAGCTATGACCTGAAGCCATTCAAAGCACGTGACACCCTAGCAAAAGCGAGAGCCCTCCAAGCGACAATGAATGGAGACCAAGAGCTACTTTTCGTTAAGAGCAGATGGGGTTCAGTGCCAATGCTCGATCCAATTGTTGCAACTTTGAGCGACCAGATTTCGTTCTTCGAGACCAGAATATCGGAAGCCTCACCGGCAGCTACAAAGATACCAAAGCAGTACCGCTCTGACGACAACCCTGAAGTCGTCGAGGTTGAGGAGAGACCTGCAAACATACCCTTCAGAGGCAAAAAGGCCCGGCTAGCTGCCGAGGGACCAGATTGGGTACACGATATGCACAGAAAGATCGAGGCGGAGCATGCCGCCGAATACTGGACACCCGAGAGATTGCATTTGAAAGATGTCGCCATGGCTGACTACACGCCCCAAGAAACCGTGCGAGAAATCGACATTCTCCGACCTAGACTCCGCGCCCTCGGACGTGAAGCCATGGCACTTGTCGAAGCCTACGCTGGTGTGCCCGCCGAACCGTGGTTTCTGGAAAGGCTAGAAAATGTTGTCAAAGCAAACTTGCACATTCCCGATCTTGTTTTCGACAAGGCTGGCCTGGAAGCGAGAGTCGATCGATGCATCATTGAAGGTGGATTGCTTAGTATCGACGTCTTGAAGCGACTGGACAGGCTCTTCCCAGCAGCAAATGAGACTCTCCAGCATCTTATCGCTCTAGATGCCTCCACAAAACACAGCAGGACGCTGCCAGATGTGGGCGAAGACTGGCGAGAGCAAGACTGGCTAGTAAAGAACCTTGTTGATCAGGCACAGTCCATCATCAAATTTCTCGACATCATCTGGGACTATGCAATGAAAAGCCAGCGGAACGATCTTCAGGCGCTGAGAGACCACTTCAATAATATGGTCAAAGATCGACGAAGGATATTCTACGAGACCTCGGACGTTTTCTACCCTCCTGCGCTGGCGAACTTGCATCAGACAGCTATGCAGGTTCGGGAACCAGTGCTTCGAATGGAGGTCGTGCTCGATAGAGCCACGCGCGAGACAGTTCGTCGCGAGCTACGAGCTGATCTGGACGATCTTGTTAAGAGGCTCGAGAATGACAAGTTGGTGCTCTCTTACTCCAGACAGTGTCAAGTCAGCGGAGTCCGAGAGGCCGTGTATACATTTGGGGGAGTCGTTGCGAGAGATCTCCAGCCTGGGAGAACGTCCAGCGACAACTTCCTATGCGGCCCGCGAGCCCTCGTGATCTTTCTGCAAGCCTTTGGTGCGCTGTCTCGAGGTATTGACGCCGAGAACATCCTTCTGATGATGTACGAGGATTTCTATGCCAAACGCAACACCTCTCTGCCCCTGGCGCTCGGAGCAAGCTTCTACCAGGGTGTCGAGAATGTGTTGAGGCATGGTTAGAGCATCTGAAGACCGCAGACTATGTGTAATGGTACATGATGGCGGAAGTCGAGAACACGAACAAATTCTCGATCGGTCAGCTGAACTTGATATCGTCCTTCTTGGTAGACCAAGACATGATCAGACGGCAATTGCGAGCTTGGATGAGCCGAGGAGACAAAAACTTGCGAAGTCGAGACCAAACGAACACAAGCTGGAGAATATAGAAGAATTTGCTCCATCACGATGAGATACCACAACGACCAAATCTGGGTTTTCCAAATGATGGTATGTGTCTGTACTGCTTGATGCTCATCTATGTATATAAACCTGGTGCCTAGACTTCAACCATATCACGAGTGATACAGATACCACAACAAGTGCTGCTGTTTGATGTCACCGTTGCAGTCAAAAGTCCCAGAAGCACCGACCTTCCCGTTGCTTCCGTACAGCTTGATCGCCTCGTTAACGATATCGACAATGTCCTGAGAGCCAACCTTGTAACTACCGTTGCCATCGGAATCGACGTTCCTTTCTTGCACGGAGAAAGCGCAGGTGCCCGCGCTTGTCAGCTGGCGAACTGAGTCGAGTGGGGTTGTCCATTCTCCGCTGGTACCCGCGATGTTGTTGATCATGTCCTGGCAGTCGGTGATCAATGGGGAGGCGTCGCTTGTTTCGTTTTCCATCCCCACTGTCTCTGGATTACAATCCCTAATGCCCTGAAGCGCGACGCACGGGTAATTCGGGTCCGATTTATCGACTCGATTCGGGGTGGTGTAAGCAGTCATCGCGGTGGCTCCACTACAAACGGGTAGCCTTACGTATCCGGGGGTGGTTATGTCCGCGTTCATTAGGTCTGAAAGCGTCTGCGAGTTCGACGGATCGGCGACCGGTGCACCGTTCTGGTTGCCGTTTGCCACGAATGAATTGATCGATCCTAGGATCAAGTCTTCAACTGTAACACCTCCCCAAGGCGTGGTCCTGTCTTCATCCGGGGCAAGACCCCCGGACCCTGGGAGTATGTCGAACCTCTGACCGCTGTCTGGTGGGTAGACAAGGTAATAAAGCTCGTTGTTGTAGCAAGCGTTTGCCGTTGCCGCTTCCTTTGTCAAGTAGTTGTAGATCGTATTAGCATCAAAGGAATCGCACGGCTCATTGAGCGTCATCACAAACGGAGCATATCCAGCTGCAGTCCACAAGGACGGAATTGCAAAAGCGTAGAAGCCTTTCAGAATTGCATTTTCCAGGTCTGTAATTGTCTCGTCACTAGGTGTCGTGTGTGGAACTCCGCCGCTGCCTGGCATAAAGTTGCCGTTTTGGATCAGCGTCGACAAGATCGAGATAGAGCTGTTGTCTCCTTTGAATATGGCGTCGAGCGTATTCGAAGTCGTTACCGACCATCCTTGCACCTAAATCAATCACGTCAGGATCGTCCAGTTGTCGCGAATTCAATGCTTTGAAATACTTACCACTTGGCCGAGGTAGGCAGAGAAATTATCTTGATCTGCCGGCTTCCACGAACCCCTGTTGATGTAGTCAGTATGCTGATATAAGGACAATTGTATGAAAAGATGTGTAAAGCTGGGTTCTCTGAGCAGCTAAGGGATGACTTACTGGTTACCAGGGGTGACGGTGTCCTGCCAAAGTATTAGCTATAACTGTCTCGAACTATTCTCTAGATATGTCCTTGTCTACCTTTGCAGTGTTACTTCCGAAAGTGACCAGTGCAGAGTTAGCATCTTTGAGTATACCCAAGGTATTACTGTTGCCTTGAAAGGCCGGAAGACTCTTGAAGACTTCTCACTGCGTTAGCAGAGGTACGAAAATGGTGAGCAGCCGAATTCGACAGTGACTTACTGGAGTTGAAGAACGGCGCAGAGATGAGAGAGGCACCGAGCGTGACGATGGCAATGAGGATCTCCTCCCATTCAGGGACGTTCTTGGGTGGAGGCACTGGTGCGAACGTGTTCTCAAAGCTCTGAAGAGAACTTGTCAACGACGTACCCGCCACACCATTCAAGGCCTCGAAAAAATTCGAATACATCTGCGTAGCCAGTATTTAGTAGGAATTTGACGCAATGGGCAAGAGTACGCTTACGTCGTGTATAAAGACGAAACTGTTCCAGATCTCCGACCCAGCTGGCCCGGTACCGTCGTCATGGTTGCACGGTTGCAGATTACACTGGCTGGAGTCCCCGATCTGGCCGCATTCGGCGCCTGTAGGGAAATGGAACGTGTCCGCCATGGACTCGCTGAAATCATAGCTGTCGTGTGTTGGGTCGTAGTTGATTCATACGTTGAGCGCATCGCTCCACGCGTCTGCGCAATTTAGCTCATTCCACCGCGTCTGTGGTGACAAGTCTCGCTGGTCTGTCTCGGCAGGATCCTCGCCTACAAGTTTGAGGGTTAGCCGCATAGAACTGAGCTGCGTACGCACTCGTAGTGCGAACATACAAGAGATCTTGGTCCAGTTGCCGTGACGGCCTCCCACGTCGGCTGGGTCTTGACCCGATTTGACCCTCGCTAAGAACTCTGTCCATGAAGTTGCACGTGCGGGAGGATCGTTGTACTTCTGCAAGTCAGAGGCCCAATCTGTTACACCACCCATCGCAAGTCCTTTGTAGAGATTCGACCGACTCGATTTGATATTATCGCTTATATAGCCGACCCACTGCGTGTTGTCGTAGACAAGGATATTGCTGTTGCTTGTAGAATCGACAAAGTTTTCTTGCACGCGGCTCGAGTTAGCAATAATAGCGTTAATCTTAGCGTTAGAGATATAGCCAGCTGTCTGCGTGCATATCCCTAGAGTAGCTTAAGAGTCACTGGCACTTCTAAGGTAAGTACACTGTGGCCCGTAGCATCCGGCTTCGGCCATAGCAAAAGATCGACCGTAACTGGTAACGCCGACAATAACCTTGTTCGACGGCACACCAGCCTTAGTGATCATAACCAGTAAGCCAATAGTCTCAGTCAGGTTTACGTCGCTACGTAGACATGTTCCTGTAGGGCATCCCTCTTGTGACCACTGGTTGTTAGCGTCCCACTAAACGCAATTGAAATTAGTCCATCTTCTACATCATCACAATTATCGGTCTCGTACCTGGCCGTGCAAGTCATATGTTATGTAGATAATATAATCGAGGACATTGCTCATCTTTTTAATAGGAAAGCCTCTCAGGTACCAATACGAGGCTGGCGCTGCGACGGAGAGTTCTGCCTCTGGCATCTTCTCTCTTAGGGTATTCAAGAACGCTAGATAATTCTCGCCATTATCAGGACTGGCGGCAGGAATTCTAGGGATGTTAGGTGCCTACATAGCAAGGAGAGGGGTTAGCTTCGAGACTCTACAGAATTTTGCGGTACTTACTCCAGGATACTCCTAGTCAATGTTCACACCGTCCAAACCGTTAGACTTGATAAAGTCAGCGATATTAGTAGCCATAGTCTGGCGGTTTGCCGCCGTAACGCCGTTTCGGAAGATCATATAAGTGCTAGGATCGGTAGAGAAAGCCCATCCTACAGAACGGAAAGCCGGTGTTAGTCTTTATGTTCCAAATACCAGCAGACCACTAGAGTCTTCACTTACCGCCAATTGACAGGACTTTCTTTGGTCCATCTATAAGCAGAAATTGGTTAAATTCGAAAGTACTTTCAGTGTCGCCCACTTGAACGTTATAATTCGAATCGAGCGTACCGAAAGAAAAGAAGACGTGCGAGTATCCAGATGTATCGATCTGCGAAGCATCTTAGTATAGACAAGGCCTGCCTAGATTGTAGCCCTCAAAGAAAGCGATCGAGCGATATTGCGAAGGTGGGCTGCTAAGCACGATATTAGTGCCGCAGTTAGATATACAGCCGTCGGTGCCGGGCTTCGCCGTCCTAGGAGCACCCGTCGAGGAGTTGGTGCAGAATTCAGTAGTAGTACTACACTTGGTAATTAGTAAGCGGAGTTTGAGGGGCGGTTGCTTAACGTACCTAGCCGAAAACATCGCAACAGGCGTTCAATGGACACGGGTTAAGGGTCGAAATGTCGATTCCGGCAGCAGGAGGCTTAGTTCCGGGCTTCTTGGGGCCGCAGACAGCGTTAGACAAAGCTGCTAGCATAGGCGGAGTACCTTTGCTTAGACAGATAATGGTCCCGACGAAGAGCTCACTGCATCCGTTCCAAGCCCAGGTCTGCTTGTTATAGTCTTCAATCTCGTCGCTCGTAAGACTGTATTCAGCAGCGAGCTTTGCACAATTGTCGTTAGTAACCACTGTATAAGTAGCACAAGAGCCATCCGAGTTAGGCTTTAGTGCAAAGTCAGGCAGCGTGCCAGCCGAACAGCAGACATGCTAGTATGGCTGAAGGTTAGCACAGAAGTCCGGCGATGGATTAAACTTTGTAAAGTCCGCGCCAGAAATGCCGCACTTCTGTGCTAAAGAACCACAACTGTCTCTAGAAGCAACCTGAACAGTAGTACAGTCACCTCGGCGGTCGAGTCGGGAAGAGATTGTCGAGTTCGTATTACTAGTGGAGCTGGCGGTCCTGTTAGAAGCGTAGATCACTGGCGTTTCGAACACAATTGGCGCAGTGAAGTTGCTAGTCTCCGGAATCGACAAGCAGCTCGTATTAGACCAAGACGAAAGGGCCTCCTGAACCGCATTGAAGGAGCTGTTGCTAGTAGCGATTAAGCCAAATATGTTGTTAGAAGTTAAACCCTCCTCGCAATACTGCATAGCGAGCGTCGTAGTACGGTTCAGACTCGTAGACAAGGTAGCGTTGTGCAGATGTGCGATCGCGGAGGTGCTGATGACGGAAGCCTGCAAGTTCTTGCCAATATAAAGACCTAAAGAAGTTGTTCCAGCAGAAGCGAAGAGAAGCGTTGACCGATTAGAAGTAGCGAATCCTTGACCGAGATATTGTTGCACTTGGGAAGAGAGTGTGCTCAAATCGGCGGCCACGGGACTACTACTAGCATTGGGCTAGGAGCCGTATTCATATGTCACGCTAGTCTTGTTGGCAGATGGTCCAGGAGCCAAAGCAGTCTTGTTGCCGGCTACGATAGCCCAGTCTGGTCCAGAGTTTGTGCAAGCATAGATCCGGTGAGGCTGGTTCGGGTTATCTACAGGGTCCACGAGGGTGAAGTCGTACCACACCGGTTCGTCGCAGGACGCAATTTGTGCGAAGTTATGATACAACGACCAGTTTCCAGAAGCAACTCCCGACTGATAGCAAGGAGCCGGACAGACCCCTCGGTATTTGTAGCTTGGACCAGCAGCCAAACGTAGATTGGGCGTGGTGACAGCGAAATCCTGGCTTATCAAGGCCAGCGCAACAAGGCAGCCACGAAGGTTGACGCAGTATGAGCTGGGAGCCATGGTTGAGCCGGTTGTGATCATGCAGTCCACCAGAAGCCGATCCGACCTGGCAATAACGAGATACGAGCGGCACTGATGAGCAAAGACGAGTTTCAACGAGCCGAAAGAAGGATTTTATCAGTCTTGGTTTGCAACACTGTCCTACAAGAATTGTGAGCATTTAACAGCTCATATTTGACGACTGGTCCTCAGAAGACTGATTCCTGGTGTGGTAAGGTTTCCGTGTGCCATCCGATTGCAACTCTACGCCGTCTCGGGGATTGTCCAAGGACGCCTCAGTGCAGCGCTATCAACACGCAGCAGCTTCAACATAACAGTCATTCGCCCCGCGACACGACGCATTATCTCGCGCCAACCGAACACGTGGGCATATGCTCGTTGGTTTGCGCGACAGGTCCAGAAAGAAGTCCAACTATCACTGCAGATCATGCAGATCGCAGCCTAATCCGAACGAGCTTTTTGCTTCAAGACTAGTAATGTCACTTGCGTGCAAGTGCCTGCCGCAACGATGCGTGGCCCGATCACTGATTCGTACTGATTACGGTACGCGAGTCAACTGGCGGGTGGTAGGCAGTGATTATGGGTCGGCAAGTGCTTCGTGGTGTCGGGGCTAGTGTTTGCTGGATCCTTACAGTCGGCGTAGTGGAACTATGCAAGTGCTGCCCTGGCCCTACGAGACGGTCCAGTCAGCACTGCACAGGATGGAAACGGTCCAGCAGAAGGTAAAAAGAGACGTGGCGGTAACGTCGGCAGGCTACCCCACTATCTGTCTTTTGACCTCCCTACCTTCCTCTGGAGTAGTCGAACAATTTGGACGGACCTTCTGGGCCGGCCACTTCTTAGAAAAAGTTTCAGGCGTTTGGCCTGATCCAAATCTCTGCAGAGCTTTCGAAAGATCTTTCTACAGCATCGGAGTACATAACAGTAGAGGCACTGCAAATTCTCGTATAGCATGAAGGTTGATCAGGCGCACTCTGTTAGGGCGTGGATTGAATCTGCGCTTGATGTCGAGCGATCGTGGCTGTGGAATAGCCAGCAAGCAGGCTCAATCTCTCCCGCAATACTGGCTATACTGTGGCGGCAAGAACGGCAAAATTCAAGTAATAGCGCGTTGTCAAGGCATTTCTTCGCCGTGGAATAATTCCAGGAGGTGTGTCCAATACCCAGTAGGCTCAAGCTAAAACAATACTACCAGAGCACATTTGCCGAGTCCCGGGTGACCCTGTTGTGAAATGGCCAGCTCCACTTGGTCCCACAGCGGAAAGCCTGACTTTAAAATTGCCGAAAGCGGAAACGATCATTCATGTGCATGTCTCATCGGTTGGGGGTCTTCCGAGCCTCAGGCACCAGGAATTTCGACAGGCCTCACAACATCATTTCTTAGCTTGGTTGTTGATGCACAGTACGCAAATAATAATTCTCCGAGGTTGTTGGGCACACCGTTGCATAAGCGCTTACAAGCCGAGTACTGTTGACTCATGCTCTTTATGTTTGCAACGTGAAAGATTGTCTTGATGTACTTCGATTGACATTGCGGTAGTGTCCAATCCAACTGCTGTATCTATTCTCATCTTTCAACTCAAAGCAGGGCGCCTGGGACCGTCGTTTGTCCCGATTTGGACAGCAACCAAGCTCAACGTCCCACGCGGGTCACATGAACTGCTTCAAATGGTCAGAACTGCTGTCCAGCTTCGAGCGGATATATCTAGGGCGATTCTCTTCAGAGCTGGGACACTCATGCGTATGCCGGCAGTCAGGTGCTCGGCTCACCGATCAGCTTGCCCATAGGGATATGAGACAAGTCAAACTTGCTAATCTGGTGCCGAGCCAAGCCGCATTAGCAAGTCTCCCACCTGCCTCTAACTTGGTCGGCGATGGCGATGGCACGGCAGTACAGCTGAGAAGACTAGCCGCGCATGCCGACTAAGAGATTGCGGAGGAGATACTCGAAGCGGCGGAGGGACTAACGGTAATGGCGCAGGGATCTCGAATGGTTGGTGACGGGCCAAGAACGGCGCATGATGATTGACCGTCAAAGTCTTCAGCGATAGCGACCTGCTCTATAGCGGTTACATTGAACGTAGTACCCATATCTGTAGCGCACGTGGAGGATAATATAGCCACTCCGAGATCTGGTGGTTGCGCGGAATTGCTAGTCGTGAAGATAACAGAGTGATCTTAGTTGTCGTAGGACGGTCTTCCACCGGAAGGAGAGCAGTTACCGGATGTGAGGATCTATGTAAAGACCCACGTGCTCGCAATGCCGGAGATGGACGGTACATAGGATGCTGATAAGTAAAGGTCGCTCGTCGAGGAATTGAGGTGTCTTAGATCGATGTTGTGCGACTAAGAGCCAGAGGAGCTAATATTGCCGTACTCAAACACAGACCATTCGATATGTAAATCCAGTGGAGAGGCCAGCGCAGGGTTCTGCAGGGCAAAGACTACGGGTAGAAGTGGCAAGGGTGCATAGCTGCCATTTTGGGGAAACACCAAACTGATTTCGAAGACTCCAGGGGTGGCTGCCGCGTGAGCGAGAGGAACAGCCAGGGGAGCACCGAGCGCGAGATAACAAGCCAGTCTGGACATTTTGAAGACCAAGCTGTTGCAGTGCCGGAAGGGCGACAGGATAGTGAAGTCTTGGGCTGCGGTAGAAAAGAGCGTGTCGGATAAGTCGGCCTCGTAAGAGGATTCTAAGCCGTGGGTCGGCGCTCTACAGTTCAAAGTTCGCGTAATTAAGCAATAGATTCCACGTTGATGGGATCGCACACAAGCTTACACGACTTGACGAGGCTTATCGCTCTTCGGTATTCTCCCGCGGCTGCTCGGATCTTCGCAAGGCTCGTCCCAACCATCGCAAGATCGACACCACGTGCGGCGCTTGGCAAACAAGATCGTTATGGAGGAGACTCAGGGTCAGGGCTGAGAATCTTCGACCAGAAGCGCGCATCTTGGTACTATGCTTTGTCAGATTGTCAATTTACCGCTGGCACGTGTAGAGCGACGAGACCGGGCAACCAGGTCGGTATAAGAATGAAGCCCGCCTCAAGTTTTATACGGCATTCGCACAATGGCCTTCAAACGTACTCTGTCCGCTCTTGCGCTGGCGCCGCATCTCACGTCTGCCCTTTTTCTGAACACAACTCGATCGCTCACTCTATCAACCAGAAGCTTTCTTTCTCAACCATCTCAGTCGCTTCTGATATCCTCTTCGGACATCCGTCATGCTCATGGCTCCTTGGTGTCAATTTCGTCGGCCCCAGAGATTACCATTACTGCCAACTCTACACAGGTCCCATTCGACTTCCATAGGCTCAGCTCTATCAGCTGTAGCTTCGAAACCTCTGCAGACGCCGGGGATACCTGCGAGTCGTTCTCCGCTGTATGGGGTTTGACGGTCGAACAGTTTGTAGCTTTGAACCCTGGCGTTACCTGTCCTAATCTCGTCGCCGACCAGTCGTACTGCGTGATTGGTACCGTCTCCCCAGGCACGACCACCGCTGCTCCGGCTACGACCACTCCGACAACAACACCCTTTCCCACGCAGACAACGCCAAAACCAACGACGACGACGTCTGCGCAGCACCAACCTCAGCAGTCTGGCTTGGCAGCCGACTGCAACAACTTCTACCTTGTTTCTGCTGGAGATACGTGCAGCTCCATCGAAGGTCAATATGGCATACCTGCGCATCAGTTTGGTTCATGGAACCCTTCCATTGGTATGCCGGCATCCTGATGATTGAGATCTAGTGTCCCTGCTTCGCTGTTAGGTGTCTGACATGTGCTCGAACAGATTCGGATTGTTCCAACCTCCTAGCAGGTTACTACGTCTGTGTGGGCGTTCCCGGGGCCACGACGACACCACCCTCGAAGACTACAGAGATGACATCGAAGGCTGGGAACGGTATTACGACCCCAACTCCCACTCAGTCAGGCATGGCGGACAACTGCAACAAGTTCGATCTCGTCGAATCCGGAGACTCGTGTGGAGACATCGCCACAACTTACAATATCCCCTTGGCGACTTTCTACTCATGGAATCCAGCAGTAGGCTCCGACTGCAGCGCTTTGTGGGCCGGCTACTACGTATGTGTCGACACTACTAGCTACAGGCCGACTACTACGACCTCCGCGGGTAACGGAATTACCACGCCAACTCCTTACGAGTCTGGCATGGTAGACAATTGTAACAAGTTCTACGAAGTCCAATCCGGTGATACGTGCGACTCAATCGGTCAGAGCCAGGGTGTCACAACGGCTGATATCGAGAGCTGGAATCCTAAGGTCGGATCGACCTGTTCAAGTTTGTACCTGAACTATTACATCTGTGTTGGTATCAAGTAGCGAGCCGGAGAGTGTAGTGGATCTTATCGAATGGTACGGACCTGTTACCGTCACAGTCTGCATTTCCCACGATTAGCGTCTCGTTGAGTTTCACCCAGCGACCAAGACAGGTCATGTGGTCGTTACCCGTACAGCGTTTGAAATACAGTCTGCCCGACCGTATTTTGTGTTGACAGACATTTAGCAGGAAACCATTCCAAAAAGGTATCATCGCAAACAAGAGACGACCCAATGTGCCGAACTGCTGGTATGCGCTTGGCCAACAACGCCTGCGTTACATGTGCAAATACTATTGGATTGACGCCACTCGTGTAGACGAGTCAAACGATGGAATCCAGGGAAAGGCGCTAAGTCCATGCTTCAATCAAGAACGGAAATGGGATGGAAAAATCACAGTGTCTGGTCATTCGGCAGTTCGATCACTGATCGACTCGTCTCACTATGCAAGGCAAAGTGACCGTATATCCGCTCAATAGTTTCGGAGCAATGCTTAACTACTATGCCACTCGTCAAAACAAGATCAAGTGTGCATTGGTCCCGGTTCAAGAATCTCGACTGCCATTCTATCCACAATTCTACTCCAAGTGCACCAAGGTCAATAAATCTTGCTTCCCAAAAGGAAACCCAGACTTCCACAAGTCATCGTAGCCATCAGCAACAGAGCAAATAACATCAAAATAACTTAATTGAACGACTTGCTTTCAAGGCCAATAGACTAGAAGTCGAAGCCAACGTGCCCTAGTTGTTGGTGCTCAGCACGGGGAACGAGACATCGACGATGTTAGACAGCTCAAGATGGTTGCTATCAGCGGCATTGATGCCATCGGCGTACTGATTGTTGTCAATGGAGCCGGAATAGCATTGACCTTGTGCAGAGGCGAACGGGAGCGAGGCACGGTCTGCAGGCTCGTCGGTAATAGGAGTTATGGGTCAACTGGTGGCGGGCAATCTGGTTAACCTTTGGGGCGCTATGTCTCATCAACCTGAGCCGCATGCTGCCACTGGACGGCAAGCAGACAGTGCTCAAGCTGAGTCAGTGAGACTGGCCGATGTGGCCGAGTCTGACGAATTGGGATCTGTTGATTGAAGACGGGCTGAGACTGCTGCGCTCGGTAGGCTGGGCGGATAAATACTCAGACTGCTGTGGGGTTGGCATTGTGGCGGACTTGTTCTTGCAGTAGCTACAGGGGGCTCAGAAGAAACGTGCACACCATGTTGAACGTGGATATGCATAAGAACGTGCTCAATATCGATGAGCTCCTGTCCACAGAACTCACACGGGATTTGGTATTGCGTGGCAGGCGGAGTGCTCGAGAGTATTGGCATTTGCATCAGCATTGGCTGTATATTGGCAATTGTATCAGGCTGTAAAGTGGCAACCTTCGGCTTTCGATCACAACGCGGCTTCTCGAACTCAGACTCAGGAGCTGGCTCAGCACACACTATTTCTGTCCTCTCAAGAACCTTACTTTGGTTCTGGCTACGCTTGTTAAGCATATTTGGCCCAGTTCCATGTATTCGCATAATGACATAGTACGTTCCAGGACGAGGGTACGCAACGAACATCATTAGCGACACAGATACTGCGGACATTTGGTCGCTCGCCTGTAGGCCTCTCTCGCATATGTTGGCTCACTTTCTGGTGATAGGTAGACTTGTGGTCACAGTCTTCGAGTGGGCATATTAGCTTCTCCTCCGCTTTCGAGCGAACGTCACCAGCGATTGGTTCAATGAGCAGAAGGTCTTGCGTGAAATGGACGACCTGCAACGCCGATTGGTAGCAGATTGATGGCAGTTGTTCTTGATTGAATGTTCAGTATTGTAGGCTCTGCCAACATTGGTGACACCTTAAAACAACAAAGCCGCGTAAATAGAGGAATATGAGGATGAGGATGATGGTGAGAATGACGACAAGATTGGGCAAAAATTGAGAGCGAGAATGACGAAAAGAGTGAGGGCAATATTGAGGACAGGAACTCGATTGCGAGGAGCAAGAATTTGATTCAGACGCTCAAGTCGTCCCACAGGCTCATGAAGTCCAAGAAGAGAGTGAGGATGCTTTGGCAGTCGATGCAGGCGCAAATGCAGTAAGTGCCTTACATAAACCTTACCGCCTTCCTGTCGTGCCACAGCTACAGAAAACACCCGGCCATATGCAAGCCACACATCAATCCCCCAAATGGCCACCATAGGGCTCAATGCAGGTACGCTCGCAAACATTAATGCACTAGAAGCGATGTGACGTGGTGTTCCCCACCGTACATGAAGCTCGAAGAGCTAGCAAGTAAGTAAGAGCTCCTTCAACCGCCGCCTCCAGCTCGATTGGCGAGGCTGACAGACTGGCGAGCGAGCGAGTGTGGGGCTCTGTCTGTACAGGAGCGCTAGAGCTATTTGTGTTTAATACTCTGACCATTTCATGCAGATCTCGTTCCATCCGCTTTCCTGCTTATTATAACGCCATCGCACTTTCACGGGGATACTGAGCGTTCTCTGCTACCGCATCGCTGCATCCCTCTCCCATCTCTTCTTCCACACACCATGGCGTCAAACCCCCCAGAATACAACTCCCAAGGCTGGAGCGGCACAGCAGCCCTCTACAGAGAAAAAGTCAACAACGTAACCAACAAACCCGCCGCCCTCGCCGTCGACAACGCCGCCGCCATCAAACCCATCGACAAAACCTCGCACGTCATCGACGTCGCTTCAGGCGCCGGAGTAGTCACCCAGCACGTGGCGGAGACCTATGCAGGCGCCAAAATCACCGCCATCGACTCAGCCCAGCAGATGCTCGACGTCATCCAGGTGCCCGCAGGGACATCCTTGGAGAGAAAACTCCTCGACGCCGGGGAATTGTCGCAAGCCTTCCCAGCGGGAACGTTTTCGCACGCCATCTGTACGTTCGCTTTGCACGTCGTTCCGGACTCGATGAAAGTCATCCGGGAAATGCGGAAAGTGCTCCAGCCGGATGGGGTCATCGCCATCGCAGTCTGGGGCCAGCGGATGGACAACAACGCCACATTCCTGCAAGCTGCCCAGTCCATTGACCCGACGTACCAACTTCCGCCTCAGATGGGGCCCACGCATGGATGGCGGACACCGGAGACTTTGAGAGAGAAGCTGGAAGAGGCCGGATTCCGGGATATGCAGACGACGGACGAGATGCTGATGCCGTTTGGGTTTGCGAATGCGGAGGAGTGGACGAGGTTCGTGTTTGAGGGGAAGCATCCGGTTGAGGAGTTGAAGTTGAGGACTTGGACGAGGGATTTGGAGGCGCTTAGGAGGGCTGAGTTGAGAGTGACTAGGGAGGACTTTGATGATGCCAGGGGGATGATGGCTAGTTCGGTTGTAGCTGTTGCGAGAGTATGATCAAGGCTGCCAGGTGTTGTTGATTACAATATTTCCAAGCATCGTGAGCGTCATCCCCCTTTGTGTGACGAATCTGCAATTTTCGAGAGCGGTGTGACCTCCACAGAATGATACACAGATACCCTACAGCCTCCCTTTTCTCCTCTGCCTCACCATCTCCCCCTGCACGTACCCCATCAGCCTCACACATCGTCTTTGCCACTCCGTAACCTCCTCTCCCTCCCTAAAATTATCATCCCCCAAATCATAATACCCCTTGAATCCATACTCCTGGGTACAATACAAAACGTCCGGCCTACCACCACACACATTCTTGTCAGCCTCAGTCTCCATCGATGGGAAGTATGGGGTTGATACCATTGATTCGTGAATCCGCAGCGAAATGCATCACCGCCCCCGCCGCATCCTCCCCAAGCGCCCACTCCTCCCCGCTAGCCTCGAAGACCCTGACCATCTCGTCGGAGAAGATGCGCGTTTTGATATACCTACCCAACAAACAACATATTAGCAAACACCCTCATTCGCACCTCCCATTAAAAGCTTCTTCTGCACTCACCAAGGCGCCACCAAATTCACCCTCATCCCCGTCACGCCCGCGGTACTCCTCAAACTCCTCATCATACCTCGAACGCCCCATTTCGAGGCTGAGTACTCCGGGGAGAAGGGATGGTCGATGTAGGACGAGAGACTGGCGGTGATGATGAGGCTTTTGTTGGAGGGTTTGGCTTGTTTGGAGAAGTAGAAATTGGCGAGGCGGGCGGTGTATGCGACGCCGATGAGGTTTGTTTTGAGGATTTTGAGGTCGGGTTCCGTGGGATCGCCGTTTGCGGTCACGGGTTTCTGCTTTAGGATTGTATCTTCGCCGTCGAGGCCTGTTTGGAGCGGAACATCAGTGTCCAGTACTTCTCCGACGTTGGAGGACGAAGATTAGATGATACTTACCAGCATTAGCAACAACAACATCCACCCCCCTTCCCCTCTCCAAAGCCCTCTTAAACAACCACAACTGATCCTCCCACCTCAAAACATCACACTTCACAAACACCACCCTCTCATCCCCACCAAGCTCCCTAGCCAAAGCCTTCCCCCTCACCTCATCAACATCACCTACAATAAACCCCTAATCTCAGAGACCGACACGTTTGAACGCTGCTGGGGAGTAATGCATACCACACGTAACAACCGCTCCAGCCTGCACAAACCCCCGCACGACAGCCTCGCCGATTCCGCTCGCGCCGCCGGTGATGATTACGGTCTTGCCGGCAAGATTCCGCTGGTCGAAAGTGGCGTTTGGAGGGATGGCTTCGCTGCCGTCGAATTTGCTGTTGGGGGGCATGGTGGTCGTTGGGGATCAGAGTCGTGGAGGGTGGAAGTGATGAGATAAAAGTTTAGAATAGCAGATCTCAGCTGAGTGGGAGATGGGATGGGATGTTATGGCTGCGGTGCTGAAAGAGCCGAAGGATTTTGGCATGTTTGTTGCCCAATGGGGGAAGAAGTGCGAAAGCCAGTTGGCGCTGCCTTTTCACGAGTCTTCACCATATTTGGACGAGCAAGAAGTGAAGACTCCGAACTAAAGTCTTGCTAGAATCGCCGGTCGCTCCTTGGCTGAAGAGTGTAGAGAATTTCCATCAGATTCGAAACCTGAAAATTCAGACACACGACGTCGGAAGACGTTAATACCCTCCGCTCGACCCTCACGATGTTCTATGACCTGTGAAGACATCAGAGCCGAAAGATCAGTACATACGTCGACTCGAGTAGCCTTCGGAGGCAAGTTTTGATACTCGTACAGCACAGGGAAAAACTCCAGGTCAAACTCCCTCCTTTCCCCAACCTCCGTTTCAGCACTCCACTCACCGCGCCCACAGTCCACATGCTTACTTCAAACTCTCCTTCATCTCCTTCCTCCTCAACTCCGCCTCCAACTGCGCCTCCCTCCTCCGTTCCAACTCAGCCGTAACCCCCTGCCGTCTCTTCTTCTCCGCTTCCTGTTCCCAAACCGTCCAAACTAGAAAACACCACAAATCAGCACACATCCAAACCCTCCCCAACCACCCTCCCTCGCCAACAAACCCTCCACAAAAGAAAAAGCAGAGACAAATACTTACTATGCTTCTCACTCTTACTATACTCCTTCAAGCGCCCGACAAACTGATCGAAATCCTCCTGCTTCTCCTGCCGGCGCTCCAGGCTGCGTTTCTGGAGTTCCGGGTTGTAGCGCAGGAAGAGCTCTTCTTCGGTCGGGGTGACGTAGTAGATGAGGGCGGGGCCGCCGATGCACATGATTCCGCCGCTGCAATATTGAAAGTCAGTATTGATGCAATTCAGGTGCGGACGGGGACTGAGGTGAGAGAATGGAGGTTTTTCTTAAGGACGGCTTGGGCGGGTTCTTTGAGGAGGAGAGTCCAGCGAGGGGATTTTGGGTGCGGATATGGTGGGTATAGAATGACCTTTCGGCCAAGCAACACCCAGAGAATATGGAATGGTAGCAGTGATGACCAGCCACTCTGAAGGGTGAGCATAGTCGAATGAATTTGTTGCCAGGATTCCCTTAACAAGGTATCATGATGGCTTGGGGTTGGAAGGGGAAGAAGCGAAAAGGGAAAAAACAACATACGCAGCAGCCATCTTAACCCACGTAATCGTCCTCATGATGTCTTTCCTCTTCTACTCTCCTTCCTCTTCCCTGACTCTCCAAATCTCCTTCGTCTCTCAATCCCTACTTCCCAAAAACCAATCTCACTCTCGCTCACTTCCAGCGACAGTGGCGAACCTCTCCAACTCCCACAATCCCTTCAATTCCACGAGTCGCCGATGCTTCTTCAACAGATGATCTCGCTCGCTCGTTCGTGTTACCCTCGGCGGTTGTTGTTCAGATGGTGATTTGACGAAAAGGGTGGACTGGCGTCTCTTGCTGGCCATTCCCTCCCCAATGTCAAGGTGAAGTCCAGTCCAGTCCAGCCCGCTCCCGTCGCTGCCCGAATCCTGACTAGTAGCGCCAAGAAACGCGCTAGCCGTCATCGACATGTTGCGGTCACGTGTCACTCCCTCCAACATCACCAACGAACGATCCTACCTATATCAACACCACAAATTGTGAGACAAGGACGCAAAAATCGAAGTTGAGAATCTGAAAAATCTTAACAACTCTACCAAACAGCACCTCTTTCTAATTCCAAACGACATGCTTTCAAATGCCCCCCGAAGACTCTTCAACGAAACGCCCTCTAAACGCCTTCGCAAACAACAATGCGTTCTCGAGAGAGCGTGGTATATCGCTAACAATAACAAAGTCGCAAAACGTGAAGAAAGCGGACCAGACTTTATGTACAATTCTGTCCAGACCACCCGCTGTCTATTCAGGCAGGTCCGCACACGCGAGAGTGGAGGGAAACGTCTTCTTCTTTCCTCATTCCCCGTCTTCACTTCCCTCCTCGTCCTCCTCGTCCTCCATCTCTTTTCGCGCATCATTTCATCCGTAACACATCTTTCATCTTCGTTGAGTTCAATAAGAGGTTTTTATCCAGCAGCAGCAAAAGCCAAGCAAGCGAATGCAAGAAAAGAAGCCATGCCAGCGACCACACTGTAAAACACACCCAGAAAAGAAAACACTCTCAGGGCAGCCGCTGGTATGACTGGGGTCGCTGGCGGTGGCGTCACCTCCTCAGATCGTCCGAGATGTCTTCTCTTCTTCGACTGCTCTTCTGATCGGGCCCGGGTTGGTTCGCGCCGGAGTGACTGCTTTCCACCCGCGAGAGGTATGCCGCGCTGGTGAAGTCGCGACTCGCTTCGAAGGATGGCCGTGTTCGGTCCATGCTGCTGCGTAGACGGTCGAAGCTCGGTCGAGGAGGTTCGATTGCTGGCGCTGATGGTCGGCGGTCGAAGCCATATGGATCTGACCCGGGGTTGTTGCTGGTGTGGCCAGTGTGGGGGAATGCGCGGTCGAGGCTAGATCGATGGCCGGTATAGTCAGTTCCGTCGCTACCGTTATTGCTCCGGGCATTATGCGTCGCCGCTGTTCCTGCAACGCTGGGCGGGTATATAGGCCTCATGTCCTCTTCCATCGTAGGCCGATCGGGTTTGTGGTCCAAAGGCTTGCCGTTGGAAATTTCGCTAGAAGTCAGCGATTCGGCCAGCTTGTCAGGTTGAGGTGCAACGCTGTTGGGGTCGACTTCTTTAAGATAGTCAAACTTGCCCTGGCGGACTTGCTCGCGGATGACATCAATATCATATGGCATGTACATCTTCTGGAAGGCCTTTGCACAGAATCGAGGCAGCAGGCAGACGATGACTGTCAAGAGTCCAACACACCAGAATGACAGCGCGCCGTAGACCTGTGGGGCGGCCTCGTAGAAGGTGAAGCCAGCTGTGAAGGCTGTGTAGACACCAGTCCAGAACCAGATGAGTAGGATCGAGATGGTAGTGATGAGCACCATGAACCAATCCCATCGGTAAGTGTTGATCAGGATGTAGACGTTGACAACCACGACGGTGGGGTTGACGATGTAGACACCCAACCGCTTGTAGTCGTTAACGTTCCTGCCAGACTCGGTCTCGAAGTTGGCCAGGTAGAACTGCAGGTACGTGAAGTAGAAGCAGATCACTGATTGGTACAGACCATCAAACATGTAGATCCAGAACTTGGTTTGCGTCCACTCGAGCTGTTCAATGCCGCGGCGGTAGAGTTGAGGTACGGCCAGCGAGACCTTGTCATCCACATCTTGGTCCAGAATACCCTGGAAGATGATTGGCAGGGATGTGAAGGCCAAGTTGTAGAGCAGAATGTAGGTGTAGTCGAAGGCGTACGAGCAGTCGAAGTTGGTGTAGATCTGGTACCAGAACAAGGCGAAGACCCAAATGATGTTCTGTAATGTGTCAGTGATGATCCACGAATATAACTTGATGGACATACCTTGTAGAAGAAGTTGGCAACACATTCGGCCATTCGCCTGTAGTCCCAACGGCCGTGCACAAGCAACAACCTTGTCAAGAATCTGAACTGTCCAATAGCGTAGTCAGAGCTCATGACGGCTTGACGACCTTCTTCACCAGCGATACCGACACCGACATCGGCTTCTTGAATCATGGCCACATCGTTGGCACCATCGCCAATTGACAAAGTCATGACTTCAAGAGTGTGCTTGACGAGACCGACGACAGCAGCCTTTTGCGATGGACTGACACGACAGCACAGTACTGATCTGCACTCCTTGCACAGAAGCAGGAACTTCTGTCGCAGTCGGTCGTCCAGAACAATCTTGAGCGTGTCACCGTCGATAACGAGAGCGTGTGTGGGCGCTGGTGGTTCGTGGTTCTTCTTGGCCGCCTTCAACTCCTCATCAGAGCCGGTCTTGCCAAACGCAGCCAAGTGCTTGTTCAGCTCAGATTCAGCTTCGTCAAAGTTGTCGTCTTCCACCTTCAAGACGATCAAGTCCATGTCGTTGTCGAGCAGGTTGCAGGAGAAGCCGATGTTGATGGCTGTTTCGACCTTGTCACCCGTAAGCACCCACAGCTTGATACCAGCCTGGGCAAGCAGAGCAATGGAGTCGGGAACGCCATCCTGCAGTCTGTCTTCAATGGCAGTGCCACCAAGAAGTGTCAGTTCTCGTTCGATGCGGTCAGAAACCTCTTCCAGCTTCGCCTCACGGTCCTGTACAGCTGCTGCAGCAAGTTCGTGATCGATGTTCCACTTCTGATATTCATCTTCGGTAAGCTCTTTCTGCGCGACACACAGAGTTCGTAGACCTTCTCTTGCAAACATTTCCAGGTGCTCAGCCGTGGACTTTCGCAGCTCGGCTTGCTCGCCCTTCTTGAGTCGAGAGTAGATGATACTGTCGGCACCCTTGCAGAAGAGGATAATCTTGCCGTCTGGCATGCGGATGATGGAACTCATTCGCTTCCTGGTCGAGTTGAATTCGAGAATGTTGAGCACATGGAATTCCTGCTCTTGGCCCAGGATATTGAGGATGATGCTGTCATTGGAGTGGCCAATAACCGTATATCCAACGTCTCGTGCGGTAGCCACCAGAGCAGCCTCGTCCGGACTTTGCGCCTTGAACTCGATCTTTGGTGGGTCACCTGGTGTGCGCTCAGTTATAACGCTGTGGCACAGAGCAAGGGCGAGCATGAATTGGTGGGTCGCCGCTCTTTGTACTGGACCGGCATCTCCATCCAAGTCTGCAATGTAGTTTGGCGCAACAAATGTCAGCTCGTCATCGTTGAGGTAGGGGTTGTTGTGCATCTTCCGAATGCGCTCAAGCATAGTAACGCGGTCCTGTGCGATCTGCGCCTTTGCTTTTGCGCCTTCTTCTTCAACATTCACGCCCATCCGTTTCTGCATGCCTGCCAAAGCCTCGGTGTAGGCCTCTCCATATGGCACGCCATTGACGGTACACTTCTTGAACTCCATGACGTTTTGCGTAAGAGTTCCAGTTTTGTCAGAGAAGATGTACTCAATCTGGCCCAGGTCGTCCGAGATGTTCCAGGATTTCGGCGTACATGGGTAGTCGATCTTCTCGTAGTACATGTACACATCCGAGTAGATGAAAAAGGCCTGCACACTACGCACGATTTCCAGCGAGATGTAGAGCGAGATAGGTACCAAGTTCTGGAACAAGATGAGGGCGGCCCAGAATGTGATGAATCCGTTGAGGCCAGGAGTGCCTCCATAAGATCCGAACTCGAAGAAGTCGAGCGAATTGTCGCCTTGGCCCCATGTCACACCTTCGACAATGGCTGCGATCAAGCACATGACGAAGAGGATACCGAAATTGTACAACACGTTCCAGTTCAGATCACGCATGATCTTGGGTCGCTTGGCAGGAGTAATGCCGGAGTTGAGCATGATCTTGGTGTCATCGCCAGTGAAAGCCACGACTCCCAGCACCCATTCGGTGTTTCGAACAGTGCAGCCACGGAGGAGTAGATTGTTGATGCCAACCGGCTCTGCCATCTCTTTGGGCTCAGCGTTGATATCTCGCACGCTGTACTGGTTCCATCTCACCACACCCGAATACGCGTACAGGTTGGCATGGGGAGGCTCGCTTTCCATGATGAAGTCGGCTTGTTCGCAATCGCGAGCGCGTTTCACCGAGCGACCCGAGTAAAGCGCGGTGCGCACTTTAAGGTTCGTTTCACCGTCCAAGTTCTTGGTTTCGATGTAACACGCGCCGTCAGGGTCGCTTGTTGACAGAACAACAATGTCGGCCGGTACCTCCTCATCGCTGTAGAGTCGCACGAAATCGCCCACACGCACGTTCTTCCAGTAGTCTCGCTTGAACCGTGCCGTTTCTGTCCTGTCTTTGTGCGGGTTGATCAGACTGCCATGGAACTTCTTCGGTACCGCGATTTCTTCCACCTTGCCGTGTCCTGTGGGTACAGTCAGAGTATCGGATTGAAGTCCAGGATCTACAACCCCATAGTCCGTCTCCTGCACCTGATCGCCGTACTGCTTAGGCTTCTGTCCGGGTGTGGGTGAAGGGACAGGAGTCATCTCCACGTCGCCTTCTTGATTTTCGTGAATGTAGTCATCTTCTTCATCCAATCGTGCAGTGACTACACTGTTTCTGCGCTCGTCCTCTTCCAGCTTCTGTTCCAGCCTCAAGTCCTGTCCGGCTTTTCCTTTGCCCTTCTTGGCGAGCTGCTGTTCTCGCTTGCCCTTCCACCATCTCCAAACGCCGAGAATCAAGCGCGTGTTGGCCTTTTTGAACCTGCGCCAAAGGCTTACCTTTTCATCGGAAACGTTGACATTTTCCCAATCGACAAGTCTGTGCACGGGAGCGTTGTTCAATTCGTTGTCGAGGACCGTTCTTCGCCAGTCTTCGATGGCGTCCTTGATGGCGGTGATGACCAAGATAACAATGATGGGCACCGCAGATAGACCTGGGTTCGTGACACCGAAGATGGAGAAGATCTATAGCCGTCATTTGTCAGCACACCACAGACACACATCTACAGTGAATACGTACACCCAGAATAACGATGAACAAAAAGTACACGTTAGCAATGTTGTGCAACTGAAACCACAAGTTTTTGGGGATGAAGCTGATGGGGGTGTATTTGGCTGTCCGAATCTTGTTGCGCTTGAAGGTTTGTAGCGGATGGCCTTCCTCGTCGCGCGCATCGGCAGGCAGTGGCTGATTGAAATATATGGTGCGTGATGTTTGGCCCTCTGACGGTCGGTCGTTTGCGATTTCGTCGGCCTTGATCTCGCTCGCATCAGAGGCAGTCGACCGGCGGTTCCCGCTCAAGCTGCTCATTCGCGCCATGTTCCGCTGGAAGATGGACCTCCTTTTCTGGGAGCCCTTCTTGCCAGGCTTTCGTGTGGTGGCCCATCGCATTCGATTGAGGGGCGTGCTACGCTCGGCGCCGGAGGGACGCGCCTCTTGGTTGTCATCGTCGTAGGTGACGGCCATGGCGGTGGAGCGCGCTGGCGGCGTGGAGTGATGGGTCGCGATGGACGCTGCGGGCCTGTCTCATGCGGCGAGACACGGCGTCAGAGGTCGGTGGTGGGAGGGCTGGCAGCCCGCACGGATCCGCGAGGCTATCTCGGCGAGCGCAGCATCAGAAGGAATGCGAATGGCTGAACGAGGGCGCTGGGGGCGGATTGCGCGCTGCACGGGTCGGATTGTGGGCAGCGAGGATGGATGGATGGACGGAGGGATGGTCGCGTGGTGGTGGATCCGGCGGTGGTGGCAGCAGTATGAGATGATTCGAGCAGCAGCTGGCGGTGGTGATGGAGTTGCAAGCTGGTCCGAGGCGGGAGATTCGCTGCGCAGCCCCTTCCGCGTGGACGGTTGGTCTGTGAGGTATCGATACCGCACTAATCACGCCAACGTCGCAACGTTGTTCTAGGAGATGCAGTACCCAGATTCGATGGCAAACAGCAGCAGCAGCACGATCGAGGAACAGGCGCCTCAGGTCAGCGGCAGCGGACGAACAGTGTTTTGTCAGTGGAACAGCGCGGATGAGAGGCTTGCTGCTGGAGCTGACATGAGCAGAGCCTGCAGGGTTTCTTAGTCTGGTTAGCTACTACGCACCGCGGGAAGGCGAAGATGCCGAAGAGACCCTGGCGAGCGAACAATTGTCGAACACCGGGCGGACTTGGGCGGAGCGTCATCAAATACTGCGTCAAAAGGAAGTAAATCTTAGTTGATGGCTCTTGTTTCTATTTCCTCCCCGTCGCACACCACGGCATGTGCAGGCAGTGCGACGTCTGGCAAACTGCTACTGTTCGCGTACCGCCGGACTGTCGTCGAACAATTTCGCACATCGTACTCGGCAGCGGCCACGGTTCACACTTTATGCACGCCGCCGACTCAGCTCTGACAAGCTGCGGCCGGCTGTGGTTTGGCTGCGTTGCTACCATCCACCACCCACTCTCAGCCATCTTCCTCCTCCATCATTCGCGCCGCAATCCGCAGCAGGTGCATCCGTGGCGGTGGATAGCGTGTGTGCATGGGCGGGAGAAGGGAGCGCGGACTTCGGGATTTGGGCGTGTGAAAGTGCGGGTGCAATTGAACGGGATTAATCAATTTGGTCGCCCGGAGTTAAGGCGGCCCCAGCAATGACGAACGCCACGTTCTTGCTAGTCCCGAATTCTACTGTTGACGGCACGCGTCTCCTACGCGTCCAGAGCTCTGATTGATATCTCGCCCATAGCAACCCATTGCCACGGCAAATGGCCCCTCCCAAAGGTGTCAAAAGCAACGGCTTGATCTCCAATTTTTTCAAGCCTTTCATCACCCAGAAGGCGCCGAACAGTCTGCCGCAAGAAATCGGCGACGAAATCGTAGTAGCAGCTCGTCCACCACTTTCCCAGCAGCACCAGCAGCAGCCAACCGAGACATGCGCATCACAAACAAAGACAACTCCAACGAAACGGAAGCCCGGTCGACCAAGGAAGTCTCCTGCTTCTTCAGTCTCGAAAAGCTCCCAGAGCGATGGATCCCACACACCGAAACGAAGAGGCCGCCCGAGGAAGCATCCGCTACCTTCATCGCCCTCGCAAAGCTCTCACGATGGAGTGAAGAAGTCGTCGAGACCAGTGGGCCGTCCAAGAAAGACTGAGTCCCAGCGACAACGCGATGAGCAATTGGGCGGTAGTGCATCCAGTCCCATACAGCTTTCCGAGACCAAATCTGAGCGCTTCAACATCAACCCGCTAACTGACGAAGCCGATATCACTCCCACTGAAGATTCGCCCTTCCGCCCTGCAGGTGACAGTCCTAAGCAACGTATTGCAAAAGGCGTCGCCGCTCTCTCCCCGAGTCCACCTCGCAAGACAACAACCGAGATGCCCGCGCCGCCATTACCACAGCCACAATTTGGCACACCCGCAGACAAAACACCCAACGCTTCCTTCTCTTCCATATCCACCCTCACCACCGTTCCAAATTCGCAAGCCTCCAGCTTTCCAGTCAGCTCCAGCACGTCTAGTAGGCGGATTGTGAGTGATGGCTTGCAAGGTGTCACTGGCTCGGATTCTGAATCTGAAGACCTCGAAGATATCCAAACGGTGTACGCCAATAAGAGGAGGAAACTATCGCAGGATGATGGCGTCAAAGCCGCCGCACCGAAGCAGCCACCACCTCAAAAGAACACACGTTTGTCTGATCAGGAAAAGAGCAAGAACTTTTTCAAGGCGTTTCCACGTTCGCCCGCAAAGCCTGTACTCAAGAACAGTCTGGCCAGCTTGTTGGCAGACCATGAAAAGGATCAAATGGCCGATGCGACTATCGCGAGTCTTGAAAGCGCAGTGGAAGAGTCGAAGAAGCAGGAGGAGAGGGAACAAGCGCTTGAAGATGCTGGGTACGATGGAGATGCAATCGTTGCCGCTGCTGGGAGCGATAGTGAGGACCGCGAGAAAGTTATCATGGCTTTGGCCCGGACGGAAGCACTGCACAAGAAGGGCGACTATCACTTCTTCCTGGACCCCGAACCCCTACATACCAACTCTCCCTTCCCGACCGAATCCTTACCAGATGAACCTTGGGCCAGAATCTACCGCAACGACGTCTCGCGAAGGGAAGCCTGTGTCTCTGGATTTGCTGCTGAGCTGGCCGCAAAGTTCCCTCTGCCCATGACAGTCACGAGCTGGATGGCATGCCAGTTGCAATACGAGCAGAGTGAAGAGTTGTGTGAAGCATATGTTGAGATTCTGAGAGCATCTGGGCACGATGATCAATCGATATCTGACACCTGGGGCTCTCTAAACTCGATATACAAGGCACGGTCACTGTTCGAGAACAACTGGAGAGAGCACGTCAAGACCGCCCTGCCTCGAGGATTGAGCTACATGGTGCGACTGATATCCTTCCGCGCTCCATCTATTGACAACGTTGTCAGCGAAGCATCACCCAACAGCACATGTGCTGCTTTTCTGGATCTGACGTTGATGAATGTCGACGAACTCGTTAAAGCCGATATCAGCCTCTCCCTTCTGATCGCTGACTGCATCGAGGACATGCTAGATGCTTTGAGTGAGCATTCATTTCACAAGCTCATCCCACTAGTGGTCGGCACCATGTTCTCGCCCAGCGACCTGCCAGAATTCGCACGTTGTCGAGCCATCGCTGCACTACCAGCAAGCACACCCAGAGCACACAAAATCCGCCGCCGACTGGCTCTCGAATACTTCAACACGACCGAAAAGAAAGCCTGCGACCCACCAGACTGGCCCAAATCCATCATCCACACCCTCAAAAGCAAACTCGAGTTCCACATCTCCGAATCGACAGACTACGCCCTCCTAACAGCCCTCACCACCGTCCTCGACATCGCCATCGACGCCGGCTGGACCGACTACTCCCTCCTCGCCCCTCGCGAATCCACCGGCCCCTGGGGCGAACGCCAACCCCCCAGCGCCGCCGAAACCAAACACAACAAAGACATCGACGCCATCACCGACGTGCTCAAAATTCTGGCCTCCCGAATCCGTGACGCGGGGACTAGTCATCTCCGCCGAACGGAGACCAAGTCCGCGATCGAGCAGGTCATGGCGCGGTTGCAGTTTTGTGTGCGGTCGAGAGCGAGGCCGACGAAGGACGTGTTTGATGAGAAGGTCATGAAGCAGGCACGGTTTGATGTGAGTAGTTTCGCGAGGAAAGACAAGGACGAGGAGAAGGACGAGAGGGAATTCGTGGAGGTTGTGCCCGTTGAGGATCTTTCGGGCAGGGAGGCGGATGAGGAGGAGGATGCTACGGCGGGTGGGAGTGAGGGGAGTGGGAGTGAGTGTTTGGAGATGGTGTAGGACGGGTTGAGAGTGGTGAATCTATCGCTTGCACGGTGAATGAATTCCTCTTCTTTCGATTACAGTCAGGAGTCGAGCAGATGCCTTTTAGCATGCCCTTGCAAAGTTGTCAGACGATTGTAGACCACGAGATCGGTTGTCTACATTCTCTGACCGATCGACGTGGACCATGCTGTCTACAGGGGGGTTGGAAGTCAGACAAAGGATGAAGCTGTGGGGAGTTTGATCTCTTTGTCCGAACAATGACAAACAGTTCAATCTCGAGATGGCTCTTTGTCAAGACCATGCAGGCAAAACACCATGGCCGAAATGTAAACGCCACACTCCGAGCCGCAGTTGAAGAGGGAAGAAATCAACATTTGCCTAGCTCACAAACGTCATGAATTTCTCAATTCCATCCTTAATATGTCGAGGCGCACCATGGTGTTGAGACGAGGAAAATGGAGCGACTGGGAAGTGATCACTCCTTCCAGTGAAGCACGTCTCTCCCGTCTACCATCTCTCACATCACCCATCCCCCCCAGCAACAAATCATTCTCTACTCTGTCGAATTATCGCTCATGTCATTGCCTCTCTCTTCCGCCCTACTTCGCAAGAGAATCAAACTCGTCAACAGGAATGATGAGAAAGGAAGATTCATCCATCGCTCCTCCTCTCAAATTTTCTCGCCAAGAAGAAAAGAAAAGGCACAGAATCCAAACCAGTTCCTCAAGGACATCCGCCTCGCATCACGCCCTCGTTCGGTAAGCTGTCCTTTGAGCCCCCCAAAAAACCCTTTGCATTTCGACTGCTCTGAAATGACATGAATTCCTCCCATATCTCAATCACTGAATCATACATAAGCCCCTATCTAAACAGTCTTCTTCAAGATCTCTCCGCCTTTCTATTTTCTGGCAGATTCCACGAGATCTTTGAGCTTCCTTTTGGCGATTCGCCTCATCGCTTCCATGCCTACTTTCTCCTCCAATTCCGTTTCTTCTGGATCACCGCTAGGTGGTTGAATGTTGATTTTGCCATGAATAGGTTTCCACATTCGTCGTGGAGGTCCTGCGTCTTCCTCCTCGAAGCGGGCGTCGTCGTCAGGCTTCGTGTCTCGATCCTCCATCTCCCCATTCCCCTCCTCACTATATCCCTCCCCATCCACAACCCCAACATCGGCCTTCACAAATCCCTCCACCACCTCCTCGTCATCGTCGTCATCTTCACTCTCATAATAATTCATCCTCAGCACACTCCTCCTCGGCAAAACCCTCTTCCCCAACTTCTTCCTCTCCCCCTCTACCACATCCCCTCCTCCATTCCCCCCCC